ATCTTATACATCTAGTTATAGATTATAGTTTAGATGGAAAAGATTAATATGTATCACATTGTATGAACATTTCTTTTTGTAGTTTCATTGTTACAGCTATAGTTTGTTGTATTTATAGTGACTATAGCATCATTGTAATCGATTAGAATCTCATACTTAGTTAGGATGGGATAACAACAGGTAATTGTTATCCCATTGAACGAAGTTAGGTGGGATATATGAAACACCTCCGTCCCTCTGTCCATCTGTCCGTCCGGGCAATAACTCAAATACCATTGGCCCAATTTTGTTCCTATTTTGTACACATATACCCTATGGAGGTAGAAGTTCTGCTCGAAAGCCGATCTTCAAAATGGCCACTCATTTGAAAATGGCGGCTATTTTAGTGCTGATTTTACAGTAATTTAGATACAATATGTAAAAATGACACTTTTGGTAGAAGGCGACCATTTTGAAAATGGCACACTGTCTAGTGACACTTTTTGTAGAAGGTGGAATTTGCTACGCTTTGACGTTTTGGTTGTTGTCTAGTTGTATTTATCATGGTGACAGGATATGGTTTATTTTTAATTTTCAACCAGTGGCAGAATCCCCTTTACTAATGATTTTTCTCTTGTTTTTGATAATAGACTTTGTCATTTTCAAAACTTTTTAATGAATCAGTTATATAAACTTGTAAATAATCTGGAGATGAACTGTGAATTTCCCTCTGGATGAAACTTATATTCAGAACCTTCCATCATACATTATAATGGTACCATATATGGAATTTATAAAAAGTGAATGGCATATAAAATATGAGATAATAAACGTCACATAAAAATAGATTTTATAACTTCATTTACATCATTTAAAGGTTGCCGAATGAATTATATGCTGGATTCTCATAAAAATATTTATTGGCAGGAATTACTTGGGAGGTTATAATTCTGTTTTCTGATTTAACGTATCTACAATGAAAACCTTAGTATGTTTTATTAAGAATATAAATTGATGTCATGAGTTACATTGACACGCCAGCCAACTTGGTATTTAAGTTTCATTTTATGTCATCCTTTTGTGTCAGTTCAATCCAGCCAAAGGTCTTTATGGTCTTTGAAACTAATCATCTATATCTGATTCAATATATGAAATTATCTTGGTGCATTCTGACCCCCTCTTTTCTGCCGTTTGCATCTGCCATTTTGGAAAGTTCAAGACAAAGGGGTACAGTTTTTGTGATTATCTTGGTGTTAAAGGGGTATATTGAACAACCCTGTGTCAGCTACAACCATTGACTGTTTAAAGCCTATTCTTTGACCAACATATCATGCCAGATAGTATGACGTTTATAATATTTTATCTCAAAATATATATTCATAAACGTGACATAAAATAAGGTAAACAACCTTTTGATGGTATTATTTATTTTCCGCTTGATTAACATGTTTTTTTTCAGTTTGTATATTAGGATAGGTGATCGTGATCTTTATCTTGATCGTCCTGCTTTTTTGTCATCACCATTTTTCTAAAATGTTATGATTTCAGTGTATTTTCTGTGATAACATACAGTACATATTTTGAAATCAGTGTGGGAATACAAGCATATAATTTTTGTAATAATGACAGTGATCATTAATAATTGATATGTTTCACATTGTGATAAATTGATATCTGTCTCTATATTATAGAGACTCTCTAAATTTATTTATTCTGAGCAAGGAGTAACATGTTGATCATATTATAAAAATGCCCAATTTGAATGAATTGGCCAAAATAGCAAGACATGAATTATACAATCAATAATTGATCATATAAATTTAATTGTGTGAATATATAAAAATCAGGCACTTCATTTGCCTAGAAAAGCAGAGAATATTAGGTACTTAAGCAAAAGTTTTGGTATTTTAACCATGCGTAACAACCTTTTAAGGTCTAGTTAAACCTCATTTTCTTGATTGCATCTATTGATCTCGTAATGTGTTTAGCCTACACTAATTCTCAGCAGGAATATATTATATAACATAATTAAGAACAAGACTATAGATATAGTTCTAATCAGAATGTGTTCTAAACCCTGTTGGGAGTTTATCCTATATGAGATAATGTTGACATTTTGACATCTCCTTTAGGAGACCATGGGATATATGTTGATGATGCTGGGAGTTAGTCCAGGTAAATCACTTCATGTCAAACCTAAATATTTGAGGAAAAGAAATATTTATGAGATGAAGTGTTCTCCACAAGATTTTTTCTCAAATAGGTGCAAAATTCTCATTTTCAAAAATCAGTCCAAAATTGGAATTTTTTTTCTCAAATAGGTGCAAAATTCTCATTTTCAAAAATCAGCCCAAAATTGGTAAAAATGTGCTAGTTTTTCATGATTTTTTCTCATTTTCTAGTAGGTGCAAAAGAATTTTCAGGTGGATGCGTGCCTATTTTTAAAATCTCAGGTGGGTGATACACCCACTAATTTACTTTAATGCTTGAGAGATCATTGAGATGAGTTAATTTTGACAAGGCATGGGTATGTCAGACAAAAATTAAACATGTACTGCTCAATTAAGACTAATTGACAAGTTAACTAAAATGTCTGCAAATAACATCTATTATTTAAAGTATAATTTGTTAGACATGTCTTACTTTGACATGTCTTCCATCATCGATGTGTGCTGTATACTGAAAAGCATACAGAACAATGAATCAAATGTATTACTATACTTGATTCATTATGCCACCAAATAAAGTTTGAGTAGTGATATAGAGAAGCCATCCATCCATCTATCCACCCATCCATCCATCCATCCATCCATCCATCCCATCCATCTATCCATCCATCCATCCATCCATTCATCCATCTATCCCATCCATCCATCCATCTATCCCATCCATCCATCTTTCCCTCCATCCATCCATCCATCCATCCACCCATCCATCCATCTATCCATCCATTTATCCATCCATCCATCTATCCATCCATCCATCCATCTATCTCATCCATCTATCCATCCATCCATCCATCTATCTATCCCATCCATCCATCTATCCCATCCATCCATCCATCCCTTCATCCATCCATCCATCCATCCATCCATCCATCCATCTATCCATCCATCTATCCCATCCATCCATCTATCCATCTATCCCATCCATCTATCCCTCCATCCATCCATCCATCTATCCATCCATTCATCCATCTATCCATCTATCCATCCATCCATCCATCTATCCATCCATCTGTCCATCCATCCATCCATCCATCCATCCATCCATCCATCCATCCATCCATCTATCCATCCATCCATCTATCCATCCATCCATCCATCCATCCATCTATCCATCCATCCATCCATCTATCCATCCATCCATCTATCCCATCCATCTATCCCTCCATCCATCCATCCATCTATCCATCCATTCATCCATCTATTCATCTATCCCTCCATCCATCCATCTATCCATCCATTCATCCATCTATCCATCTATCCCTTCATCCATCCATCCATCCATCCATCCATCCATCCATCCATCCATCCATCTATCCATCCATCCATCCATCCATCTATCTCTCCATCCATCCATCCATCCATCCATCCATCCATCCATCCATCCATCTATCCATCAACTAACTGATATGAAGCAAGCATAAATTATTAATTAAAGGCAGTTCTGCAAAATAATTCAGGAGTTTGAATCTAGTCAAAATTTATTTTTATCATCTGAACTTATTTTGTTTTGATTATTGGATATCCAGAAGGTTGTTTCAGTCATCACTATGAATCTTGATCTCTAATAAATGAGACTTGGGAAGTCAAGTATGAGAATATCACTCATTTAGAGATTAGAGTTTGTCTTTGTTAATTAATCTTAGATTGATCACTGATCAGTATAGACTAGAAGATTTCACGCCATGTCGCATATTGCCCGTAGTTTTACATTAGCAGCGGAACAAACATACTCATAGATCAAAGCAAATGTACTTATTTCAGAACTCAATTTCATCTGTTAATTTATTTTTTGTTCAGTCAATACCTTTGATCTTATTTTTCTGTTTAAGAAAGGTGGAGTAAGAGTTAGTATCCATTCTAATATGGACACAAACAGGTTAAACATTTAAGCCCATGTCTTGCTCCACCTCCCCCAGATTCCCTCTCTAACTAGGGACATAGATATCAAGTGAGGGGATGCGTTTACTGAGGTTTGATGCGAGATTACAAAAACTGACACTCTTGGTCAAGTTAATACACAAATTAGCAGTGTGTTATTTGCTTTTATTATACGACATTGTAAAAAGTCAAAAGTGGTTGAGTATTACTAATGGTTAATATGTAGCATGATATTAACAGTGGTTGCACTGGACAGGATAATAAAACAAAAATGAAAATGAATTTAAAAAAGTGAAGGATCATTCTCGCCTTAGTGACTAGAGCCATGTTAATGGCCTCATTATGGGTAACTTTACGCTTGATTGAGATCAGTTTAAGTAAAGTTCAGCAGAGAAAGTTAGTAAATATCCATTGTTCTTTTTGTTAAACCAAAATAAGCTGACTTTATAGCTGCTTTATTTACCACTAGGGGATTAGAGGATTTGTGCTGCAGAAGGATAACGGGCTAAAAAGTTACATTATTTATTGTATTATGTATTTAGTAACATTGAGTTTGTGCAGTCAGGCGAAGAGGTATATTTGCAAACTGAATAATAATTGTTACTTACTGGTTTCAGTGAAACTGTTGATCTCTAATACATTCTTAAGCATTCTTTTGTTTTCTTGGAGATATTTTCCTACTCACCTCTCCTTATCTTGTGCTAAAAGTCTGTAAGAATATGTAAAAATGTTCTTCAAGCCTGTTCTTGGAGTAAATATCATACTTACCTTAATGTATGCATGCTTGTTCTCACAAAATAAATAAAACATACATATTACTAACCTTTCCTGGCATATGGATGCTTGTTATCACAAAATTAGACAGCTGAAAACAAATAAGATTTAAAATAATTTTTTTGATAATTTCCATTTCAGCTCCTTGTGAAATGAAGTTTTGCGCATTTGGCGCAGTTTGTCTAGTCAAAGAGGGTACGAAGGAGGCTTACTGCTCATGCTCAGAAACATGTAACAATGTCTTTGCACCCGTGTGCGGGAACGATGAGGTGACATACCAATCTCTCTGCCATTTACGTCAAGCTAGCTGCACTCAACAACGCAAGATCAAAGTCAGATCACAAGGCACATGTGGTAAGAACTGAACTCATTTCTGTTGTATAGCTTGAACATATTCTTTGAATTATGGCCAACTTAATTTTTTGTGTTCTCTTAAATCTTTTAGCCTTGGTTTATTTACTATTTTGTGTTGATTATTTTAGGTATTTAACAGGCTGACCCAAAATGCAACCTTTTCTCAATTTATGTTCTTGAAATTTCTTTTGCATATAGAATGTTCAATTATTGTTAACCAATGCATTTGGTATATAGAGATGCTGTATGTCAAAAAATACTTATGAGTTTTGGGACACCCTGTAGACTACAATTTAAAGTGTGGCATCTTCTTGATTCTCAAGTCAGGAACAATAGATAAGATGTCATGGGTATTGCAATGCCATGGGCGTAGCGCTATTTTTTTAAGTAGTACGTCACCACGGGATACGTCACCACGGGAGCCCACATGGGAGCAAGATTTGAGAGAACCAAAGAAGCATTCAGGGGGTCTGTGGGGTTCTACCCCTAGGAAAATTTGGAAAAAAATTTGAAATTTGGTTGTATATGGTGCGAATTTGAAACCGCTACGCCCATGAATGCAATGGTATGATAGGTCTCATATAATTTATTGCATAGTACTTAAATGATTTTCAGGAATGCTTCAATGAAAATATATATTTTCAGTCCTTTACTTTGTCTAATACAGCAGGGGTGCCATCTATTCTTAGAAAAAAATAAATAAATAAATGATCAGTAAGCAGATTCTATATTCTAAGTTCTATACATTACTGCCATCTTTTTAAATAAACCTGCAGAACAAGTATTTCTACATTGTCTACTATTATGGTACCATGCATGTGTTTAGATGGTACTTTTACATTGAAAAAACATAACCCAAAAATGCCTTGAAATACAGAACTAAAGATATAGTAAATGTATCTTAAGTGAATAAAACTGATTTTTGTCCACATAGGTATTGATATTCTAATAATATGTTATATATGGAAGTGAATCTAAATTTCTGAAAATTGAATCTAAAATCTACGAATTGTTCATACTTTTCAAGGAAAATTCAGATATGCATCAAAATTCTACGGATTGTTCATACTTTTCACAGAAATTGATCGACATGTCAGTACATCACTCATCACTATTCAATTAAATCCTAATTACATCCAACATCATCTGAAAATCCTTAATTCTCTATGACTCTTAGCATCAATTATGCATGGGTATAAAGACCCATAATTCAAACAAGCATGGTAATACTGTAATTAATTAAATAAAGTTCATCACAAATAAAGAAATAGAAGTCAATATATCAAGTGTTATGAATACTCTTAGCATAATTAATATTTTGTTTTATCATTATTTTTCTTTATTATTTTTTTAATGTTCTGTATAACTTGACGCACCTTTGCATGCAAAACTTAAGAGTGTCACTGTTTCAAAAGTGTGGATCGAAATGAATAAATAAATAATAAAATACCTGGTTAGAAAAAGTGTGAACTGAATTGTATTTTTCTTATAAAGCAATTACTCTGGACACTTTGAGTCCATTTATATGCATTTATGTTATTATTTATTTATATTATTTATTTATTTATGTTATTTATTTATTTTCAATAGGAAAATTATTCATGCATTGAGACTGCAAAATCCTTGAATGAAATGGTTTGCTAAAAAGTCAAGGTTATCATATACTAAGTTATCCAAGTCTCAATGTGAAATGTCACAGTGTGTTGAAATATATCATTAAAGGTGGAGGGAAGCAAAGAGAAATATGAACATGTCACACATCAATGCGGAAATTTTAAAACAATGATTGAATTTATTCAATTTTGTTACAATAAATCAACATTATAACTTGTGATCTCATTCAGAATTCTCTTTTTAATAGAATTTGTGTGTTCTTTCGATAATGAATTGATGACGAACATGTTAAGTATGTAATTACATCAAATTGACGTACCACCTTCAGTGAAGAACAGAGAATCTTGTAGAGCAACACCAATAGTATATGATATTCTGAGCTTTCTTCTATGCTTTTCTTTTATGTTTTTCTTCATTTACCATTCTGTTTTTAATTTGAATCATTTTGTGGTCATAAATACAATTAGAATTGTATTATTTCCCAAAATTAAATTATTGTCAAAATATATTCTTCCCCATTTAAGATAATTTAAACAGAAAAAAAACTACAAAATTTGCTGCAATTTTGGAGAGTGGTTTTCTTTAAAAAAAATCATATTTTGGTGTCTAAATAATTAGATGCGAAAGGTGTTCAAATAATTAAATTAACACATCCTATATTATATTAATAATTGTATTAATAGATTTATGATATTAATTCTAATGAATATCTTGTAAGTACATCTCAGAACTATCTCATATTCATCTCAGACCTTGCATGCAAAGTGGCATTGTTCACCACAGCAATGTACATACATCACAATCTTTCCCTCCTATCACGATAGATTTAAATTTTTAATGACATTGCATTTATGATAAGATTACTAAGCATGAGGAGTAAGCTTAAGCTGGATTAAAGTCAGTAAAGATCAGTTTAGGAAATACAATCTTTACACATCAATGTACCAGATCACATCTTGGATTACCGTTAGATTTTCTAGTGTTGTCGCGTTTCCTCCAACGCCTCAGAGTCCCAAGACTAATTTGTATGGATGGAACAAGTTTTTGTCGCTGAAGAGGTGTATTGATCAATCAAGGAGTACAAAGTGAAATAGTTGCTAGCTCAGGATGCTCTACGGCTCAAAGAATCATGGACCTCTATGGATTTGGCTGAACTCAAGTTATACAATTACATTCCTAACTACATTGCTCATAATATTTATACATTTTACAAATTGTTGTTATGTTTTTCCACCAGAAACTCGAGATCCTTGTGAGGACAAGGAATGCCACTTTGGAGCGAGGTGTGTGTCCTCGTTAGACAGTTCACAAGCGCGATGTGAGTGCCAACAGGAGTGTCACACGTATGGAGACTCTGTGGATAGTACGCCTGTCTGTGGGACTGATGGTGTCGACTACCCCAATATGTGTGAATTACGCAAAGCTGCTTGTAACCAATTTAAGGAATTAAGAGTACATTATTACGGCAAATGTGGTATGTATGCAATATATTTAATAATACATTAATCATTGAAAACATTATTTTTAAAAATGATTTTTTATTATAAAATTTTGAAATGTTTCATTTGAAAAGTATAGCTGAATTTCTCAATGAATGAATGAATGATACCATCCTTAGCTAATACTGTCTTCATAATCAATAGCATTTATAATTCAGAGTGCATGGTACCTATTATTAGTCAACATAAATATCTTAAAAACTTTTTGTGCAAAAACTATACAAGTACATGCATTTGATATCAAAATTAAGAAAAGATTTTTTAAATTATATGATTTCTTCAATTTTGATTTTATGTTTTTATGTCTTCCAAAAATTTGATTTCATTCATAAAATTATTTCATCTTCAAATTTTAAACCCTTTGAGTAAATACAGAATCATTGGCAGTGTCAGATTAATCCCTCTGGAAATGCTTTTATTTTCCAAGCTCACAAGATAATAAGCCTGTTTGAAACCTTAGGGATGATTTCAAAGGATGCACTTAAATAAAAGAGGGGTCAAGTCTATAAGGAACCACTGATAATCAATGGATAGTGTAATAAATCATTCTTTGGATATTTTCAAAGTTTGAAATACTTCTGAAATAATTATTACGTTTTAGCAATTAAAAAATCGTGATGTTTCTTGAATAGTAATGTTTCTAGAATCGTAATTTTTCTAGAATCAGTCCCCAGAAGGATTCAGAATCACACAGGATGATTATTTAATGTAAAGCTATTATCTCTTATAATGGTACCAACCCAAGTTCTAACATTACCTGAATGTTAACCAATGAAATATGTTATAACATCTTCTCTGCAATGAATCGGATATAATCAGCATACACTGTACTTTTGATTTACTATTTTACTTTAAAATTATAATTAATGGATAAAATCAAAGAAATAGAGACAAATTATCTGATTTAACTTATTAATTGCAATTAAAGAGAAGCTCGGTTTGACTCATCAGAGTCCATCTGTATCTAAAGCTTGAGAGGGCCTGTACTCCAAGGGGTTGTGAAGGCTGTGGATCCCACAATGGTAGAAACTCTAAGCAACATTTTCTCAATGTAAAACATAAGATATGTTGTATCGATCACATACATGCCACAATATTGAAAGTAAGGAAAGCCACCACTAGCAATTTGGTAACATGTAGAACATCTTAATATGATTGCTTCCTCATTCCCTGTCACAACTTATTATAGATTTTTTGCTGACTAATTTTATTTCTATCAAGATGGTTGGTGAGATATTTCCTGTATCATGGAATGTTTCCTTTTAACCAACTTCCACATTGTGGGAATTGAGTCTTTGAGGATTTTTTATTGATTCTATCAGCTTGGCATATAGGTCCAAGGGGTGAATCAGATGATCTCAGGGGAGGGGAGAGAGAGGAGGTAGGGGTATGTTTGTTTTAGATAAATAATTTTGAATCAGGAAGGATGAATCTTGACTTAAAATAAAAAAAATCTGAATTGTTAAAACAAAGTTAGTCAACTTAATGTAGTTGCAGAAAGAACTATTCTCATTGAGGGTGTGAATGTTGGATCTCCTTGATGATATAATGATTCATCCCAATCATGAAAAAACTATGTCGAGTGAATCAATTACATTTCCAACATAACAATGCACTTTGAAATATTACGTAAATAATTTATAAACCAACAAAAGGTTATACTCCTTCTAATGAGTTATTTAAGGTAATTTCCTAATTCCAAGTACTTACTAGAACTTAATGGCACGGGAGCAGAATTGAAATCTTTCTTCTTTGACATAAATAGAAAATTGTAAACAGAAAATTGAGGGAGTGGGTACAAGAAAATTTGACTTTTAACTTTGTTTCCACATTAAAATGTGAAAAAAACGAATCAAAATTACTCTATATTTCATTAATTTCCTGCATTCTGCAGTATTGTGTCAATTATAATTGAATTACACTATACACTTAACTTAAATTTTAGGGACATCAACGGTTCAAATCTGACATCTCTCTTTTATCTTATTTGCGAGTCTCATCAGTATCCAGGATAAATGTCCTGTTATTTACGGGTCATTGGAAAAATGTATAAAGCCCAAGTTAAGAAATAATTTGAACACTTTTTATCTCCTCTTTGGGAATATTTCCATTCTATTAGTATCTTTCCAAGTAGCAATTTGCCTAAAAGCACTATTACAATGTTAAGCCAAATAAGCGAAGCAGTGGATGCCATCCAAATAGTGTAAATTTGATTAAAAACTTTCTGTGATGAATCTGTTTTTACACTTAACTGGCCATTCTAAGCTTATATGACAAATGTGTGGTGCATCAGATAATGTTCAGATGTATAAAAGGGTAAAAAATAATTACTAAACAATGTCACCCCACAAATGTTTTTTGATCAAATTCTATTGTTATGGGTCATGGCGACCTACATACAAGTATTTATCTTCAATAAATTACATTTTTATTTCATTCACTTTCTTAGGTTCAAACTATAAATATTTAAAATATCTATGTTATTGAGATAAAAAAAAATGTTTGTCTGATGAAGCTAAAATATTCAGATTTTATTGACCGGTCTATTTTTGCATATTCCATATTTGGAATGACATGTGTCAGAAACTGAAGGTCAGACCGATCTTGTCACTTTCTAAGGTAGTTTAAAAACGGAATCTGGAGCAAAAAATCATCTTCTAACATTTATTTTTCATATTTTAGCACTTTTCTCAAACAATTCTCATGAATCTAATAATCAGTTCATATAAGCACCTTTGAAGCGTGAAATATACATTTAAGTTGACATTTAGCAGCATTTATTGGTACTGTTTTGTCAAAGAATTCTGTGTGAAATAAAATAGATAGATGATATGAGATACATAGTCATTTACCACCAGAATAGTTTTACAATCCCAATTTTCGATTACTTTTACGCATAGAGTAGATTAAGCTTAAGAGAAGGTTCCTTTGACTCGCAGATCAATATTACCCCAAAACTGAATCCTTTATGAATTGTTTGTTGCTTTTGTTTTATAAAATATGAGGCAATTATATAAGATATATAACATGTGAGCCCAAAACGATTACACATACATGAAAGCATTGTCACTGTTCCACAACTAGTTACTTTGACGGAACATCAATGTAACAAAATGGATGAACTTCCTGGATATGAGTTTTTTGTTTTTTTCGATTTAAACTTACGTATAAGTCATGTTGCGGATTATCATTTGGCACAAAGTTAAACAATATAGTCTAGCTTTTAGAAATGCTCTCAGTTTGGAATTTGATTTTTAGATAAAGCTGTAATTCATGCATTTTGACCATCGCTTTTGTTAAATTGACGTAAGTCGTCAAAGTAACCTACATTGGTAAATATAACTCAGTTTCATCAATATAACAAAAGTGAGGTGCTTAATATATGAATTGCAACTTCATTTACAAATCAAATTCCAAATCGAAGAAACTTATTAAAATAAGACTATATTTTCTTGCTTTGTGCCAAATTATAATCTGCAACTTGACTTATAAGTAGATCTAAATTGAGAAAACAAAAAACACGTAACCAGGAAGTTCATCCATTTTGTTAAATTGACATTCCCTCAAAGTAACTAGTTGTGGAACAGTGATTGTGTAATACAGTAGGATTGAAATGTACAATGTTCATATTTTTAAAAAGATTGTACCATATTTTTTTTCTTATGGAAAAGTCAATTCCAAAATAAGATTCTAGTGTGAAATTTCAAAATGAGACTTCTGGCTTAGAAATCTAGTATTTGTAAGAAACATAGACATTTGAAAACAATAACTTTTACCTTTATATTTTTATTACATAACAGATCATAAAAGCTTCCTTAGTTCTTCTCTGTTTTATATACCAGGAACCTCAACTCTAGAATGCAAGCCTTAAATACAAGAAACCCCACAGGGAGAACAATTTTACGACGATTTAATTGAAAATCCCAAATGCAAAATCCCAAATGAAACATGTTGTGATTTGCAAACTAAACTCTAGGAATGTTCTATCTGTATATTCTCAGTTGCATCTAATTTAATTATAGTTCGTTTTACTTGACTGTTGAATATCAATATAGACATTTCTGTTACAATAGGGTATTAGAGATGAGCTTTGAAGGAAGAAATGCAATTAGAACGACTAGCTAGATTTGGCGGTGAAGCTATGGGGGAATACTTTGTCATCTCTTGAATTCATTATTCTACTTTTGTTATACCCGATAGAATCCTTTAATTCTTTATCAGAATTTAATTTTTTTTGCATCTCATCAAAATATTTTATTTCAGAAAGAAGATGGAAATTATATTATTAACAAGTTCTGGAGCCTAATGATCTATACTGTTCTGGTTCATGAGAAGTTAAATGTAAAATACTAATATATAATCAACGTGGTAAACATAAAAATACAATGCCCAGAAAACCACTCTTTGGACATTAAAAGAGAGCTTCATCTAACAAGACTCTATGTGGAGTGCACTTAAACATCTAGAAATATTTCAAGTGCAAAAACAAATCTTGCCATTTATATTAATATTAGTTATGATTCCAAGTATTTATGGATGGTGTCAAATATGCAGATAGATGTAAGAATCATACATAACTATCAACATGTGTCACTGATCTATGTAAAGACCATAAATGTGACATAGCCAACAACATGTATTTCAGATCCTTGTAAAGACCATGAATGTAGATAAACCAAACACATGTGTTAAAGATCCATGTAAAGACCATAAATGTGACATAGCCAACAACATGTATTTCAGATCCTTGTAAAGACCATAAATGTGATATAACCAACAAAATGTGTTACAGATCTATGTAAAGACCATAAATGTGACATAGCCAACAACATGTATTTCAGATCCTTGTAAAGACCATAAATGTAACACAAGCAACAACATATGTTACAGATCTATGTAAAGACCATAAATGTAACATAATCAACAACATGTGTTACAGATCCATGTAAAGACCATAAATGTAACATAACAAACAACATATGTTACAGATCTATGTAAAGACCATAAATGTAACATAATCAATAACACGTGTTACAGATCTATGTAAAGACCATAAATGTAACATAACCAACAACATGTGTTTCAGTTCCTTGTAAAGACCATGAATGTAATATAACCAACAACATGTGTTACAGATCCATGTAAAGACCATAAATGTAATATAACCAACAACATGTGTTACAGATCCTTGTAAAGACCATAAATGTAACATTACCAACAACATGTGTTACAGATCCATGTAAAGACCATAAATGTAACATTACCAACAACATGTGTTACAGATCCATGTAAAGACCATAAATGTGACAATAACCAAGTATGTCAACTTGATGAGTCACGACGTCCTGTGTGTCGCTGCAGTGGTGCCTGCACTCAAGAATACAGGCCAGTCTGTGGTAGTGATGCCAACAGTTACAGTAACGAATGTATGATGCACATGGCATCCTGTAAAGCACGGGTTGAGATTCGTGTACTTTACAGGGGAATATGCAGAGAAGGTGAGTTTATTGAAAGTAGCAATAAAATTAAGTGTAATATCTAACTCTTTCAATATTGCATCAATTTATTTGTTAATTTACATGTTGTGGTGAAATTCTTTTGAAATCACTTTTGTATGTACTGTTCAACAATTTTCGGGAATTCTAAGAAATCTCATTGAATTTGCATTTGGACAATTTCTGAACTGTGGTGTCAGATCTTGTTGTAAATACAGCATGACAAATTAGCGCTCCCTGTCACTAAAGCTCCATTATTAATGTGGATGTTTTTACATATGGGAAAACCTAATGGATAGTGCCTATTTCTTGGAAATTGCTGAATACATACATGCCTGTAACTCTTGAAGATCTCCCCAATTTACATCATATGATCTCATCCAAAAATTATTTTCCAATTTGACGGATAGATTCTTATTTTCATTCTCATGATGTTTATTGAGTTTTGCATTATTGGCCAAGTCTACTCAAAAGTGTGATCAAGAAATCACATCCGACAGCTTTGTATTGAGGAAATTGGCTAATCTAGTAAAGCTTCCTGATGGACCCTGACATCACACATCAATCATGTTGACCATCAGTAAAGATTGTCATATATCACCAAAGTCATGCTTTTAGCATATAAAATCCAGAAATGTGAGAAGGTTAATTTTTGTTCCCCATCGTGGAGACAAATATTCAATTAGAATACTAAGAAGTAGACAATCATTGAATAAGAGTTGAGTATTGACATTATTTTTCAAAGATTTATAAATCCCTGTTCAAAGTTACCATGGTTATTCCACTTAATGTTATCATTTACAAGTAACCATGGTTATTCAAGTTACCATTATAATTCACAAGTTACCATGGTTATTCCAGTTACCATTATAATTCACAAGTCACCATGGTTATTCCAGTTACCATTATTATTCACAAGTTACCATTGTTATTCAAGTTATCAAACAGTTTTCTTGATTAATGGTAGATGTGGGAGAGGCTAAATTCAAATCTTTTCCTATTGCAGACACAAATACTGGCTTCAACTATGAAGCTGACATTGATATAATAAAAGATGAGTATTCACATGGCTGTTCACTTTTACCATGGTTAATCAGAGTCACCATGGTTATTCACATACATAAGTAGTAAACCATAGTAATTCACAGCAACTATGGTTTTTCAAGATTATGTCATATGTAAAGTTACCAAGCTTACTCACTGTTACCATCATTATTAGTATTTATACATGTAGCAGGGCTCGCTATGCTACAATGGTTCCTCATCTGTGCTTCAATTGCATCATTTGAAAAATAAGAGAAAGGTGGAGCTCTGTTGTGTTCTAGTTTCACACTTAGTCATTTCTTACACAAGGGCCTACTCAGATACAAAATATGTCAAGTTAATTCTTGAGGAATTGTGTGAATTAATCACTTTATGTGTATAAATAATTAGATGCCAGCTCTAACTTTCTCTTCAATTCTCTACCTGAGTTCACATGCCAGCAGGCTCATTCAAGCTTATTTATGATATCCTTGAAAATCTCTGACATTTGCATGCATTCTTTATGAAAAGTATTAATTAACCCTGATTGTGTTGAATTATTCATTTTGCATCAATGCAGTATAGCTCTTCTGAGCTTCAGTGCCCCAATCATTGTAGTCTCATGGGTATAAATGCTCGTAAACAAAACACATCTCTCGATACACTATACACATTCATCATTACCAGACAGGCTATTTACCTCGTACCTGGACTTTACAAATAACGTTCATGTTTATATCACACAAAATACCCCAAAATTTGTGTGTCCTATTATATTTCCCCAAAGGTTCCAAGATGTCCGTAATACCATAGTGGTGGATATTGAACACAGCATTTTGTTTCTTTGACGCCTTGGCTTCTTCCACTAATGTTATTTTCTATATGCCACTCTGAAAATGAGAAAACATTTATATCAATTATGAACATCCTATCTTTGCTTAATGAGGATAATAGAATTATTGAGGGGTTTTAATGGCCTTGGAAGTACTAATCTAGTACAGTAAAACCTGTCCATTTGACAGGAACTGATATAAGCAAAAGTTAATTCTAATAATTTGTCCACAACCAGAGGGTTTTTACATTGTAAGGTTTTCAAATTTAGAGGTTTTGACATTATATGGAGTCAATGGTATATTTAATAGGAAACTGAAAACTTTCAGATAACAATGGAAAGATGTTCTTATAGAACTTACTGTATCATTATGTGTCAGGGCATTAAATTTTGGTCCTTGGCATGTGTCCTGTTCTAAAAGAATAAAGTGTACTTACAAAATGATATGCGAGCCAAGACTCAGGGGAAAGCCATTAGCAAGGATGATACACTGGTAGCCTCTCATATAATATTTCTTTGCACTTTGGCCCCTTTGATTTTGGTGAATTCCTTCTCATCACAATTTTTTGATTTTTTTATATAAAGTAACTCTCATATCTTTTCTAAATGATATATTTAATGAAGAATGTGTTAACAGTATGTTTTATTTTTACCCAAAACAGGCAAAAATGCATGTCAAGGAATGACATGTGACCCAATGGAGGAATGTCATGTCAACCGCAATGGGAAAGCAGAATGTCGATGTCCCCCAGAATGTGAGGCTATCATGCGGCCAGTATGTGGCTCAGATCTCAATACTTACGACAGTGAATGCGATCTAAAGCGTCAGTCTTGCATCACTAAGCGTCCAATCAGACTTAAGTTTATCGGCCCCTGTGGTAAGTTTACCTTTTATGGTCATTACCATGTTGGTTTTCTATGTCTTGATCTTTTGTTGCAATATTCATTGCTTCTGAGCTCTTTATTTACATTTTTATGAAAACTCCTTGTGCTTTTGAAATGTTTCATGTGATCTAAAATACACACTTCAAGCAAACAAAAAGATGGAGGAACAGGAAACACAGACTCACTATCTTTTCGTATTTGCTTTTTTCTTTCAAAATGTGCTATATTTACTGAATTATTTCAACTGCAATAGCTGTGTTAGTATGTTACAGATAATGTCTCCCAAAACTATCATTTATTGTAGGTACTGCTTAATTATTTTTACTTTACACAATTAAAATAGCATTTTATCACACATTTTGGTAATAATAGTTGCTGTTTTGGACATTCCTGGGTCAAGTTAATTTCTAGTTTCTTGAATAATGGCTTTCTGTTTAATGATTAGTTTTGAACAAGATTTAGTTTGGATCAGATCTTGAGTGGCCTCTCAAAAGGTGTACATTGTGCACTGCATTTCACTTCAATTCAATTCCTTATCACGTATAATCTTTTGTATCGTCAAGTGGCACATAATTCCATATCATATAAATCCAGATCTATTTTAATGAAACTTGTGTTTTAAGTCATATGAAATACCCAAGTGGGTTCCGTTATGGTATATTCACATGATATCATATGGTAAATATTCATTATCATTTTCGAGAAAAAACCTATTAAGGCTGTTTTTGAATTGCTTTGTTAAGCTATTCCCATAGGGCTTGCTTTGAATTGTACCATTATATGCTCTCAAAACATAGTTAGTTAGTTTTGGCTTTCTCAACTAGATACAATTTTGTAATTTCATCTATGGCCCTATAACCCACACCATGCAAATTTGTATATGTTCCTCCAAAACTAAAATGACTTGGTTATAGTTAACTTTTTTGCAACTGTATCATATTGAGTAATCATTTTTGTGTTGATGTGAGTAACAGTTGTTCTGTTGATACCTGCTTTACTCCTAAATATTTTGCTAACTATAAGGGGGAAGAGGTTGGCGGCTGCGTAAAGGTCGTAAAGGTAGAATAAGGTCCCATCTTGCCAGGCAGCAAAGCGGAAGCCTTACCAGAAAGTACATCTCCAAGTATAAAGGTATAAGCAGACGGCTCTGCAGGCACATATCACAAGATCAGCAACCCAAGAACCACATAGATCACAGAATTTATTTGAATATATTAGATGCATCCTCGTTGTTGTAAACCATAATTCCACCTAAATTCTACTTTGTTTAGGAATGTGTAATGTAAGAGCTAATAATTAGCTATTATTAATCAACATATTTGATGAGATGAAGTTTGAATCAAAGAAAATCAGGAAAAAATCTCATCAATAATTTAAACAAAATATTATTCTATTTTTTTTATCAAAACACTGTTTCACTGTCAGCCTGCATGTAGCAAGATTGTAGAGATAGTAATCTCAATGGGACCACGGACTATTGCAAGTGACACATCTTACCCCAGGGCCCAGAGTCATCACTGCATACACATTTCAATATAAAATATGTGACATGCCAAATCAAAATTTGATATATTCTCCTGGCACTTCCTTCAAATTTTCTCATTGGCTATTTCATGTTGAACCAGTTAGCTACTAGCAATGTTACCAAATTCTATTTGAGTGGTAGTAATTCATCCACTGGGAACAGAGATGATATGAGGCAATTTGAGTCACATGTCCTCTTGCATTCTACATGTCATAAGTAGGGAATATAGATGACATGTCTTACTTTAAACTGGAGTTTGTTATTCAAGTTGTCAATTTTTGTCACTTTATACTTTTACTGCACCATTTAACACTTCCCATTGTACTTCTTAATGTCTGTATCACCCATGTCACTGGTAGGATCACTTGACGTCCAAGCAAATAGCCTATCCCTTTCTGTGTAGCATTCAATGATACATCCTTCTACGTTAATTATAAATGGTTTGGGGAAATGGACACCATTTTCCCAATGATTTTAGATAAACAAAACATATTGGAATCATTTCTCTGTCTGATAGAACAGAATGTGAATTTATTGTTATAAAATTGTCACACCTGGATCAGATTTGGTTTCAATATACCACCGGTCTGTTCATAGACACATCTTCTTTTTTGTATCAAAGTGTTTAATGCTATTTTTGCTTGTGTATGAGACTATGAGTGGGTATGTATGCCAACACTACTGAGGATCTGGGAAGAATTGTTAATTCAAACCAGAAATGATAAATATATTTTCGATGTCATTGTATCAATGTTTGTCTTATTGTATTGATGTCATGTTGATTTTACTAATATCACTTATTTATTGATGTCATGTTTATTTTATTCTTACTAATGTCAACATGTTTTTTGACATTAAAATTATATTGATGTAACAATGTATGATGTCATGATATGTTTACAGGAGATGAAGGGCCATGCAGACATCACACATGTAACCATAATGCTATCTGTGTTGTAAGCAAGGGAAAGGCCACCTGTCAATGTCCATCGTGCCCCAGAGACTTTAGACCAGTAAGTTTGGTTTGGCTTTCAATATTGTGATTTTTTCAGTCAAATGAAGATGATGGTTGTAATATTTATAGTTTCAAGTAAAACAATTTTGTTCATGAATATATTGACATTTATGGCCATGACAATTTAGCAAAAATAAGCCAATAAATTAGCAATGTAATTGTACGGGCCCGAAACCAGGATTTGCCAAGGGGGTTCACTTGCGACAATTTTGGTCCAAAAATGGCAAAAATCACTTAAAAAGTGCTCAGAATGGTGAAAACTGCATGTTTTTGAAAGATTTTTTGGCCAGGGGGTTCAATGAACCCATCGACCTCGCCCTGGCTACGGGCCTGTTGTATACATAATTTATACGACAGTATTATTTCTTGTTTGAGTCACAATTTAGCAGTTTCGTACTCTGATTGGAACTCATTTACCTAATCTTGGGATTTTGGGGATTTGATTGAAAAGTGTTGTGAGGGTTTTTGATGTCTAAATTTCCCTACCTCATGGAATTTGATTAAATTTTGCTTTTAAATGCACTCATCAAATGCTCTAATTGTTGTAGGTGTGTGGCAGTGATGGAGTGACTTATGCCAATGAATGCAGATTGAAGTCTGCAGTGTGCGAGAACAAGAAGAAAATAACAGTGCGACACAGAGGAAGATGCAGTAAGTCATTATTATAAAATCTAACAGCAGACTTTTTAATTACAGCTTTATGATCAATGATTTAAAGTCATTGATTTTTTCTGCATTGTTTTCTCAGTTTTATTATTAATTAATCAAGTTAAGCTCCTGTGGGGTTTTGGTAACCAATACTTTGTTAATTTTGTTCAAAATACTATGAATTATATGAGGATTTAATTCAAATGAAGATTTAAAGCGAACAATTCCTATTTCACAAATGCAATACCAGGTCTACTTACAGTGACTTTTAATCAGCGTTGCAGTCATCATAACCTCATAGTGACCTCGAAATAAAAATATTATCTCGTTGCTTGGAACATTAAAGAATTCCTCTGAGCCCCATGAACAAGACATAAAACAAGTTTTACAATATCTTAAATTGTCCATTACATGTTAATAATTTTTTCAATGTATACATGTAATAAAAAATTTAAATTTAAAAATGGCAAATATAAGGCCGATTAATCAGAAATTTTTCTTATATTTTTGGGTTTGATCTAAGCAGTTTACCAATTCATTTTTAATATGTTCATTTGTGAGGAAAATAATATGCAAATTGTATATTTTAGTACAGTAAATTATGTAAAATATATAACAAAGTGTTTAACATAGACTTTGGTAAGCTGAGCTTGTAAAGATATGAATAATCACCATCTGGCCAATGTTGTTCACAGATGTAATAGCGCACAATAGTACTTTGTATAAAGAAAGTACATTCATCGTTTTGAGATATGAACCACAGCACAATTGTATCACAAAACACTAGGGATGTCAAAAGAAGCTTCATAATCACTAGGGGATGTCAAAAGAAGCTTTACAATCACTAGCGATGTCAAAAGATATATTATCATCACTAGGGATGTCAAAAGAAACTTTACGATCACTAACGATGTCAAAAGATGCATCACAATCACTAGCGATGTCAAAAGATACATCACAATCACTTGGGATGTCAAAAGAAGCTTTACGATCACTAATGATGTCAAAAGATGCATCACAATCACTAGCGATGTCAAAAGATACATCACAATCACTTGGGATGTCAAAAGAAGCTTTACGATCACTAGCGATGTCAAAAGGTCAATCACAATCACTAAGGATATCAAAAGGTACATTACACTAATCACTAGAGATGCCAAGAGAAATTTAAATGATCATGTTGGATTTAACACAAAAGAATCACATTGGACTTATCACAAGGGATCACATAACAGCTACACATGCTTCATTCCTACATGGCTTGGCCTATTATCCTATTGTTCTCTGTTACCATGTTCTAGTGGTTCTGCTGTGGTTTCAGATAGGACAGTAGCATTCAAATCTATTGGAAGAAGCGTAAAGATGTCCTCAATTTTGCTGATGATGTCATGCATAATACATTCTCTTGTATCAGTTGCCATGGAGATGACATCATAATGTCTGGAGTACTTTATGCACTAAGAACAAATATATTAATGTCATAAGGATAGTAGTTATTATATGGATACAAGTAAGACTGGACTAATAACCAGATTTATATTGATAACATTCGACCAAGAACCCAAATATACTCGATTGGCTGGGATTCAAAATGCTGAACTAAGAATTTGTTTGACAGCATAAACCAAGGACCTATTGGTTAGAATATTAGGAGACTCGCATAACACTGACTTACATATTCAATAGACCTTTCCAATAAATTCTGCCTCCCTTTTTTTAGATGAGGATAAGTTGGCTAGATTGATGATGTCATTGGTTGTTGCTAGCAGTCAGTCCAAGTAAAAATAGGATTTACTTATTTCTAATTTTTTTGAAAAGTACAACCTAAGACATCATCAATCTAGCCGATATAATTATAAGTTCTTTGATGTATTAAAAGGTGGCACAATTTACTGGAAAGGTCTATAAGCATGGATAGTACTTGACATTACCATGGCTGTATGGCAGTTAGACAATGTGGAAATAGAACCTTACGTTAAATCTAATTGCTGCGGACTTTATGTATATACGAGATTGATTATATTAATAACTCTTTGATTAATATAATGTCATTTTTTATATGAATTAATCATTATTCTTGGACTTGAATAACCCCTTAAAGTTTTTTTTCACATTCCAATGTTGTGTCACTGTAATTTTCCAGACGTACATCAATGTAATGTTGTATTTATTAGATGAATAAAACATACAATGACTTAGAAATTGATTCCCTTTCCACTATGATGTTAATAAATTGGTGTTTTACTAACCTCCTCTGAGAATGTGTACCGTAATTTTGGCACTCTCTTAATCATTTACCCATTCACCATGAATAATAATGATTTGTTATATCAACAAACAATGTGAAAGCCAGCTACCAAGTTTATTCTTAATATTTCTTGTTCATGAGTATGTATGTACGAGGGTTGTCCTAGAAGTTTTTGGTTGACTCTTACCGGTAATCATAATTATTAAGTTGTACAAGGGCCATCTGAGAAGTTTCTGGATGGCTCTTAATCATTATTAAATTGTACTAGATGTTTCTGGATTAATCTTCAGCATATAAGGGCTGTTCTAGAAAATCCTGGAAACTCATACTAATGAGAGTTGATCTAGAAGTTTTTAGAATCACTCTAAAAGTTTTTAGGAGTATTTTTCACATTGATTTAGTATAAACTGGAGTTGGAGTATCATCTTAATATTGTGGCACATGGTATCTTGTGTGAGATAATTGTAACTCAAATGAAATGAAGTTTTCCTTCAGGCACGTAGCCAGGGAGCAGTTGGATGGGTTTGAGCGAATCCCCCCCCCCCCAGCCAAAAATTCTTTCAAAATCATGCAGTTTTCCACCATTCTGAGCACTTTTTAAGTGATTTGGGCCATTTTTTTTGTTAAAAGTGAACCCCCCCTGGAACTTTTCAAAAAGTGACCCCCTTGGCAAATCCTGGCTACGGGCCTGTCCTTGATGGCTTGCTGTCAATTACAACTTAGGAGTTGATAGCAGTGATATCTTAAATTATTACTTGATACCCCGAGACAAATTGTCAAAGACTTGTTTCAAATCTTTTCTTGTAATTTTATTGGCACATATATCTGATAAAAATATATTGGCCTGTCTAGAATTGACATTCCTTGTCATAATTGTAATTCTTATGAGATCTTTGTCAATTTAAGAGTAATTAATTGAAATTCATTGAAATTTAACATTTGCTATTACATGTAAAATATATTATTATTGTATTTAGATATATTTTTGTTAGTCTAATATCTTTCTGTGACTTTCAGATGAATGTAAAGATGTGAAGTGTGACTATTATGGTATATGTGAAACCAACAGTAAAGGACACACTTGTGTCTGTCCACAAAGTTGTGTCAGTGTAAGTTCACTGTGTATCTTATATATGGCTGTGGCAATGTAATTGAGGTTGTGATTCGTATTCATCTATGTGTCAAGTGCCAGATTAAATGTCTTGATTTTGAAATGAAATTACTAATTAGCCTAATGGTAAAAATTTATTTAGTGTTAATTTTGATGTATAAAAATCTCTAAAGTTGCAGAACTGGAATAATCCCACATTTAACATGGATACATCTTTCAGAAAAATACTTTCACAATTGTAAAACATCTAACAGATTGAATCCCTTTACTATTTGTTAGGTTGATGCAGCGGTGTGTGGAACAGATGGTAAGACATACCTGAATGAGTGTGAACTGAAGGTGGCCTCTTGCAAGATGAAACAGCTCATCAAAGTCAGCTCTAAGGGCTCATGTGGTAAGTGTAATGATCACACAGTACTCTCTGATTAAAGCCTCAGTCACATTTCCTCTACGGCAGGCATACGGTATATTGAAAATATACATTGTACTGCGTATCCCTATATTTTATGCTGCATATTTCTCTCGATTTTGGGAAACTATAGCCACCATGTGGTTGCCATAGATGAAATGTGACTAAGATATTACATAGTGTTCATGTTCACTGGGAATGGACTGTGTTTTGATTTTCTCAATTCTTTCTGATTGGTATACAGACAGATCCCAAACCAAAGAGTGTAGGTTTTGTAGAAGGTAAATAATGCTCAATAATATGACTTAAGTTAAATGTTACAGGTAAATTTCTGCCCAGATGTATATTTTTATGGAAGTATTCTTTAATTCAATTCAAGTAGATAAGATAATGTTATTTAAAATTTCAGATATGTGTGCCAATGTCAAATGTCGCTTTGGCTCTGAATGTGAGAAAGGAAAGTGTGTTTGCCCACAAGGCTGTCCCACAGACTACACACCTGTATGTGGTACTGACGGACAGACCTACAACAACGAATGTGAAATGACGAGGTCTGCTTGTGAGAGCAACTTTGAGATCACGATCGAACATGAGGGCGAGTGCAATGAAGTCTCAGGCTCAGGTAAGGACCATATTAGGATGTTTTTCAAGACCATATATGGATGTTTGTCAAGACCATATAAGGGTGTTTGTCAAGATCACAAGAGGGTATACAATAAATTTAAAATAGAGACAATTTCTATGATTAAAATACGAGAATAATTAAAATAAAGGAGGGGCCTTCCTCCTTTGAATGATGTCTATATTGCAATAAGTAACTTATGATATCTAGCTAACTTCAAATATCTTGTAACCATTTGAAATTGAAATATATTTATTTGGACTATTGTACTGAATGAGGCCATTGTTATTTTGTAACTCCAACTTGAATTAATGGTGAGTTTCATTATAACAACAGCCAATGTCACAAAGTGAATACATATCTTAATGTCATGTCTCGTGATTAGTTGATGTAAATTTGCATGCTTCATTTTTTCTTTACTACAGTATAAAAAAGCTGCATGTTCAAATGTTTATGTCATTTGTGGGTCATTGGTTTTTTCCATATTAGTATAAGACATCCTATTTTCTAAGAACCTTTTTTCTCTTATATACTATTGTACACTGTGTCCTTGTCAAATGTATGTTTCATGTAAATATAAACTTGTGTCCTCTGCATTGTTCTATTCACATTTTTTGTAGTTCAGTATGCTATCATGTAAATGAATTTCATGTGCATTAACTAACTGCTATTGGAAAACTAGAAAATGATCATTTTAAAGTGGTTTGTCACACCTAGAAACAAATAAAAGATAACTCATGTAAACTCTTAATCACAACATATTGATGTTCATAGCATTGTATCCATACATGTGTTGGCAATGTATTCATACATGTATACACATTGTAGGCATGCACTTGTTGACATGTTATTCATACCTGTGTTTACCATAATGTATATATACATGTTTTGAGATTGTTTCCACACATGTGTTGGCAATGTATCTATTCAATACAGCATTGTAGCTATACATATGTGGCTGACATTGTACCCAGACATGTATTTGGTATTGTATCTGTACATGTGTTTATATTGTATCCATACATGTGTTGGCATTATGGATACAATAGTTTCTTACATGGATACAATCTAATGTTCTTGTGTGTCTCTTTCTTCCTTTCTATCTGTGCTGTATTATAAGACTAAACATGTAGATGCCTTACCAGGTAAACATCTATTGATCTTACTACAAATTAACTATTGAATCAACATTTACTAACTTCTACATTACATTTATCACCACGTTCTCTTTCATGTAAATGCTTCTTTAAAACACTACTGGTCATAACATTGTTAGCTTTCTTATAGCTCAAGAATTTGGGGCCTAAATGTTGCCACGACAATAATTCACATAATACCCTTTGTTCTCATTCTACTTCATTACTAACTCTATAAAGCTTTGTAACATCTGACCCGTAGCCAGGGGGGTTCAGAGCTAACCATCTCTGGCCAAAAACCTTTTCAAAAGCATGCAATTTTCACCAGTCTTAGCGCTTTTCAAGTGATTTTGGTTTAAAATGGTCAAGTGTGAACCTCCATGGATTCCCTTGGCAAAAGCTGGCTATGGGTCTGTGACTAATGACTAATGTAAATAATACCATTAACATCTAACATTCTCTTATATGTTTGGTACTGTCTGGTGCCATTTTCTGAATTAAGCATGTGATGTGATACTTATTTATATTAAGGTTCAGGAGCTGGTATGTGTGACGAGACAACGTGTCAGTTTGGTGGAGAGTGTGACATGGATGCAGAGGACATTGTGTCAGTCTGTGTCTGTAACTTCAACTGTGAGGCCCTCAGGTAAATCATACCATATATACACTTTACATCAGTTTCAAAAGTGTATATCAGTTACTCTGGTTCAGAGCCTGATTACTGGACTCTTAAGCCTCAGTCAGATTTGCCCTACAGCGCCCGTAGCTTCACAAAATTGATATAGAAAATCTACATTGTACTGCAATCCCTATATTTTATGCTGCATATTTCTTTCTATTTTGGGAAGCTATGTGTATGGTAGTCGTAGATCAAATGTGACTGAGGCATTACATACAGCCTATAGGGTGTTGGGTTTTCTTACAATACAAGAGAAATTACAATAGTAATTTATATTCATAGATAATCATTTTATCATTTTTTGTCATTTTACCTAGGGAATTTACAGATGATATCCTAATATTCCACACAAACACAATTGAAAGTTTCATTAAATTACAAATACATTATGGCATAATTGAATTTATTTCTGTTGCTAGGCAACCTGTGTGTGGAAGTGATGGCCATAAATATGGAAATGAATGTCAGATGAGAGAGGAATCGTGTCGTCAGCAGAAGCGCATCACTCAAGTTGATGATGATGATTGTGACGACAGTAAGCTAAACTCTAAATACATCAGGGTTATTATCTGAGAGGTTTTGGATATAGGGTTTATCCCAAGGGAGATATAGATGATTCCTGAGGTTATGAGATACATTTCAAATGTCTAATAAGAAATATTATAACATTAAATAGTAGAATTCCAAAATTCCTTGTACAGAGAAAATTCTATATTACTTAAATCTATTAACGCAAATGCGAGTAGGTAATTACCAGTTTCACCACCAGGTGGCTCGCTCGAGTCAGATAGCATGGTGGGTCAGATAGCATAGCATGGTGGAGAGAAAATACTCTATGTGCTATTTAAACATGCACAGTTCTTTTGATGGTGAATATCGCTTAAATCGATTATGCAAAAAGTTTTATTAGAAGCTTAATCTTGTTGCATATATTGTAGTATTTGATGAGTTCTGCGATGGCAATGACGCAGTGGTGGATGAGACAACAGGAGAACTGTTCGACTGCAGTACATCATCAAAATGCCCAGATGGAAGTTTCTGTCATAAAATCAAAATTAACTCAGAAGTAGTTGGCCGATGCTGCTTTGCAGGTAAACAATTCTGTTTGTCTCACAATGTAGTTAATGTAGTTAACATTAGATATTCTTGTTAGACTCACTGCTTCCCTGAAACTATAATATATCAAGGCAGATTGAAGATTTGAAATAATCCTCTCAGTTTAGGTACCAATTTTAGTTTTACTAATAACTGGTATATATAAGTCTATTCTCCATTTTCAGCATAGATGGTCTAGCTTTTTCTTCTGTATTTCATTTTGCTAAGATCTGGAATCTTAACTCTTGATTCCCTAGAATGTTACCTCTTTAAACGTTAATACTGTACTTATTTATTGCAAACAGATTGGAAGAGTAAGTTGTATAAAATCACAACTCACAACAACTGAATATTTATACCTAGTTCCCATATTTTATTGAATCACGTATATAAGACTGTTTGTTAACCCTATCACTGCCAAAGACACAACTTGCTTCATTTTGACACATTAACCCTTTTATCCCTAAATGAAGACAAACTTCTGCAAAGTAATGTTGCTGTACCCCCAAAACCATATAAGGTGATATTCATGTATAAATAAAATTCCTTGCCTGGATTATTTTGTGTGGGATTGTCATACCTCCTTTGTTTTCAAAACCATAGTCTCATTAATTCCCAATAGATATTTTCTTGGCTTCCAATTAACCTGCAGGTCAGTCACCATTGTAATTTAGTCCCTTTGGGAATACCCATTACTTTACTCCCATATATCTAGCAGTACGGGGTTAAAAGGATTAATGATCACATGAATTTTGGTTTGACGTCACATTATTTTGTAGACACTCCTATTGTAAGTTGTAAGGATACAGAATTTGGCTGTTGTCCAGATGGAAGAACTTCGGCCCCTGGAGCTAGTGGTGCAGGTTGCCCCAGTAAGTGCCCCAGTGATGCATAGTGGCTGCTGCATTAGCTAGTTATGCAGCATTCTTATCCAGGGTTAAATGATGTTGTATACTGGTATACTCAGTTCACTCTGCAATTTTGCTATTTAGCATTGGTTTATTCCACGTTAATTTGATAATACAACAGGCGCTTGGGGAAACATTTGATTGAGAAAATGAATGTGTACTTCAGATCCCTAGAGGTATTTTATAATCAAGGCACTTACATGTATTTTAATCATGACTTACATGTTGTACTATATACATGAATATTTAAATGACCATTTTCAATTAGAATGATTATTAATGGTATTATGACTCTATGTAATACTTTTTTATTGGTTGTACATTGAATTGAAGGTTTAGGTATAATGTATATAGCTGGCTAGAACGGAAAGGGTAAGGGTTTGGACCATAAAATTCATCCATGCATGTTCGACCCTTAACCTATTTTATACAGCTGGTATCAGCATACACATCAAATCAACATAATTTGAAGCTGGTGTCAGTATACATTGTTGTATACCATTCAATCCTTACTAATAAATTCCCTTTTGGCTATGGTTGATCTTGGAATGCTCGTTTTCTTTAATAGTTTATTCCCAAATTTAGTTTGCATGAGACTCTAAGTAAGTGGTGGTAGAAACATGGTATGAACTAACATTCCAAAAAGGAGTTCAATTTCATGGAATTTTGGTTCATTAAATATTCAATAAGGCAATATTATGCAATATAGGACCTCATCTACAGACTTAAAAAATTGTATCATATTATATTTTAGGTGTCTGTCAGTGTAATTTGCTAGGATCATACGGTGGAACATGTGATCCACGTACACGGCAGTGTGTTTGTAAACCAGGAGTAGGGGGATTGAGGTGTGACCGCTGTGAGCCTGGGTTCTGGGGATTGCCAGACATTGCAAATGGCAAAAGTGGATGTACACGTAAGTTTTTTGAATTCTGTATTTTTTGTAAAACCGAACTGTGACAAATGAACCGGTTGAATCTGAGGAATTCAGTATCCATTATACAAGTGATACCAACAAGAATTTAAAGAGAAGTTATCAGCCTTAAAAAAATTTTGCAATTTTGTTTGATGTGAAGTTTTAATCCTGAGATAATTTACTAATGTACCAATAATTCTCTGATGTAGCCTTTGAATATGAATTATTAATTACTCAATGAGTAAGATTGTAATTGGAATCTAGGGTATCATGCAATAAAACCACCAATGTCTGAAATGTAACACCTTTAGTTGAATGCTATTGTGTATTATCACACCTGAAGTGAACTGAAGTTGGAAGAACAGAGAATACTCAAAATCTTTGTTCATAATGGTGGGGAGCATCTTTACTCGGTTCCTGTCAGTTGCAGTGAAGACCGAGCATGCAAAGATGGGTTGGGAGGGGCTAATCAGCCTCTCAGCTCTGGAAAATATTGCAAATCGCAACTCCCAGATAACATTCTTAAGTTCTTCCAAAATTGTTCATATTGTCTACACTGTGTATTGTTATTCAATCAATTTTGAGAAATGTCTTTGTTTGATCCTTTGTACCTTTATTTTATAACAGCCTGTGGATGCAACATCTTTGGCTCACAAAGGGATGACTGCGAACAGATGGATGGCAAGTGTATGTGCAAGAAAGGAATATCAGGACCCAAATGTAACGTCTGCCCAGAAGGAAAGGTCCTTGGTCCCCAAGGATGCATGGATCGTAAGTAACGTTTAGTTTGTGTAAAATATTTCAAAAATCGACACTTAAATGTCAAACTAATGCAGAATTGAGCACTGTTAATGGTGAGCCTAAAGCTCCATGAAATGGAAATACCAACTTGACTTGAAACAATTTGAAACAAATCTACCGTATATCTGATTTACATAATTTTCCAGTGTTTTGTTTTGTGGAATGTTTTCATTGTTTATGAATTGTACTATACATGCATTGTGTTTATTGTATTAACATTTTTCAAAGTTTAATTTTGATGTATGATTGTTCGTGTCACGATGCATTTCTTGACTGTGTATGGTTCAATAATTCCAGCTATTGATGCCTTGAGAGGTAATAGAGTAGTTATAGAGTCAGTGAAGTAAATAAGTTGTTTGCAATGGTGCAATATAGCACCTACTTCACAGTCACTGGTGCAATATAGCACCCTCACCAAAACACTTGTGCAATATAGTACCCCATCCAATCATTGCTGAAATATATAGCACCCCACTGAATTATAGTTGCAATTTGTCCCCCTCTCAAATTATTGGTCCAATATAGCACCCTACTCAATTATTGGTATATTGTATCACCCCATCCAATCATTGGTTCAATATGGCACCCCCACCCAATTATTGGTGCAATATATCACCCCCATCCAATCATTGGTGCAATATGGCACCCTCACCCTATTATTGGTGCAATATATCACCCCAATCCAATCATTGGTGCGATATGGCACCCTCACCCAATTATTGGTGCAATATATCGCCCCCATCCAATCATTGGTGCAATATGGCACCCCCACCCATTTATTGGTACAATATATTACCTCCACCCCATAAGTGCAATACAACACCCCCCCCCCCCATCTACCACCACCCTATCATTGGTACAAAGAATCCTTACAAATTTTATTTCACAATATTGTCACAAAAATGTTTGAAAAGTATCACTCAGTTCGTGATCGTGATGGCATGTTTGATGGATTGAAATTATAATGGCATAGCACTGATTTGCACATTAGACTCACAAGCAAGTTTAGGATTTTGTCAGATGAGATGCCACAAAGTACTCACAAATGTATTGCCACGAAGTACTCACAAATAAGTTGTCACAGATTTGTACTCACAAATATGTTATCGCAAATGTGTACTCACAAATGTTGCTTATGTTCACATCACTTTCTCGCTTTGTTCAACATCAATTCATTGCTCAATCTACTGTTTGCTTTAATGTTTTTTTCCCAGAGAGTATTGCAATGTAAATTTTCCCAGAGAGTATTGCAATGTAAATTTTCCCAGAGAGTATTGCAATGTAAATGAGTGCTCTGCCAATGCCAAGTGTCCACAGATTAAAAATAGACCAAAGAAAATGTCATTTATTAACCTTGATATTTTGCAAATTTGATTTGCTTTAATTTGACAACTATGTCTATTTAACTCAATCAACCCTTCTGAATATATAATTTTATAATTCAGGGTGAAAGTCTTTGGACACTTTGAATAGAGAATGGTCTATCTTGTATGTCAGTCTGGGAAGGGCCCATATCTTATACATAAATCTTCTATATATAAATCTTCTATATAAACCTGAGAATGGTTTATCTTGTATTTAAAATCTTAGGCAATATCTGTAGATGTAGTATAATAGAAGGTTCTGATGTAAAAGGACTTTTAATGAATTAGTTTCCCGCTGATATTAGTGCCCCACAATGGGTTATAATGGATTGGTTGTGGTTTGGTGACTATGGGAGACCCCTAGGACTTCAAAAGTACATGCATATATATCTCCATATATACATATGTACATAAACTGTGTACATATTCTACTACTTTTATTCTATATTTTAACATATCCTTTGCAATAATGCATTACCATGAACTGACCACTGTTAATTGTAGAAATCTGAATTATTATATTGTTGAGATTAACAAGGGCAGAATCATGATCTTAATTTTGTCTAATCAGATGAACCTTTCATTCATTATGATATCCTCTTTGTGCTACTCTATGCTAGCAGTAGTTAATACCTCCAAACATTGTAAAGTTACGGATCAAAACAATTACTCTTTTGTAGATATTCTCATATTATTGCAAGATTGAATTGTGGATCTATAACTTTTCAATTTTTGAGACATTAAACCACTTACATGTACTGATGTATACTTCTCAATACTAACATGTGTTTCTTGTCCTCCTTCATCTAGCTGAATATGTAAATGGGCATATGCGTGGTCGCATGCGACAAATATATCAATGGTTGCAAGGTTTGGCTTTTTAAACAACCAAGCATCATTTCTAGATTTCCTGACACTATTTAGGTCTGATAATGACCATAAAAGGAGCATTTCTGGAACATATCATAGAACCACGATTCATAAACGACTTTGGAAAAAGAATTTGAGATTGATGAATCACAGGATCTTAATATATTCTGGAATTGGTCTGCAGAGGCAGTGATATTGTACAATAACCATGTACCAGACTCATGAACATGTACTTGCCATATCAACACGATAAAGGTTAACATTTTCACTGAGTCTGTGTTTTCAGTCACCTGCAGAAAAATAAATATTTTTTCATAAGCATTTGATTTTTCCAGATAGTCAGATTCTATTTTCTCAGACATGGCTATAACAATATAACTGTCTAAACTTATATTTTCTAATTCAACTTTTAATCTAGAATTGTGTAACCACTTAAAGGCAAAGTTTGGTCTCAAATGATATAAACCAAAATCTGTCTCCAAATATTCTCTGGTGCTCTGATGTTCTTAACTTCTTCATCGGGTCATCAAAGATGTGTCCATTTATGTAGTGTAATTTACTTTACTTTAATGTACTGTGGTGTCTTAGTTTTATTTTGTGCATTAATAATAATTAATAAATTATTAAATAGTATAAATTTTTATATATTTCACATTTATTTGCTAAGAATACAGTTTTTTATTCATTCTTTGAACATTTTACATATTCTTTAAATGCCTCTAGAAGCTTGAAGTATGTTTGTATAATTTGGATATTTTACAATTTAAAGTACCAAAAGATATTTGAATTTATTTGTCTATTTCTGCGTATGATTGATTTTATTTTTCATTCTTTCTACATATTAGTTTCTTTTAACTTTTTATTTGATGAATCAACACAAATGGCAACATTTGAATCTTATCAGCATGTAAAAAGTACTTATGTCAATGTTGCAGTACTGTACGTGTGAAACCCAGTGGTTATTTTAAAACTTATTTAGACACTGTACTGTATTCTTTCTTGTTTGTGTTTTACAGCATTGTCAAAATTTTCTAGTATAGTTACATTATATTTTTCAAATAATAACATTTTTAATAAGGATTTAGAACAAAGTAGAAATCACAAACTGTCTCGTCTCTTGTTAACTGTCTCGTCTAAATTATGTTCTAACAATTCTGTATTTATAGCTTTATACTAACAATTAATGTGGTGTTCACTAAATGTGCTGTTTACTAAATGTTCTGTTCACTAAATGTGCTGTTCACTGACAGCTTCTCCTTCTGTGATTGAAACTCTTCAAATTGTGATTCTGTATTCTGTAAACGAGAAGAATATTCACAACTGTTTTATACCAAATATGGTATGTGACATACATGTGTTTATAATTTCCTTATATGGGTATACTCTATTCACATGTACTATATATGGGTATAATGAGTATGTCATACACTACAATAACAAAGTGAATATCCGTTCTTGTTGGGTATGGGAATTTTTGGGGAAAATTTGATTCCGAGATATTTTCCCCACTGTAAATCAGCAATAATATGACCACTATAGTCTTATATAATCCTTATTTTGATATTTGTAGATAATGGTAAAATGCCCGCCAGCTCATGTAGAGACATCAGGTGTGAACATGGTGCGTCATGTCAAGTGATGAATGGAGTAGCAGAGTGTGTTTGTCTCCCAACATGCCCTGCAACGAATGCTCCCCCAACGATGGTCTGTGGCACAGATGGACAGACCTATGGGTCAGAATGCCAGCTTAGATTGTTCGCATGTAGGCTACAGAAAAATATACAATTAGCTGGGAAAGGAGCATGTGGAATGAGTAAGTTTTATTCTTCATATTGAATTACGTTTTAAATGTTTTTTAATTCAAAATGGTTGCCTAAAACAGGAATTCGCAATAATTTAAATATCTCTTCAAAGTGTGGTTACTATTCTACATTAGATCACAAATTGTATCGTCTTCATGAGTTGTTCTTTTGATACTCCTTAAATGGTTACCCAAATGCTTAAATTGGTAGAAAATCTGATTTCTCATGAGGAGAGTAGATGGTAAATATTATATTGTAACATATACAGATTTAAAAATATTTTTTTGTTGGGATTTTCTACTCTGTAGAGTTGCCATTTTATGGTCATTAATAATTCTTTCAATTTTTTTTCCAGATGGCCCCATGCTACCGACTGCCGCCCCCGACAACCGCAGAACTCGTAAAGTTACCCGGCATGTTGCAACCACACCTGATACGCCAAAGACGAAGCATATAGCCCTTGAAGATGAATGTTTATTCGACTCTGATTGCATGGCAAAAAACAGCAGATGTCTTTATAATCGCTGTAAATGCAAACCTGGATTTTTCCAGACAGATAATGGAAAAATGTGTTCTCGTGAGTAAACATTTGTTACAGATATTACATTTTTACATTTTGATAGAAGGATATTGGTGGTTTTTATCTTTTCATGTTGTACTTCATTGAGGATCTTCAGTGTTTTATGCACTTTTTGAATTTGTTATTTTGTACAGAATTGTCTTTCATGATAGACTAGGATATTACCACTATACAGTACCTCTTTTTCTGGGCACCTTGTAATATTTTGATATACATGTAGTAATTTTTATTTTTGTGTTTTCTTGAATATCATGCCTCACTTTCATTTTCTACACGTAAACCACTTTTTTCATTTGTCTTTTTTCATTTGTCACAAATATTGTCTTACATAACATCTTGGGTAAACATTGCAGGGTCATCATTTAAACGAAACATACGCTGAAAAATAATGAAATGATTAAGAAATTAATAGACTAAATATCAAATCTAGCGGAATCAAGAGAAATCGAGTGAAATAAACATGACCCTACAGATATTTACTCTCAGATGTATTTTTAGTTGTTACTTGAATGTTTTTTGGTTTATTTCTTCTGATGGCGCTTTAGCTGAGATGATTGAAGTAGATGATAATAATGCTGAGATAGACATTGACCTAGATGCTGGAAATCTTTTGGACAATGATGATCTGTATGAGGTTCAACCAGAAACCTCTCCTGAACCAGAACCCACACCTAAATCTGAATTAGACATGGAAAAAATAAATTTTAATAAGTTCAAAGATTTGAAGACTTTATATGAGGATCCATGCGCAAGCTCACCATGTAAAAAAGGAGGCACCTGTATACCAGATGATAAACTTTTATCAGGGTTCAAGTGCAAGTGTACTAAAGGCAGACGGGGAGATCTATGTCAGAAACGTAAGTGAGATTACATGTAAGAATATACATCATTGTGAGAGGTTACTATGGTTACAGCCCAGGTAAATTGTCTCAGAGAATACAGCAATATTTGATGTTGTCCAAAAATGTAATTAACAATTTTTCAGATCAACTTCTTCCAAAAAATTCAGTTATTTTCAAATTCAAATCCACTTATAAAAACTGATATCTCAAGTAAAAATGATTTTACTATCTTCCCTTACAATGAATAATTACATTTTTGGATGTGTATCAAACTATTCAAACAAATGGCCTGAAGTATTAAATCTCTCTTATTTAGACATGGTATTTTGAATCAACAACAATCAACAATTGGTCAATTAATCATTACATTAAGGTGGCTTTGTATAAAAAACCTCCTACCTCATACCCACCTACCCACCTACGTGGGACATGATACAGTCATTGATGGGTTCAATTTTAAAGATTTTTAAATCTCAAAATAGCTATAATTATTAACATTTCTACAATTCCGGCTTTATTTTATGACTACACGGATCACAGATCCATAAATAAAGGCATATGGGTGTATTGTAATGTGTAATGACCCAAGGGCGCCCCAGGGGAATAACTATCTAACGACCGCGAGCATAGGTCCAACAAGCCAGATAAAGAAATTGAATGAAAGTGTGCTAAATTCGATGCCCCGAGTGGGAATTGAACCCAGCTGGGCTGTAGTAGCAACTTGCTATCAAGGGTCGTTACAAATGCATCCATAATTATTATAAACTAAGATATAATAAACTAAGATCTTTAAAATTGAACCCTTCAAAGACTGTATCATGTCCAACGTACGTGGGTAGGTGGGTATGAGGTAGGAGGTTTTTTATACAAAGCCCATTAAGGTTGATTTTTAAGCCACGGATGTAGGACTAATGATATGTTAATGCATGGAATTGCATTATAATGTCACTCACCATCTGTGATATGACACTGGGCACCATATAACATTATATCGATCGTATATACACATTACTAACTCCATCTCATTTGAGCGTGTTTTAAAGCTATAGATGGCAGCACAAGTATGCAAGCCACGCTGACTGTCACATACACGGCTCAGTTATCAAGCATACAGAATGAATATGCTCATTTTACAAGAACATCATATTCATTTAATAGATTGATGTAAAAGAAATATATTTTAACAGAAGATGTTATTGTAAGACCAGCTGTTACATACATAGTGTAGTTTGGTCTGGGAGGGAATGGCTGTCCTACTTACAATTACATTTAGCCTATGCAGAGAATCAATCTGTGATTAATACTTAAATGATCAACGAAATGGAATCTCATGATTAACCTTCTGTTTTTTATCTTCTAATTTTAAAAAAAAGTTTCTTAGTTTCCTGTATAATGTTGTTTTTTAGATGTCATTTATGTTCTTGATGTTTCCTATAAATTATTCATTACTATTCTAATATATTCCATAATTTTTACATATAATTGAATAATAATTGTATTTTGTCCAGCATGATTTTTGATATAAAGTTCCCAGTAGATTTTATTATTTCAAATATGTTAGTAATGATATATGTTAAATATTTATATTATCGTTAATATCTTCATTCCTCCTGTACTTAATATCCCTCCCTGTTTTTGTCTTTGTAGGTAGCAAAAAACAACGTAAAAAATCTAAAAAAAATAAAAAAGATCGTATGTAGTCTCATCCTAAAAAATATCGCTTCCTCTATGTATCATAATTTTCATTTTATTTTCCTTTATACGCTTCTAACACACACCTCCAAAACCTTTATTTCATGTTCAATTTCACATATTTTCTTTTACTGAATCTCATTTTATTAACCTTATAAGCTGTATTATTATTTTATTTAATTGTGCCACTTTGTCAAAACTTATATCATGGAATTATTCAATTTTTTATCAGATTGATTGTTTCTGAGCTGTGAAAACTTGTAAAATATTTTGTAAATATTATGTACAAAAAAATCTTTTAATGTTGTAAGGTTTTCATGTTTATATCAGAGACATTCATTTTCATCAAAACTTCAGAAAATCTCACAATTTTATATATTATCTCCGCCAGTAGTAAAATATGTAATAAAATGTCATCTTTTTATCATATGACATTTTACATTCATAGCATAATACAAATTTAAAAAAAAGTACATTTGCAGTGAAAAAGTTGCATCATTGCTTGTTTTGGCGGGGTGTTGTTATCCCAACTTATTGTATGGACATTTACACCTTTATCATTATTAAAGGCATTAGAATGCTGATCGTATGAAGCTTATTACTGAGATACTTGAATCCTTTGTCCAAACTGCATGTTTGAAGCTATCCATTTTATCATATGGACTGGTCAGTTATGCTTGATAATCCCCGCTTTGTATTATATTTGATAACAAGTACATCAAATCAGTATTACCCATAAGAAACTACAATATTAAATAACAAAAAATGAACCGCAAAATAATCAATTTTAATCATTCTATATCTACATTATCTTCATAATTTTAGTTTTCTATTAGTTCCTCAACTTTTGTAGACTTAATATTCTCTTAGAAACCTCATATTTATGTACTTCCTAGTTATTTATTTTACCTTCTAGTTCTTTATCTCGTAGAATTGTATGCTTGTATAGTGCATAAGTTGTTTGTTCTTTATGTTGCTTTAATGGTTAAGTTCTGCTATTGCTTGCTATGTAGTCGCATTTGGTGATGGGAACTCCGCTTCATCAACTTCATCCCATATCATCACTGACACTGACAACCCTCCACTCGATAACGACTTCCCGGAAGACCTTGATGATGTCACAGTGGACAACGATAAAAATGACGTCATCAAAAGTGAGCAAAGAGATGCGCCATTTGGAGGAATGCTGGGAAAAGGTTTGTCTTGGATTTATCATGTGTGAGCAGCACTGGCTTCATTTTCACTTCCTCCAATTTGCCGTCCTTTCAGCTATCAACACCGCTCTCTGTTCAAACAATAATTACTATAGATAAACAATAAAGCATAGTTAGAGAACTTAGCATATTTACTTTAAAATTTTACAACTTTATTTGTAGGACTATCTTTGGTAGATGCAGAAACTAACCTTTCGTACATTACCTATACGTTTATGTAGAAACCTCCCAGTAATAGATCGTATATTTTTAGATGTATTTTACCAGTCATGATTTATTACATGTAATTAATTAATATTTCTTTCGTCTTTATCATATGCACTCTTTGATTTTTGAATGTAATTAACACTGATTTAACATGTCATTTTATTTTAGTTTGATTTTCATATTCTAAAATACTCACAGGTTTTATATTTGATACTGTATCTGCTAACTACACTAACAGTTTTAGCTTTGTCTTCTCAAGGGTACATGTACCTGGTTTGATATTTTTTATGTAATCAGTGTTATATGAGTTCACTTGAATTTTTGTTCATTTCTTTCTTTGTGTTTTCTATAAAAACCACAAGCATTTTATAAAATGTTGATTGCACAAATAGTGAAAGAGTTGACATTAAACCCCTTGGACTAAAATACAAAATGTTGCATGTGCATGCAAAGTCACCTTTTGACTGATTTCAGAACTAGATGAAATATCATTACCTGAATCTGAACCAAAAGCTCCAGAAAATCTGGAATTGGAGCCAAAAACTCCCGAATCAGAGCCCGAAACTCCATCTCCTGAACCAGAGTCTCAAACAACTCCCGAACCAAAGTCTGAAAATCTCCCAGATATTATAATTATCTCACCAGATGATGATCTGAACTTTAACAATGATACTGAGATAACTGCTGTAGTCGTAGAAGTGGTAGATGTTTGTAGTTGTAACCCCTGCATGTACGGTGGCACCTGTCAACCTGACCCTGATGTGGAGGCTGGCTTCTTATGTCTCTGTCCTTCGGGAAAGGGAGGCACAGTTTGTGAGGATGGTGAGCTACTGAACTCTACAGAGGCCAGATTTTTGTACCATCCTAGTTGGGATTTGTCTTTAATCATTGTTCTGTCATATTGTTCAATGTGGTGCAATAATGTGACAGGTCCTATCTTAAGATCATATGATACTCTGGTCTCTGTATCTCTAGTATCTCATACCATCTGAGGTGCATTGTTTTTTTTTATTTAATCTTTATTTTTTCATTTTTCATTTGCTGAAATAAATTTTTAGATGTTGTACATCATTTGTTTCAATGGCTTGGAGTGAAAAGACACAAAGAGCAACAACAAGTGAAAAAAATCCATATGTTCTAACTTCATTGAGTTTAATTGCCAATGATCTGCATTGCTATAAGTTGGTTTATTGTTTATGGCTTCCACAGATGAAATGGGATTCTAGCACTGTGTTTCAAATGCGGAGAGAATATGTAAAATAACATCTATTCTAATTGTTATCTCTTAGCCTTTAAATAATCGTCAGTATTCACATTTTTACATTTGTGATAATTATTAGTATTCATTTTTCCCCAAAATTATAATCATTAATTTTTGTTGAATGTTTTAGCCAGAAAATATTTGATATATAATTTAGTAGGTTTTGTAATACATGATTATTACAAAACTAAACACAATGTTCTAGGAATGTTTTCTGGTCTAACTGTAACACGAAAAACAAAACTGCAGAAATTTTAAACAAACATTTTTAACCTATTGAAAAACCTAGTTAAAGCTAACAATTTCTGTGTTAGAGAATGAAACCTCAGTTGGCCATTTCTGTAGTTTTGTTCGTTTTGCACGCCTTGGTATGTAGTGTAGGGTTTACTTCTTCTAGAGGTTGAGATGGTTACTATGGCCCCACTCCCCACAACAAACTCTCCTTCTGTATCAACTGCACCTACAACCTCAATGGAAATCCCTGATAATTCAACCTTAGGTAGCAATTCTTTCATGTCTAACTTCTTATCTTGTTGTAGTAGTAACTATAGATATTTTCCTATTCACATAATAGTCTTATATGTGACTCTTTTCTGTCTTATAATGCATGCATCTCAAACCAAACACAGTTTTTTATTCGTTATTCTTTACTTTTAGTATTGGCTTCGAAAGACCATCATATGCTTTTGTTATTTCAAAAATATGTTGTAATGCCACAGCTAGTTAATGTTCCACATAGGGCTTATGCCTGATGATTTTACCATTAGGCAGTACTCTCTATGATGGCTATATACCTGGCCAAGGACAAAATCATTACAGGCCTATCCCAACTTTCTGATCCATGAATTCAGATTTGTCACATATACAATGACTCTTCCAGATGTGAAGTTCTCAGTACCATCATTTGCTGGCCATTCATACTTGGAGTTTAATAAACTTGAGAAATCTGTAAAAGAGGTCAAAATCACCTTAGAGTTCCGCACCCTCAACATGGATGCCCTGCTGCTTTACAATGGACAGAACGCTGATGGAAAGGGAGATTTTATATCTATCTCAGTGAAAGATGGATTTGTTGAATTTCGGTATGTGACCTTACAATTAAATATTCAGTGAACTCAATGTTTTGAATTTATCCAGGATTTTATCCAATTTTCTAAGTTTGAAAAAATATGTTGATACTGAATGCTTTTATGTATTGTGTGAATGGTCAATATCACTATTTGGATTCCAGGTATGACCTTGGTAGCGGACCAATTACACTGAAGAGCATATACAGAGTAACCCTCAATAGATGGCATCGTGTTGTTGCCAAACGATTTGGTCGCGATGGAATGTTGAAACTTGACAATAACCAGGAAATCAAGGCTAGAGCACCAGGGCAATTGAAATCTTTGAATCTGAATGAGGCCTTGTATGTAGGATATGTGCCTGATATGAATGCAGAGTAAGTAAACGATAGTTTGTCATTGTTAATTGGAGATTCATTTGCAATTACTTACCATGTACAGTAGCTACATTTTGTCTTGTTAATGCCTTGTTTATTTTTGTTATAGGATTGAAAAGAATGTTGGTGTGTCGATGGGTCTCGTTGGGTGTGTCCAGTCACTCCATGTATCCAGTAATGATTTCACCAAGATCTACTCTCTTATGTGGCCAGCCTCTAGAGATATCATCACTGGATCTGAAATAAGTGAGATTTCCACTGAAAACCTTTATTTTGACACTTATTCTTAGCCTGATAAGGAACAAACATGAGAAATTAGCTACTTGTAAAGATGTAAAATACAAAATAGATATTATGTAAATTTTCTGCCTAAATGATCTAAAATGTTAAGGATTAAAGCAATGTGAAGTCACAATAAAAGCATAGATGTTTACTAAGTTAGTACAAATTAAACAATGGGTTACTATTGTTGTCCATACAATATAGTTATCCTGAGATTGTGTGTTTCAGGTGAGTGTGGTGGGGACAATCCCTGTGCCAGCATGCCCTGCATGAACATGGGCTCCTGCATGAGACTCGATAAACGCAACTTCAAGTGCGTCTGCCCCAAAGGCTTTGAAGGTAAATACTGTCTACCCTCAATGATAATAGCACCAATAGCACCAGGATTTATAAGGTTTGAAATTTCACATGAGTATGGCAATTTATAAATGCTTTTAAGTAGGTTTAGTAGATTTTTCTCACTAGTGTTACTTGTAGTTGTCCAATCTACAATATAATATGTGTGTGTTGCTTAAAACCTGTGTTTTGACCAGTATATTGTTTCAGTTTGAAAAGTAATTCTATAATTCAACTTCCCTGGAATATATTGGATGAAATGTACTTACTGTATTTTATATCGCTGTTAGGTTCTGTGTGTGAGAGAGGAGAAGACAAGTGCCAATCAATGCCATGTCATCACGGTGCTACATGTCGCAGTGTACCAAATGGAGACTTCATGTGTGAATGTCCTAAGGGCTGGAAGGGAACATTCTGTGAAACTGGTACAATTTACCATTTTTGTATCGGAGTTAGGCTCATCTTTTTTTATTTATCTAGTCACATCTCATTATGTCTACACCTCATGTCTCCTCATTGCTGCTAATGTAATATTTTTGTGCAGTTAAATGATAATTCTCTTTAATAAAACTGAAATACATGTATAGCTCTCTATGTCTGTCGTGTTGAGTATCTCAATGTTTGTTGTGTTTTGGAGGAAAGGCCTATTTCACCACATTTGTTTAAAATTTTAATTTGAATGTAGACACATACCTTGGTATAAAAATAATAAGTTATGTTGATTCCAGAGACAAAAGGCGGATTAGAGGAGGTCATGGTCCCAGAATTTAATGGTCGCTCCTACTTGGTCCAACCACTTAAAGGAAAATTTGCCAGACACATAGACCTGGAAGTATGGTTCTTGGCCAAAACGTCAAATGGTAAGGCAACATTTTGTGATTGATATAATTTTTTATACTCCAAATATCTTTAACTTGATTTTGATACATGTACAATTTTTATACATTTAGCCCCAAAATCCATCTAAGTTTGAATCCTTGTATTAGGAGGAATGCATAGGAATCATATTTTAAATTTGTTATTTTATTTAGGAATGTTGCTATATGTTGGACAGCAACCAGATGGAAAAGGTGACTTCCTCTCTCTAAATTTGGTCAATGGACACCTACAGTTCCGGTTTGACCTTGGGAGTGGACATGCAAACATCACGTAAGTCTGAGACATAAAGCAAACACATAAATCTGACATATACCTTCATGACTCCATTGAGCATTGGATATATCTAACAATTCCAGTCCGTGATATCTTGGATTGTGAGATTTTTCTGACCATGAAGTCAGCTGTAATGTATCTTTTACATCCATCCATTATATCTAACCAAAATATACAATAATGATTATGTTAATAGGACTCTGATAATAAAAGGGGCAATTAACCCATCATCATACTTTTTCCATGACTTTGATTTCATATCCACCATAAAGGTAATCTTTAGTTAGGAAGGTTAGGCTTAGAAATGCTCCATGTATTATATGATATATTCAAATTATAGGACAACAAGTGAACATGACTGTATAGTACTATGATTTTACCTATTAGTTTCATGTTAGTGATTATATCTTAAAATTGAACTGTCTTTAGGAGCTCTAGTCGTATCCCACTAAATGTGTGGCATCGTGTACAACTGGACCGAAACAACAGGAAGGGGAGTATTTCTATCGATGGAGGTCCAAAAGCAGTTGGATCTGCTGGGGTAAGTTCACCTCTTTCACTGTTTTGCTCCTCAAATGGGCCAAGCAAAATATCAATGTTTTTGTGAGACTAGTTATTCTAGGAGAATATATAAAGCCAGATTTTTCTCCAGAAGAACATTATTGAGTGATATCCCACATCGATTCGAATTATATACGGTTTAAGGAACAGGAGGACGTAGATCTTACTGAATTGCACAAAAAACATTGAAATTATGACCTGGCCTGATCATGTTGTATAGTAATCGCTCATCTTTGCTTTGTGCTACAACTGTGGTTTGCTTAAATGGACAGGGGTCAATAAAATGTAACTAATTTTGATTTTATGATAAAATAACATATTTTGCTGGAACTCAGTGATTTGATCAGACACCTTCCACATACAATAACAATGTTCACCTTAATGATGTTGAAGTAGAAAATACTATTATAGGAATCATCAATGAATTATGGTATCTGTATAACTTGCTTCATACTGCTTTACTGTCAACTCCTAATAAACTTGACAAAAACCACATCATGATCTTCCAACAGAATATATGACTTAATGACATTGGTTCCGATCATGAGATTATGTGATCAACAATAAGTGGCCAAGCTTAGTATTGTTGAATATTGTGTGATTCAAATTTTTTATACCTCATAAAATGCTGCATGTACTTCTGCAATATTAAATGTCACACTCTCAAAGTTGTTGGTAATATCATTAATAACAAATCTTGAGACCATTGCCATTTAATGATTAAACACTCTTTTCAAAGTTTTGTCTTATAAATGAGCGCATGAAATAAATATTTCTTGTTGTCTTTAATTGGTACATATTCAGAAGGTATAGTATAGTGTAACATCAAAGTCAAAGCTTTTCCTTCTATTTCATTTCTAGGACCAAGTGGTATGTGCATTAGAATTTTATTTGGCTCAAGAAAATAACTAACTGAGCAAAAATAAGTGGAACCAAGAACAGGGGTAGTATCCAAGCGACAAGAGGCCCTCTTGCAATACTTATATTGTGTTGTCAAATACTGGTATAATTGGGATATAGCACATGGTACTGTGATGTAAAAATAGGCCATGATTTCTTGGATACTACTTGTAAAAAATCTCCTGTGAATAATAATAAGAAGAATGTTGTTTGTACAAAATCCATGCACATATACATAATGCACAAATCAAAAGTTATTTAATGAACAGAGGCCATTTAGTTTTTTCATCAATTGCAGTAATGATCCAATCGAATTTCTTCTTTGTGCATGACATAGCCCTCCTTTGTAACAGTAAAACTTGTATATTGGAATACTTATCCTAAGTTCAGACCCCACACCTTCTTTTGGGCCTATTCTAACTCTCATATTGTCAGGACTTCATAAATAAACATCATTTTCCTAGTCTGAATTGTGACGAAACAAAAAGAATGAGCTGGCTGTTCAGGTGATTAAAATGTTTTGTTTTTTTTCTTTTCGCTGATCAATATAATCCTACATCATTTTTCCTACAGTAAAATAAATATCATGTCTTGCATGCTCCATCTAATACATTTCAAGTTGCTGAGTTGATCAATGGTTCTTCACTGGTGCAAGTCACCAGGGGTATTCACATTAGACAAGTTTTACTGTTTTATCGCTATGTATTACTCAAGGGTATGATCTTGTTCACCCCCCTGTGTCCGCTTGATTTATCTTATTGTACATCTTCGTAAAACATGTTACTTTGAATGTTTAGTAATTGGTATTAGTACTGTGTACTAGAGTTGGAGATCTTCGTTCGATAAATATGCCCAAATATGGGCTTGCAAAGCTCTAAGCGTTTTGTCTGTTCTCATAAACTCGGGTGACAGCATTGTAAATGGCATTTAGCACTTCAAAGCATTTTAACATACATCTCTACAGTCTCCCTAATAAATATGGTATAAAAATGATACATATGTATAGAAAGAATAATTATTTAAGTCACTCAGTTATATGTATTTTGTATTTCTATTTTGTATTTCTTGTACAAATTTTGTTAATTCACTGATTTATATAAATTGCAGAAAGAGCATTGAAAACATTTAAATAAACTATCGTTCTAAAATAGTTACTTCTATGTATTTTTAAATCTCAACAAGTACATGTAGCACTATGGTTATTATATTTTGAGTGCATGACAAATGTAGTATATAATCTATTTATATGATTAATAACATATGGCACACCCTGTATATCTTGATACACCTTATATAATAAATGTAACTAAATCACAGATTTTACAAATATTTTGAATGCTTAGTTTGTTGCATTTTTGATATAATATTGCTAAATTCCAATTACTGGGCCCAGTTGTTTGAATGTCAAATTAATAGTGGTTTTGATCAACTGGCCCCAGTACTGATACAATGTACAGGGTTTCATCAACAGTAGTTTTTGAGCAGAGATACACAACATTTTTGAATGATCTAATTTAATAAAGTGTTAAGGTACTTACTTTTAAATGAACTGAATCCCACACATTGCTTCAAAATTGTTAAAGTCTCAAAGTAAAACATCATATTTTACTTTACTTGTGATTACAATAATAACCAGAACAACGGCAACGCCAAAGCGTAGCGAATCCCATCGAACAGAAATGGCTGGCATTTTTACAAATAAAGCGCAAATATCATAAAACAACACACCAGAAAGGCCACCATTTTCAAAATGGTTACTCACTAGTCAAGTTGTCATCAGAAGAAATAATATGCTTTTAAGTAGCCACCTCTAAAATTTTTTGAAAAATCGCACACGTACTTGTTAAATAACACACGTAAAAATGGTGGCCATTTTTCAAAATGGCCGACTACTCCCCAAAGTTTTATTAGACAATGTGCCATGCTTATAGTATTCACATACCAAATATGAACAAAATCGCTCTACTACTTTTCGAGTTATAGTAAAATACGTTTACATGGCGGTCATTTTTCAAAATTGTTTTCAAAATGGCCGCCTTCTACCAAAAGTGTCATAGGACAGTGTGCCATGCTTATAGTATTCACATACCAAATATGAACAAAATCGCTCCACTACTTTTCGAGTTATAGTAAAATACATCATTAAAATGGCGGCCATTTTTCAAAATTGTTTTCAAAATGGCCGCCTTCTACCAAAAGTGTCATAGGACAGAGTGCCATGCTTATAGTATTCACATACCAAATATGAACAAAATCGCTCCACTACTTTTCGAGTTATAGTAAAATACGTTAAAATGGCGGCCATTTTTCAAAATGGCCACCTTCTACCAAAAGTGTCTTTAGACAGTGTGCAATGCTTATAGTATTCACACACCAAATATAAACAAAATCGCTCCACTATTTTTAGAGTTACAGCAAAAATCGTAAAATGACAAGTAAAGGCCGCCATTTTTCAAGATGGCTGCCATGTGCTTTTTAATATCTACATTTGTAGTATTATTAATGTCCTTTATAATATTTTTTACATTTAAAACATATTGCTATTACAGTTTTACATATTGCACCTAAATTACTGTAAAATCGTCACTAAAATGGCCGCCATTTTGAAATGAGCGGCCATTTTGAAAATTGGCTTTCGAGCAGAACTTCTACCTCCATAGGGTATATGTGTACGAAATATGAACAAAATCGGGCCAACGGTATTTGAGTTATTGCCCGGACGGACGGACGGACAGACGGACGGACGGACAGACGGACGTACGTACGGACGGACGGACGGACGGAGGCGTTCCCTATATCCCTCCGAACTTCGTTCGATGGGATAATGAATGTGAATGTGAAAGTATTGAATAGCATAACATTGTAGAGTGTTATTGTATCTGTAGGGCAATCTGAAAGACTTGAACTTGGGACCTGACCTATACATTGGAGGCTTTAAGAGCAAGAATCAACTCAGTCCAGACTCAGGGGTGACAACAGGATTCAACGGGGCCATACAGAGGGTAAGTACAGGCTCATGCATAGCCATAGTAAAACATGGTAAATGGATGATATAAATTAATGCATGTATAACCATATTTGAGGTAGCTGTGTTCATTGTGTCAGTTTGTGTATTTTCTGAAGATTTTTCAGTGTCTTATAAGTCACCTGATCTTTAAAGTCCTCGCTCTTGCTATACATCTACTATCATTCAAAGGAGTGACTAATCTATAGCTCTGGTTTTATAACATATTGTTAGCTCATTCATGTCGTCACTGTGTTTCACATCAGCTCTACTCATCATAAATTTTGTGTAATGGATGGGTAGGATTAAGCCTTTCTCTTGACTATAAACTGTGAAAACCATTATGAACGCCTTGCTCATTTAGAAAAATTCATTTTCAAAAAATCTGTTTCATTAACAAGAGTAGATGTGTGGTCAAATAGATTATATGCAGAATTTAGTGTGAAACATGAAAGGCCCCTCTGTTAGCTCCCTAACCATAGCATACATGTATGTACTTGTTCACCTCTAGGTGTATGTGAATGGACGTCAGATTGATGACCTTGTGAAGGGGGCTATAGAGAAGGAGTTGATCACTCCCTATGTGGGTCCCCCTTGTATGGCCTCTCCCTGTCTCAATGGAGGCGTATGTGTCCCTATAATGAATGAAGCCAAATGTAAATGCCCAATGAAATTCACAGGGGACAGATGTGAGAAATGTAAGTTCATTCACATTTTACAAAAGACTTCAAAACATTGTACTTATTTAATGCTTATAATCTTAAATCCTGAAGCAACAGTAGGTACATTTGTCGGTCTGTTTTCTAATCATTCACAGATTGTGACATTTTGTTAAAGGAATATTCCTTGCCAGACCCTTTCTCTCTTGATATGGTAGCTATAATCATATATATAGTTTCCATATTTAGCAAAACATGGGAAAATGTTTTAATATGGTCAATATTGATCATTTAAAAATCTTGTGCTTATTTCCAGTGAGCTGCCATCTTTTAAGATTTCTTGCAGGAAGTGATGTCATCAACTCTCAACTTCTATAACCTTGCCCATAACAGTATAGGAAAGTAGCACAAATTCACTTCTAGACAAGTGATCATTACTTTCTGTGCAAAAATAGTTCCAGGGCTTGTCAACTTAGAATAAAAGAATAGATTTTCAGAAGGATTAAATAAGATGCAAAGTTGAAAAAGAATATTTAGCTGGTTTTGTAATTCTTAATAGCTCCTCACCTAATGCAATATGCAAAGTTGAGAGTCGATGACATCACTTCCTGTGTGAAATTTTAAAAGATGGCAGCTTACTGGAATTGAGCAAAAAAGTGATCAAATTTGACCATATCAAAACATTTTTGCGTGTTTGGCTAAACATGGCAAGCATATATATGGTTATAGCTACCATATGAGGAGAGAGATGGTTTGGCAAGGAATATTCCTTTAATACATTACTAAATCATATCTCTTGATATGGAACTGTAATATGATATCGAAACTGCATTCTGATACTCATAGCATCTTTCTGTTTCACCTGAAACATGATCTCAGGGCTGAGAAGATTTGAGATGTCATGGTTTATCATGATGTCGAAACTGTAATATAGAGAGAAGATAGCACAGTACAATAATTGTATTTTTGGTGATTGTTATTTCAGCCACTGACTCTGTTGACACTGACCAACCTGTAGCATTTGATGGAAAGACCCAGCTTATGTACCCAAATATGGTGACAGAGAGGTAGGCATTTCACATCATTCATATTTTTCTATTGTCAGGCAGTAATATTTTTTTTGTTTTTGTCTCCACTTTAGTTTTATGCTTCTTGGTTTAAAATCTAGACCCTGGTAGTTTCGAGCAAGCTTTGCAAATGATAAGGAAACCAATTTGAATTTTACTTCCTCAAAATTGTGTGTTGCCAGATAAAACATTTAACGTGAAATATATAAGACATTCAAATGTTCGAAGATGCTTCTTGATGTGACTACCAGGACATAATACATTTTTGAGTATATTGAGTGTTTACTTAATAAGGTGCAATGTCAATATCTGGGTATCCCACTGTATGCCATAGACCTGGGATGAATATACTAAACTATGCTAATCCCTCCATAGGCATCTTTCATGTGCAAAATATATATGTATATATAATTTCAGAGCACGAAGTCAGAAGGAAAATAAATTCGAAGTGGTATTTAAGACTGAGAAGGACAATGGGCTGATCCTGATGCAGAACAAGGGTGACAATGTGAGGGGAGACTATGTAGCTATAGCCCTAGCAAGTGGTAAAGTTCAAGTCAGCTACAACCTTGGCAAGAACTCTGAGAAAGATCTACATGTTATCAAGAACCCAACTAAAGTGAATGATGAAAAATGGCACACATTGACCTTCACAAGGTGAGGATACGTTAATGATAAATAATTGAGACAGAAAACAAGAGTGGAAAAATACTTTAGAGAATGCATTCCATTTGTTTAAGAATGACGGTGAGTTATTATCCCCTTTGCTTGGTGTTAGTGTCACAAGCACAGAAAGTCAGCATGATGCTCTTGTGTTATTTCTATTATCCAATAGTCAACACTGTCTACATTCCTACTATAGTAATTACCTGTCATTTTGAAAGAGAAATGTCAATAGTTTTGTTGAATACCATGCTAATGATGGATTGCAATGTTCTCCCAATGATCTTTACTCCACTTGCTGCAAAATTTTCAGGAACATATTCTGACCAAGAAATGTTTTCTATCCAAAGTTTTCATTTCCAAATTCCCAATCCATTTTAACAGGGGTAGCACTGGGTTGGTTCAAATAGGTGATTACTTACTCTGTTGTGTTGAGATCTAAGTGCCCAGTTGAAGTATTAAAGATTGTTTTGAATGAAGAATGATTATTTGTGTCTCTAGGGAAAAGCGTAAGGGCATCCTGGTGATTGATGGTGGCACACCTGTGGAAGATGAATCCCCCAAGGGTTCAACATCTCTTGATTCAGATGGAGACCTCTGGATTGGTAAGTTGACTCATAATATAATGAAGGCCTTCATAAACAAACACATGTATTTGTTGCACAATGTCTAACTTCATTTCTTAGAATAAAGCATTAGCATGTATAGTATTGGGTGTCATTCTATGTTTGGAACCTAATAATAGACAATCATAAAGTGAAAACTTGTCAAAACTTATTGTAGTTTCATGTTATTTTATGCAAGCTATTGCGTTTTCTTGTTTTGAAACACTGTCCATTTTCTTTTCACTTTTTTTAGGAGGTAATCCCAACCTCCCCGAGGGTCTACCCAGAGCATACACACGAGGCTTCAAAGGCTGCATCAAAGAGGTTCAAATTGACGGTGTTCAATTACACCTTGTTGACCACAGGGAAAATCATACCTCATTGAAATTCTGTGAGGCAAAGGACTCCAAGAGACGGAGAAACACAGTAAACTCGAGGAGAAGAAGACCAGGATTACGAAGGCATAAGCTGTATTAGACACACACAAGTGATAGTATAATGAATGATCTGATAGCCTCGACAGCTTATTGGAAGGGTCAGGGTGTAGAGTTAGTCAAGGCATACAATGTATATCACCCTGCCCTGTATGACAGTGTTGCAGTATAGCTACTGTCTGTACAATACAGAGATATTTAAGTACAGATGGACTATACAGATGTCTTATCTGTTCTCTGCATTCATGTGCTGTACACTACAAATATGTAGTTATAAACTATGTGCATATGTATCCGAGTCAGATGAAGAGACTCCCAAAATGTGGATGACTTGAAGTCTTTTATTTAACACATTCTTTATATGTTATAGATACTTTACAAATTGCCATTCTCATACTTTAATACCTACTAATATACCTAATAAGACCTACATATGCATTCGAGAAACTTTGCATTGTTGAAATACAGTGTACCATTTGTGCAAAATGTGGGCATTTAACAGGCATATTGAGCAGTAAACTTGCACCTGATAAGCATAAAAACTACATAATAGATAGATTTTCTTCAGAATTTTCAACTATTATTTTTATTGAAATTTAACAATTGAAGTTTACAGAGCAAATTGAAAAAGTGTTTCTATAAGACTTGTATGAAGCAATATCAAATTTGATAAAAAAAATCCTGTGCAAACATGTTCTTTTTGTGATTTTTATGAACTATCTAGGATAGGGAGAAACAGAATGCAGTGTAGTAAATTAATTATGTGTAGTTCAAGTATCATTGTTAGCTAACCCTATAAGTGGAACAGAGTTAATGAAGTCCATTTACTTGTTATTGTTTCTTTTTGTATTGTATACATTCCAGCAAGTTTATACAATTCAGTGTTAGATGTCATAGTGTAGAATTGTTTCTGGCAATACACTGTACATGTTCATCGCAGACAGTTGTGATTTATATTGGTACCATGCCCGACATACCAGGCTTTTAGTGAATAAATAAACCAATTAAGTTATTAATTAGTACTTGAACGTATCTAAATACGTTTTTGTGCTCATCAATTTTTTTTGTTTTTGTGATGCTATGAAGACACAATTCTTTCATAATATTAGTACTGATAACTTTTTAATATGTAATATAAATGTATTGTTAGTACATTGTTAGAGACAGAAGCTTTATGTACATACTTAGATATATACTTGTAACTGTGGTCTGCGTGCTCAGTTTACACTTCAAGGCCCACTTGACCTTGACCCTTATTGTACTTATTTGACCTTGACCCTTAATTAAGTTATTTAGTGCACCTACTTTTCCATGGCAGAATCTAGGTGTATTAGGGTTTCAGTCGAATCATGAATTGTCACAATTTTATTATTTACAATGAATTTATGTTTGAAATACTACTTACAATTGAGAAACAATGAATTTTTTAGTATTTATTACACTTACATAATTTTAGCAGAAATACTCATATTTTACATATTGACAATAACAATAACTATAAACAATACCAGTGTAATAACGAAAAGTTTAAAGGCCTAGTTAGTGTTAATTACAGTGGATGTTTTTATAATGTTTATGTTTGCATCTTTGCACCTCGAGAAATGTTAAGAAGCAGCTTGTTAGAACTGGGAGACTTATTTGATTTATCACTTAATCATATGAATTAAGACTTGAATCATAGTATCACTTTAAGAAATTAAGACTTCAATTTAATTTTGAATTATAGTACCACTTTAAGGGCATGATGTATTGGATTCAATGTTTTCTAAAAGCATTGATGATAGGTTTTGTTAGCAACTTGCTTGTAGTTTGAAACAACGCTTTTTGCCGCTTTCTAGAATAAGACAGTGTATGCATTTATCTTTTAATTACACTGCCTCTATCATAGAAAATATAACATTATGGCTTTCTAGTTGACGTGTAGATATTATAATATATGCATGTATAGTATTATAGTATTTTATTTAAACAACCATGTTGTATATTGTATTATAAATGAATCCACCAATGGAAAGTTGGTAGGATTAGTTTTACAACTGATTTGTGATGCTCACTTTTCAATCATGTAATGCATTCAAGTACAAGTGGACTGTATATATGCAAGGTGTGATCGCAGTATATTCTATATGATGCTTATAAACTGACAAAACATTAAAATATAGTCATCTCGCACATAAGGACTATTTATATAGGTCAAGTCCCTGTGGAGCTCCTTTAAGTTTTCTGCCTCTCGTTTCCAGACTTAACTGTTTGAAAATGTCTCAGAACCGAAAGGGCTTGTAACATGGTCACAATATGATGTAACTTGGAAAATGCATTAAATGATTGAAAATATGAGTTCTTTGTCTGTTAAACAAGCACTCCCTTCTCTTCTTTCTATTTTGTTTTGAGGAGAAGGGAGGGGTGTACAAGGACATGATGCAGTACTATAGTACATGTACTTCTATACTTTAACTAAAAGTACTCAAGTACGTGCTCTAGTATTGCGCTGTCCTGGTTTATATTGTATTAACCCAGTTGATACCAATGTATATAGATTTGGTCTCATTTTACATGTTAAGATGTTTAATGTTAATAACCATCAATGCAATAATCATTATTATTAGAATATGTAGACTTTTTCATACAATTGTTCAATGATAACCCATTGTGAAATAACAGATGAAGATATATACATGATCATGAAAAATGATGTAAAACTCATTTCAATTGGAATGTATATAACCAGATGTATGTATACATTTCCGTAAAGCATTGCCACAGGAGTTGGGATATAAATATGAAAGGTTGGGGTTAACCTGGGGTGTGAATACTAATGGGTAGGGTTAAGTTGGGGTACAAATATTAAAGGGTAGGGCTAGAGAAGGCTGTACATATAGAGAAACTTAGAATATTTATGTTGATATAGCTGACAGTGTTTACAGTACAATGGAATAACAAATAACCAATGATGCAGTTTAAAAATTAAGTAACAATGAACATAATATATTTATCATTACCAGACATTATGTACCATTGGAAAGGTGATATACTGTTAGAAAGCAAGACATATTAGGGTACAGTACAATATGAAGTGGAATTACAATTGTACATTACAACATTCAATTTGTCTTCAAAATAAACTCATGTACATTATTTACTATTTCTGTTCACTTTTTCCACATATATCAACAGAGGAAATGTTTTGTGGATTTCAGTGCCAGTCAGGCTGAGATCATATCATCCTTAAAGATGAACCCTATATACAATAGTGACTTGAAATCTGTGACTATGAAGTGAGTATGATCGCTATAATATTCGGTATAATAATATGAGAAGAAAATGAATAGAAATCAAATTTATTCTTTCACTTAGAAACCTGAAACCGTCCAGTTATATTACAATTATCTCAAGGATGGATTAAGCGTATGGACAATGGAATCATTCCTAATAAGGTTATTCTTTTGTAGAACCATGAAACAATAGTTTGGTAAATTAATGCATTAGCACAGTATTTATATTTCCCTGTGAAAAGAAGACTTCTGAGAGATAAACGGTCTTTAGACTTAGATTATGTCAAATGGTAGTTAACGTATGTTTTGCCTCGTCCTTTAATTTAAAATAGACCGTATGAAATACCCTTTCACACTTTCGACATTTATAATCGAATGTGTATCCTAAACCGGTGTAAAAGAGTAGGAGGTCCTATCAATTTATTGTCCTACTCTCCACTGATTTATATGGCGACCTCTTTCCATTATTAGCTTATACACAATCAGGGCCAATAAGGGCCGTTAAGAAGGGGGACCATAATCCCCGGGGGGCATAATTTCTTTCACACCGTGATCCTAAATTAGTCCGAGCCATTGGACTTCAGAAAATGAATACTGAGGTAAGCTCCCCCGGTAGTTCCCCGATTCCTACCAAAGGAACCGGCAGAACACAGATTTAATGCAAACTCGAGCTCAAAATGTGAGGAAATTATACATATCACAAACATTGGAAAACTTGTTACCGTTGGACTGACTGCGTCTGGATTTCATATTGAGCTAAAACTTAATTGAACAACTCGTTTCCATGGTAACTGTTTAACTTTTTTAGTTTAAGTTTTATTTATTTCATTATACTATTCAACAAATAAATACAGGGCCTATGCCGAAGGATTATTGCTCTTGTTGGTTACAACTATTACTCGACTGGTGTTGTCATTAGCATTTAAAAAGTAAGTGAAAATTATTATATTCGTTATGAAGTCATAACTGAATTTTGAAATATATACTTCTTACAAATGATAATGATGAACATACCATGGAAGTTCAATTTAAAATGTTTTCAAGTTTGAAATATGCCAAATTCAACGCTCTTCGCCTCAATTCCATGGTTACTGTTTCGCCCATAAGAAAAATAAACTAATTTTGGCCTGTCAACTTACCCCTTTACGGAATTTTAAGTTAGATTTTGTTGTCATATTTACAAGATGCATTTTATATGTCCTTTTTACCAAAATGAAATTGGTCGTCAAAAACTGAGAAATCAAATCTTACGTATATAGACATACTTTACGACCATGAATGTCGTAGTCTTGGGCTGAGATAAAAATGAGTTTATTCAACATCAATTTAATTGTCATCCAGGTTTATATAATGTTTTGTTCTCGACTTCTCGTACACGTTTTAATGTCGCTTTAGTTCAGTAGTTGATACACATTGAAGAATTGGATAAGCTATACGTCAAAACTTGTTGACGTATTTATTGGGGGTAGGGCATGTGTCCTGGGGGCGGTGGGTACGGTGCCCCAGTCGGTGCGTCATACGAAGCTGCAGCAGCCACCCCCTCGAAGCCTATGCCTATAGGAGGCCCGGGTATGGCAGCCGCTCCATCGAAACCGACAGATGGCCCTGCTCCAAACTGTGGAGCCGAAGGGCCTGCTCCCAGTTGCTGATCCGGTGGGAGTGTGCTGGCTATGGCTTCCATCCATGCATTCAAGTCATTGATGTGTTCACATAGGATCCAGTGAATTTTCTTCTTTTTCAACGCCTGCGGTATAGAAATGAGATTGTATACTGAAGCCTCGGGTGGTAACATCGGTCGATCTGGAAGCGATGTTTTATCACCTACCGCAATGTAATATGCTATGTTTTTCAAAAGAACAGTTCCCTTGTCTTTTGTATCACCCGGATTCTTATACCATGTGAGTGTACTGTCCGAGTAAAGTACAAAATAATTTTTCTTCCATTTATCCTCTTTATCTAGGATACTACCCTTTCCATATCTAAGAAGATATCCAGTTTTTACCGTTGTCATTATTGCTTTGTGACCTACAAGATGTGGCAACAAGATGATCCAAGTAATCTAAAACTGGATGAAGTGATATCAAAAGATTGTCATGGAGTCAAACTTATGACGTCAGATTTATCCTATTATCTCTTATTTTCTGGGAATGAGTAGGCCTACCAAACTCAAGTCCACTCGAGACCAACCAAAGGTATGGCAAGGGCGTTGCAAATCCCAGTTATCTAGTAAAACACCAGGTAAGAACTGTTACATCTTACAATAAAAAAACAAGGCATTAAGATGAAAAATGTCAGAACCTACCATTTGTTACAGACGCCGAACACCAATAGCCGTCCAAAAAAGTTGGAGACACCACTTGTGGTGGTGGAGTAAAAATACTGTTTCTCTTGCAATGCCTCTCACACACTACCCTACCTCGATAGCGCATGCGCGAATTTTTTGGCTTTCAACCACGTCGCTTTTGAGTATTTCGACTGCTTAGTCAAAAGGTTAATACGTTTGGTGCTCGGAGTGAGTCAATATTGCTATTCGCTGAACTTCAGTGGTGCGATAGTGAAGTCCATGTTCCAAGTTATATGATAGTTGAAGAAAGAATGTAAATAATATCGTTTTAAATTTTAAAATATTTGATATGTCATAGTACACGGTACACAGTTGCAAAAGTTGATCAATACAGGGTACAAGGAATGTAAATTGCTCAATAAGACAGGGAGCGAGGAAGTAAGCTGATTATACAGACATACTATGTCCCGATCTCATGTACATTTACGTTGCCAACAGCGAAAATAATGCTAAAAAGGCCGCCTGTTGATGCTTTGAGGTGTCATCAATTGTTATTTAATCCAAATAAAGTAAACATTATTTTGTAGATTTATATAACCCCTTGAATGGTCTAATTCACTACCCTTCTCAAAAACCGATCATTTAAAATATTTTGTTCAAAATACCATCATGCCACGACTTGAGAGCATTTTGTTCTTCACGATTTGCTGTAGCGCTGATTTGACATCGTATTTCTCTATTATTGTAAAATAAACTAATACCAGATCGATGTAGTCTTAGATGACGTGTTGGATGTCAGATGTTTTTGGATGGTATCTGCTCCAGTGATTTTGCATTTAATCATGAAACGCTCATCACAAGACACCTCGAAACAAACATTATCCTGTTTGTGACAAGAGGAAAAATGTTTCACAATATGTTATGCCTTACGGCAAAGTAAAGATACATTTCTGGGACGACGTTTTTTGCATCTTAAGATTTTAGAAAAACAATTAATTCACAAAAATACAGTTGAATAACATACTGGAAAACGTATCCACATATAACATGATGACACGTAGTTTAAATAACAGTTAACTGGGTTTTTTGTTACATATCAATGTAACATTTTTGAAGGGAAACTTACATGCTCCCTGTACGTTGATAGATTTACTGAAATGTATCGTGTATTGCATTGGGTTTTGCTTCACTGCGCCCACTATTATCTATCTTTGCCTATAGTGGTTTTTTGCCAACAATATTTTACAAACTGCTCGATGAATCAATTCTATGTCTGGTAGAATACTAGAAATAAATGTAAAATGTATTTTACGTTCAGAAATATGGAATTAAACCCACGTCCTCCATTTGCAACTTAGCTGTACCCTGTTTCCCTTTTAAACGTGGTCACGTGGTAGGGTAGTGTGTCTCATGAGCATTAATTTTATACAATTTGCATCAAATCTCTCACAAATTGTATTTTATCTAATAAGTGATGTATATAGCCTTATCCCATGATACCACTACTTCCCGGTGAATAAAACCGATATTGAATCACTCCCGGTAAATAACCTCTATGAAGCATTTTTCTTTTGGGAATCACTTTTAAAGTGATAATTTACATCTGAATTCATAGATAGCCGAAAGAATAACTGGTTCTATATCATTATTTCATCGAGAGTTATTATGCGCATCATGTATTGAATAGCTCATTTGATTGTGGGATAAACATTGTTTTATTCTGGTAATACTATGAACCGCTGGCATTCAACATCATAGGTCCCTCAGCATAAAACCTTAACATTCAAATCCTCCAAATAAAGATCACGGTGAGATCGTTTTGCAAATGTGTTTATAGTTTTATCCAGACAATATACAAATATTTCATACGAGGTGAATACCCGTTCATCTTTCTTCAAGGATTCCAGTAAGGTGTATTCCCAAAAGCCTGAAGGACCAGAGGAATACACATTGCAGAATCATTGAAAGTGCAACAGGTATTCATCGCAAATAGAATGAACTATTTGTTTTAATATTTACCAATACATTATTCGGAATATCTTACAAGATCAAGGACTAGAACGCATTAGTACTGTTAGGGTATGTCCCAGTAAACCTTCGGTCCTTTGTATCTGTAATTGTTCTTTCTGTGTAAACTAGACAGTATTGTATGTATTTTGCTAATTGGGATTATCCTTAAAGCTTTTTTCTGATATTTTTCGTAGTTTTCCGTCTCATTTGGGTACATTTCTGGGACACCCTGTATTTTACATGATTTTCATTTTAGATTTACAAAATACCAGTCTATGTCTGATATCCAACTGATTGGTTTTCTCACAGTGATTTTTCAAAGTGCTACTTCTGAATTCATAAAGCCAGAAGAACTATTATGGTCATAACTAATTCAACTTTACTTTCTAACAAGGCACAGGACGTGAACGAGATCACACCATCAAATAGGCAGACACTATGAACCAGGAAAACTGTTCTCCTATTATGTTTACAAATTTCAAGAACAAGAAAACAAGATGGCGGCCCAAAAGTTAATCAGCTCTAGTACTTGATATCCTCTATCATTTGTGTAAATTTGAAGGAAATCCGATGAGCGGTTTTCCTGAAATGGCGATGACAAGATTTTTCGAAAAACCTTCAAAATGGCCACCCAAAAGTTAATCAGCTCTAGGTATGAGGTTCCATATCTAGTCCCTATATAGTCCATTTAAAAACTCGTGGTATTGTCCTAAATAACGCCAAAGTTGGCTTCTAGGGTACCTAGTATGCCACTATTTGGTATCAAAATAAAGAGGAGGAGTTCAACTTTCATGTGAATTACGAAAATAGCGATGTAGGTCAAAAATAGTTCCGACGTGAGGTTGTTTACTACGCGTTTGCCTGTCATATCAGAATTGAGGAAGTGGTAGCAAACGCGAGTCACAATAAATGGACGCTGATATCTCAAAAAGTAACCGGACTCCCTATAATTTGATGTAGATCAATCGAACCCCTATATGAACAGGTACATTTTGATATATAACACTATGGGGGGTAAGCGTTTTATAGTTGGTCACGAACGCCATATGTGCAAAGTATTGTTATGAATTTTCGAATTTGGTGTTGGATTACGGTACTCATACCTCTAGTACTTGATATCCTCTATCATGTGTGTAAATTTGAAGGAAATCCGATGAGCGGATTTTCTGAAATGGCGATGACAAGATTTTTCGAAAAATCTTCAAAATGGCTGCCAGAAAACAAGATGGCCGCCCAAAAGTTAATCAGCTCTAGTACTTGATATCCTCTATCGTTTGTGTAAATTTGAAGAAAATCCAATCAGCGGTTTTCCTGAAATGGCGATGACAAGATTTTTCGAAAAACCTTCAAAATGGACGCCAGAAAAGAAGATGGCCACCCAAAAGTTAATCAGCCCTAGTACTTCATATGCTCTATCAACTCTGCGAATTTGGAGAAAATCTGATGAGCAGTTTTCCTTAAACGGCGATGACAATAAGCGGGACGATCACGATCACGACCAGTATGACGACTATATCCCACCGATGGTGTGATAAAAAGTCAAGTCACTTCAAATTTCATGCTAGATTTGACATACAAAAAATATTTTTTTCTAGAAAATCTTTATTGCCTACTTAAACTAGTATAGACAGTAGTCTAATGATACAGTAGACATATTCTATATGATCATACCATAACATACATAAAGTAATGGACTTACAGAGGATATACATAACACACACATCCAATAGTGTACTTCATAGGAGCAATAATTGCTGACAGTTTGAACTTTTCGAGGCATTTTACCCTGATAGACAAACATATGTCAATATGTAGATATAAAATTCTAAGGTGGATAGGAGAAAAATAATTGACAAAATGGATACACAGAAATGTGTATGTAATAACTTATAACTAGGAAATTTATGAACGATAAAAAACTAAAATAGATATACAAAAATAATTTAACATATTAGGCAAATATTTGACTGCTATGACTGATAGTGATTATTATGGATCCTCAAACTACATTCTAATAAATCATGCTCTATATTGGACAGGATGTCATAGTCCATGCTTCATGAATACAAATAGATAATTTTAAAAGTTTCATAGAACTCGTTTGAAAATTATAATGGCATTCATGAGTACAGCGAATCAATCATGCCTGAACTCTCCTTATATGGCCAAAAATGGTCACTTCCACAGTGTGGTTAAGATACACTGACATGTCTCATTTCGCACTCAACAGTTTTGTCTTGGCACTTTGCAGACTGGGCTTGCAATAAAACCTTATAGTATAGTAAGTAATACACGTTATAATTCCACTATGCATAGCTAGCTTCATTTCTCATCGGAAACCTCCTCATCGGGTTTAAGTTTTTTAGGACAATTCTCATCTTCAAGTTCACGAGTACAAGATGGACGTTTGACAGTGGGTGCAGAGAGTTTGTTAAAAACAACGATGATACATGTCATGTTGTCACAGCCTGTTCCATCTCCCATTGTGTCTGGCGCAAGGCACCTATCAAATATCTGTAACCAAAGCAAACGAATTATTAATCACTTAAAATTTCACTATCAAAATCACATTTCAAAATAATGCTGTCTGTGATACAATACCTGGAAACCTGTATAAAACTTTGCCATAGCAAATGGGCTGATTTGATTTTACACCAAAGGGTATTTCACCCAATACAATATAAACCTGAATGTTCAAAAATATTACACCAACAATTAAGGGGCTGATCTCCTCCCCCCATGATCTCGGAAATGAATAATCATACAAGGGTGTATTAGGTATCATTGGAAAGGATAATCAATTCCCAGTATTTTGAGCCTACTTCTAAGTATATTGAGCCATAATTGATGAAGAAATTCACATTCTAAGAACATATCGGTTTATCATTGCAAGTCAAAATGTTTAAGGATTAAATGATTCATCAATACATTTGTTCTTACCTCTTCACATATAATGGAGGGAGTTTTGCGTTTCTTCTCATCTTGCAGTCGTTGTTTGACAAAATCAACAACTTCTTGACTAGTTAGACAGTTCCTGGAATATAATAACACTTAAATAATATTTGTATATATTTAATCACTGACATGTAGAAAACACTCATTTCAGTGGAGTTCTGAAAAGCAAAATACATGTAAACATATTACTGTATTCTAAAGCAAGTAAGTAGTCTAGTTTGAGATCATGATGGGACAATGGCAAGATATAGTAGAAGTCTGTATTATATGATCATAGTACATCTCATAATAACAATGTTCAACTTTTGAATGAATTTTTAATTTTCAAAGGATGAGAAATGAATTCCAACATTTCAATTCATTTCAATGGATATGGTAAATATATCATAATTTCATTTGTAGTACAATGTACATGTAATATGGTGTGCATGAAAGTACTTTATTTATAAGAAACTACTCAATATTGTTCTTATACTTAGTTTGTATATCATTTGACCGATGAAATACACCCTGGTAAAATGGATCAGTTTCTTGAGCCATTAAGTAGATGAGTATACATGTATTATAGATTACCCTACGAGCTTGAGCATGTTTTGAAAGGTGACTTCACTTTTGAAGATGTTTTTGAAGGTAGGGCACAACAAAGTTGTCTTATAATTGGCATCTGTTGTCTTCAATAATGATTTGCACATTTTAATAAGTTGGGATACAATAATTGTGTCCCAAATTAATAAAATATCAAATATATGGATATAGTGTCTAAAAAGAAATATATGATCATAGTATAACTATTACATGTATATCAAACAACAGCCTACCATATTCCATCACATGCCAGCACCAAGAATTCATCTCCTTCCTCTAGTTTGGTGGATTTCACATCAGGAAGTGCAGTGATCATTTGATCCTTTAGAGCTATGTCTTTGGTAGTCTTGTAAGCATGGTCACCTGAAGTATTATAAGTAGAATACACTTAGAGTGAAACCAATGCATCTATCATTTCTATGGTAGATCTCAGAATAAAGTTACAATTCATTTTAAATCAACAGGAAGTACTGCATATCAATGTAACTACAGTGATCTCCCCAGGATTTTTACTCAAGTGGGTGCAAAATTCTCATTTTCACAATTCAGACCAAAATTGGTCAAAATATTGGTCAAATATTTCATGATTTTCTTATATTTAAGTAGGTGCAAATGGATTTTCAGGTGGATGCAAGGCTGTTTTCAAAATCTCAGGAGGGTGCTGCGCCCACTTGCTTTAATGCTGGGGAGACCACTGAACTAGATAGCAGAAACTAAAATGTTATACATTCCAACAAACAACACTATTTTCTCTATTTTCAAGCACTGATGGACTTAATTTATATGTTTTATGATATACTCGTATTATTTAATAGATTTATTCTAATAAAAAAAGAAACCTTTAACGATGAATGGACCCCTTGGACTTGGTGAGGTTTTCACTAAAAGAGGGTTTTCTGTACATGGGCAATTTATACATACATACCTATAGCTCTTGAGAGGTTCAGATTTCCATTGACCCTCCCATCAGGAGTCACTTCTCCCCCTGCCGCGTGAATTCGTTTCAACTCAATCTCATCTTCGGGTTTATGATCAAATGACATCTCCATGGCAACACCATTGCGACTCAGGACACACCGAGAATCACCAGCATTTGCAACATAAAGCTCATTGTCTTTGATGAGAGCTAACACTGCTGTACAACCACTGTCACTGCCAGGCTGAAATTCAGCAGATGAACAATCATGAGTCAGATATCATTGCCATCTGGGGTCCTCGGAGTCAAAATATGCTTCTCCCTTTGTTAAACCAATTGACTCCATCTAATTCGTTTATAACATGGCAATATTTCTGTTGGTACAAGGAAATACTGTTTCATAATGGAACACTTAGATCTTATTTAAAATTGGCTTCAGATATGAGTCATAAAAGATAGATCTGTTCACCTCTTCACTTGCACATTCTGTTTCTTCTAGCTCATCATCATCATCCTCATCTTCGTCCTCCTTGTCTTCAGCCCCATCTTCTTCCTCATCCTCTTCATCACTGTTAAGTTCAACAATTCATTCTTGATGTAACATTTATTTATTTTTATATAGCTAAGCAAGCATTGCTACCATTGACCAATCAAAAGCAGTATAACTATGTATGGCTTGAATATTAACACCTAATTTTGTAATTCGCTTGCAAATGTGACGAGGCAAAATATTACCAATTTTTTAAATAAAAAATGCTCTAATTGACATTTTTGCAATAGATAGACATCATTTACAGTTGGTTCAGAATTGATCAACAATATTGAACATATCAGCCTATTTATTAGCTTCTTAAAGCAATTCCATGATCCAAAAGTGAAGGTCAGACCGTGACCTGTCGCATTGAAAGGTGAATGGTCAAACTTCATGATCCTCTCTTATAAAGGTTTAACATATATGTGTTCTTCGAAGGAAGCTCATAGATTGTGACTATGATATTTTCAAAGACCTATTAATTATAATTTACCTTTCTTCCTCCTCTTGCCCTTCTACATATTCATCATCACTGTCTTCTTCAGAATCTTCATCTGCTATATCATCTATTGACTTGAAGGTTGTCCCTGCCAATGCAATATTGGATCCAGATCCACCACTCTGAAACATTTACAGATACATCCATTTTATGTCTTCGTCTATTTTCATCTTGTGGATAAGTCGATCTTATTGATGAAAACTAATCTATGAAGGCTCAGACCACCTCCCCTATGTTTGTTAAATCTCGTCAATTAATGTTTCAAGTTATCTATAACGATATGGTATTCTACCAATACATAATAAATAGTTTCTAAATGCTGCGTTTATTGCTATGCTATGTTCAAGAGGAGGAAATACCCCCATGTTAAGTTCATCTATGATTTCTGGGCTATTCTCCCTCTTTTCAGTATCTGTACTTACTGAACTTCCACTTGAGGTACTGCTTGGTTTTGTTTCATTCTTTTCAGATGGTTTTTCACCTGCCTTAGATTCTGCTACGGTATCTGGTGTTACATCTTCTGTCTTTTCTGATGATGTGTTTACAGTGTCTGTTTCACTATTTATAGTTTCAGATTTTTCTATAGTGTCTTTCTTATCTGAAGTGTCCATATTATTTTTCAAAATATCCATTTGTTTAAATCTTTCTGCTTTAATTTCTGCCTCAGTTTTTGTTTCTTCTTCAGCTGTGCCATCAGCACATTCTTTTTCTTTATTATCTGAAGTGTCCATATTTTTTTCTTCACCGTCTTTGACATTCAATGTAGTGTCATTACTTGCACCTTTTTTCAAATCCTCTTTCATTTGTTTAATCATTTGTTCAGCACTTTCTCTTTTAATTTCAGCCTCAGTTTTTGTTTCCTCTTTAACTGTGCCATCAGCACGTTCTTTTTCAATATTTTGGTTGTTTTCATTATCAGCGTGTCCATTTGCCAACTGGGCATCAAGGTTGATTTTGATTTCATCACCATTTCCATTTACTGAATTTCCATTTACTGAATTCCCATTAGAAGTACATTTCTTTGATTTTTTGCCTACACCTTTCTTGCCTTTCAACATGGGAGATAACACATCTGGTTTTTCTTTGATAGCATCAACCTTTGACGGAGGGCCATCGGTCCCATATTTGGCAAGTAAATCTTCTATAGGCATTGTTGCTTCCTCAACCAGCTCAGCAGCTTCTTCTCGTTCCTCTGAAACAGTAAAACAATGTAAAAATCCATTTCCAAACATGTGAGCTAATAACAACATATAAAAAATATATTTCCATTTTAAGATGTGTAAGCTTTGAAGAAACTTTGCACTGCACTCGATTAAAATAACAAAATGAAAAAGTGGGAAATGAACTGAAAGAACAATGCATCAAGTTAAAAAACTGGTAAATCATAATTGCTATTTATACAGACATGGTAATCATATAATAAAGTTAAGATATTTTGGGGGACACATATAAAGTTAAGTTGCTCTTATATGCATCAAGTATTGAAGAACATCGAAAGGATTGTCCTATTAAGTAATTATTAATACATGTAGTTTATTGACCTCAGGGTAATATTTTACAATTATTTCCTATAAACTTACCATCTGCATCACCATCATCATCTAACTGTGCAATCTGTTTAAGTTCATGCACAACCTCCTCCCGTGTTAGTGTCTCGTCAAACTTCAGGAAAGCATCCTCCAAGGCTTGTGAGATATTGCCTTCTTTATATGATTGGAGTTCCTTGAGGAAGTCTGGCAAATGTGATGAACAGTACTGCGCAACTTCACTTCCTAAAAATATAAGTCATTAGTGCTTAGCACATAAGGTCACTAAGAGACAAAACTGAAACTTTTGTAACCAAAATAAAATAGATGATTTGACACACAGATTTATAATATGCAACTTTGTACATCCATTATGGGATTTCATAGGGAACAATTTTGATATACATGTATGTTTAGAGATAAAAATTAATTTAAAAGTCATGATTTTGGAACATACATTATGTGGCTATTTAGTATTTAGTCTTGAACAGGTTGTTGCATTTAGGCTTGTCACTTTTGTAAATGTGTTGTGTATAATTTTTTTTTTCAAATGTAGATAATGTATGTTATTTTTGGGGGAAGGGGTGCAGGTACATGCCCCCTTGGAAATTATTTCGAAGATGCTGTTTGATTCAATCTGAGGGGTTCCAGTTAGACATTACTTTTGAACTTTGAGAGTAACTCCCATTGTAGATCTACAGTTTCTACTGTTACTTAAGAATGTATCTTCTCATTCTCACCTTTTAAATGTTTTATGTTAACACAAATGATCAGAAGAAGAGAGTAGCTCCCATTATACTATCATATTCTTTCGTATTCGTAACCATCCCATATGGTCATACAAACCGTATATGGATCTAGCACATGGGTACCACGTGATCGACTACGAAGGCTGAACTTTGGGAAATCTCCTCCTGACAAATGATTATACAGTTCACACTATTCTCTTTTCTTACTATTTTCTAATTTAAATTCTTATACCAAAAAAATTATTATCATACCAAAGTTGAATTGTTTTTGAGGGAATATTTTATTTTCTCTTTGTAGTCACACTCATTAGGGTTTATCTACTTATCACACCGGAATAGCCTGACAGCAGTAAAGTCAGATACCGTTGTCACAAATGGTGGACATAACCGTCGCTTCAATTAGATTTTTCATGAACTGTATGTTTAGTAGAGCATCTAGACTAAATTCCTTTGGAACGACAATCACTCAAAGTGTCTTTTAAACTCATTGTACACTTAATACTCCTATTCGCGATAAGAGTTCAGGTGCTAATTTACATAAATATCTCCCATGATGCATCGCTTTGGAAGGGACAAATTTTCATTGGCCCGCCGAACGAGTCGATTACTCTGAACGTTTCTCAGCTTCTGATCTTCCATCAGCCCTCAAGCATAGTTATATAATCCAATCTATTCAATAATCAGAAAGATAATCGGAGATTCAAAGTGACATTATTTATATTTTTTCTATCTTCGATGGCGTCTGAGCAATTTCTTGGATATCAGTGACGTCACTTGAATTGGACGGCATTTTCAACTACAGATTTCTTCGGATTTGGGGATAATAGTTCAAAAAGCTTTGTCATATATCTTAATTGCATACATACCTATCGTTTGTGCAAATGAAACTCTACATAAATGTTTAATAGAGTCGCAGTGCGGCATCGAAAATAGCACCCCTGTGTAATCCAATGGGAAAGAACCCGGATGTAGACGAAGTTGTACCATACATGAGAGCTCTTCAAACGGGAAGTAGCTAAACTGAACGAAATTAAACGTTATCGCGTATTGGTATATTATATTACCATGCTACCATCGAAATAAAGTCTATAACAACCGTTAAAAGGAGATTCTGAAAAATCAGAATGATTAACTCCATGTACAACCAAAACAAGCATCACTGTACCTCCATGTCCATCGTAAACAGCAAACAGAGATGTCTTTCTTTCAGGGTCAAAGGTCATGCAAGCATTGTGGGCATCCTGAAAATAAACAGAAAACTAATTTTGGCCATGTACATGTACTTGTCAAATTCTTGGGTTTATACTGTAGTCTTGCTTCAAGACCCTGGACACCCCACTTATCTACTTTACAACAGGGTCTTGAAATGACAGAGGTTCTCTCACTGATGTTAATTATTTATGCAAGATGCATCATTGAATTCAAGGTATTATAACATACCTTGGATTCAAAAACTTATTTTTGTCTCCTGTTGGTATGTGTTGTGTTATGCCACTGATAATCACCATGGAACCAATCAAGTGTCTACATATTTGTTTGCCAGCAATCACAGTTTATAAATTCTCATTTTATGGTCCTTAATGGGCTCACCTGTTTTCAATCACACTGGTATCAGTGGACCTTTATCTTTCAACAAACAAACCATCTGACTGGTGGTTGCATGGTTTGTGTACAATCAGATAATTTGTTTGTTTTATCTATGATCTCATTGGTTCCATTCTATTTAGATTCATTTTGAACCATAGTTATTGGATTTTAAAGGCCTACTAATGAGGTTGACAGTTCAGCCTCTATTTACCTAACACATAAGAATTAGCATAATGTAGGGTTAAAAAGATGACTTCATCTAAATACTCTTCTTGCAGCAAGAATGTCTCTGACAAAATAATAGGATTTATGGCAGGGATTTCAGCCACAGATTCCAGAGGTATGAATACTCTATACCTTGATGATCCAAGATGGGGTGTCTATTGAAAGATCCTTTGAATTGATGTTTATCTTAAATATCATTACAAGGTTTTGTGACATATATCTTTGCTTTGAATTTTTGCAACATAGCTTGCCACCTGTTGAAGATGTAGAATTGTACGCTTCAAACTCAGCTATTTACTCGCCTATTCTCAAAAAATGATGGACAAACAGCAGTATTCTCTGCTTGTTTTGAACAGATACAAACAAAGTAAAACCATGCCCATTTCAGCATTTTTGTCTTAATTATTAGGCGATCAGATTTGAAGGGGAATCCATTTCATTGTACGATAAGATACCATGATGAAAACATCATCAGAGAGGGCCATTCTCTCATTGGCTTTTAATTATGCAGGCTACCTATTTTAAAGTCTACCTGAATAACCTGATCTGTAAGATAGTATAGGTCGCTTATAGTCAGAGCAATAAATAAATGGATAGTCGATTTCCATCACCACTTCCAAACCATGGTGATCTGAAAGCTATATACAATTGTCATTCATGTACAACATGTACAATATGAATATACTTTTCTTTACATTATTGCACAATGGTCTCCTATATCTTGGGGTTTTACTGACGCAATAAAACAGTGAAATGGGCTGTATCTAGTTTTTAACATGGGCTAACATGGGAAATGTTCACTTCAGCAATTCCACTACTCATTTTAATATTTATGGCTCTAAGACTGTGGATAATCGAAACAGCTGAAACTGAATTACTGAATTCAGCTGCTTACTTTCAGCTTCATATCTGCAAATGTTTCCTACATCTCCATATACCGTTTGTCTGAAAGTTATCAGCTGCTTCTGTGTGGATCATGACTTGTTTTTTCCCTGAACAATGTACATTTTCTTCGAGAAATCATATAGCGGTTTTGACATAAAATTTATAAAGTAGCATCTGGAAATCAGAGATTTCAAACGCAACTTCGTAAGTGACAGTTTCACCTATTACTATTCTCTAGCGGCCCACAGGGTACGAGCAATGGCTATGGTACATGTAAAGGTCGATTATGAAAATGTCTGACAAAAACTCATACAGATAAAGGTTTCATCATGTACAGGATGCAAACTGCAGAGAATCACAGTGAGCTACTTACATTGTTCATATGGTTTATCTCAGAGAGAAAAACAAACTACACCTGAGGCTAAACCATATGAAGTAAAAATAGCTCAGTGCACAGAATTCTCAGAGGAAAGAAACAATGAAGAATGAATGAAAAATTACCTCTTGAGCTATTCGCCATCCCTGCATCGAGGAAGCGCCATAGGACATAGTCTCGCCCTCGTAGTCGTCAGACACCTTCTCAACATTTGGAACAGACAGGTAGGCACCCATCTTTCAAAATCTCATGCAATGAAATCAGTAAAGTGTGATGAAAACAGAGGAAAATCAAACACGTGTGACTTTGGCGGTATAAATTTTTTATCACGTGACCAAATATAAAAATCATTGATTGATAGAAGAGCGACAAACAATTCTAAATTTATAATAAAATCTAGAGTTTCTATTGATGCAATTTAAATTGAAAAACTTATAAAATTATTAAGTATTCAACGAATAGGTATATGCCCATGTTTGTTACTTCGTCATTGCGCAAAACAATTATTTGATATTAAGAGATCTCCAAGGGAGTGAAAATAACAGCAATATGTTGAAAATGTAAAGACATACGAAATCACTATATTATTCACTGACAATGGGTTTTCAGCATATACCAAAAAATTTATTTTCGTCTTTTATTTGTTTTATAGTTTAATTAAATCAATAAAATATATTCATTTGTCAAACTTTAGATTTTATAGATTTATTTCGATTAGCAGAAAGTTTGTCATTTCAACACTATTTTTATTTCTCTTCATATTTTCATAATTTTCTAAAGTTTTATCATTTATATGCGATAATGAACAAGCTTAATACAAGTTATGGATACCGGAACAACAAAAGGTACATCTGTTACTCGAGTCTCTAGCCAATACTTGGCTAGAGGGGATTTCATCTGAATACTGTGAACTCTATTTGAAAAAAGTATGCCGGGGTGTCATAAATTTATTGAATATTTTAAAAATCGCCAGATAAATAAATCATTAATCAAACCGGACCCAGCTCAAATCCTTGATGAGATATGACATGATTTCATCAGGATTTCGTCTAAAATTAAAACAAAATGGCTCCAAGAAAAATGGCGATGTTCGAAAACTGGACGAAATGTCGTTAACGTCTGACATTAGTAACCGGCTGTAAATTCTAAGTTAGCGATTCAGAAGATGTGAACTAATACACTGATCACTTTATGTGTGTTTTGGGATTTTTGGTGAGGTAATAAGACCAAAACTCGCAATTCAAATTGTGATGTGGAAAAATGGCGGACATATGATTTCAAATTTTATGATTACGACATGACCAGTTGTACATGCAGGAATATACCTGTACTGGAAGGCCACGATACAGTGGCCTTAGAAGAAGGTAATACATCTGAAGTTTATTGTTCACTTGAAATTTATTCCTATGACTTTTAGTAAATTATTCATCCTGTAAATTATTTTAAAGTAATAACTCAATTATCGCCCACTAAAAATGTAATGGGGGCCAAAAAATATAGATTGAATTCTAAGATCTAATTTTTTATTTCCGAAACTAGTTCATATGGTTAAAATAAGGAAATTTTGTGATGTAACCACGTGTCTACTTACCAGTATGTTCTACGTCATCTATCAGACTATGTTATATTGTGAAACTCAGCTAAACACGACACTGAATGCAACAACATATCGATATTGATCTTAGCAGAAATTGTTGAAATTCAGATCGTCCATTTTGCCAGTCACTTGTCTGATCATGTGTCTAGTTACTAGTTGATATAATGTGACTTGTGATGTGTCACTCAACCATGTCTTCAAAGAAAGATATTAATTTATTAGATTTAGAAAATGGTTTTCGGACATCTAGGGGAAGTGGTCCTAATTATCGCTCGGTCCTAATTATCGCACGATTGTCCTAAATAGCTAAAATATACACCCACCATCTTTTAAACCAGTGTTACGAAAAACAGTTCAACACCATTACTCCCAATCTTCATGATTTATTCATATATTTAGAAATATCTCTTCATTTTTTGAGAATTGTTTACTTCCACTATTATCATGTATGCTATTGCGCAAAAAGTGAAATTCGTCTGACAAAGTTTGACCCTCCTCCAAATAAAGACAGAAAAGTTATTGTATAATGGATATTTTGTTGATATTTTACACTAAAACTGATTGAAAAATGATTATAGCATATGTATGTATCTGTTATAAACAGAGAAATGTATACAGTATCGTGAAATGATATCTGAAACACAACTATGCGATAATTAGGACGACTGCGCGATAATTAGGACCACCACACATGCGAGTCCAAGGGGTCTTAAAGTGTTAGCGTTCGGAGATTGAGAAATGTCAAACACTACTTAAATTTTAGAAGAAAGGTTGATCTTTCATCTCATATTCTCAAAGTAAGTTGAAGTTATCATATTTGAAATCGTCAGTAGTTTTCCAGAGTACCCGTGCGGTGATAAGACCATTTCCCCTACTGCTGAATACAGAAGAAAATATTCCAAGATAGCGATGTCAAATATTATAAGAAGGGCTGCTGAAGCTACTGACTATTTAAAATCAACTTTATTCAAGATATTACGTTCGCTACTTTGTTCAATTCCGGAAATCTCCAAGGTGCTACAAATAGGAAATTATTTCGATTTATATTTTATAACCTCAGAATACTGCCTTCAGTGTCGTGTTTAACTGAGTTTTACAATGTAACATAGTCCGATAGATGACATAGAACATACTGGTAAGTATATACATGGTTACATCACAACATTTCTTTATTCCAACCATATGAACTGGTTTCCGAAATAAAAATTAGACCGTTATGCCAGCCATTACCACCATAGGCCAAGGGAAAGTAGTATTAATGAAGATCTTCCATGTTGAGGTTGTACTACTTTCCTTTAGCCTATGGCCATTACAGGCCCATCTTTGGATAATGTTGATATTGCAATTCCATGATGTAGGCATCCAAATGTCCCAAAATTTATGTATTTGTCATGCATTTGCTGTTGATATTGAATGATAAAAAATGAACACTGAAAATGAGTGCCGAAAAAAATGAACGCAGTTCTTTTCGGAATTTTCATGTGAATTGCGCATTATATCATGCATTTGCTTTGAATATTCTTGTTACCCCCTTTATATACCTCCTATAATTTATCTTATTTCCAGATGTAGGACCTGGTAAACGGAAAGCTGATGATGTTGAAGTTGAAAAGTCAGTACCAACCACAGAGACAAAAGCTAACAAACGTGTTGTACAGGATGGTTACTCGTGGTGGACATGTATGATGTATGATATGCCCATGGAGAAAACAAAACCACACAGTGTACCTAAGACTAATCAACAGAACGGAAATAAAGACTAGATATACAAAGTTATATGGAGTTTGAAAGTAAAATAAGTGTCAAAGAAGAGGAATTAGGTTCCCAAAATGTCCTGTGGGTACCATCTTCAGTTATTACTAGTATTGCAGCACAATCATCAAATGTTGATACATCTGATGATTTAAAGTGTGAAACTACAAATCAAAATATTGTGAATAATGTTGTGGATTATGACTTACCAGATCCCCCTGAAGAGCCTCTACAGTCAGACTGCTGTGGAACTGGTTGTTCCCCTTGTGTTTTTGACATTTATGATCAGGACATGAAACTCTGGGAAAAACAGTGCCAAAGGATTAAATCAGGAGAAAAAACTGCTTGCTTCAAAAATGTAAGTTCAATTTAAATACTGTGCAAACATGAAATCAGTTATTTTTTCCATCATTGTAAGTGCACCCACCTGAAACCCATTTGGTCTCCTTCCTCATTGAAAAGTGTGAAAAATATACAAGTAACAAGAAACAGAATTGTGAAGAGAATTTAGCACATAAATTCTGAGAAGACGTAAATTATACCTTTTCATTGCAACAATCTCTCTGCACAGTGTTTACAAGTAGTTGTGGTGGAACTCACCAAACTATTTACAAAAATGGCACCATTTCAATAACAAAATGGGCCAAAGGTACGACCATCAAGTTTTCATTAAAATCATCAATATAATTCCTCACTTTTGTTATGTAAACAGAACATTAAAAACAGGAAACATCTGCACTTTTAATTGTTCAGTTAACAAAACAATATTGAGGATCTGTTTTGGTTATTCTAAGATTGTGAAGATTCTACCTGCAACTCTTGAAATCATGGAATCTGAGAATGCTCCATTTTGTTAATAAAACTGATTCGTTTTCACAACCAGAATTCCATCACATCACGGTGCTTTAGAATTTGAACATTGTTAAGCACCTGTTGAAAATTCATTTGCACATACATGTACCTAATAGTATTGGGTTGTGATATTTTGACATTTTTTGATATTTTCTATTTGGTTCACTAATGCACATGATTGAGGTAACAACTATTGGATTATACTGCCATGTATGCTACACATGTCTTCACATACACAATAGATTTAGGATTCTATTTCCAGACTCATCCAGTTATTTCTACCTCAACGTATACTCCATTTACAATAGAAAGTATCCACCGAGAAAGTCATGATTCATTCATATACAGATTCCCACTTCCTCAGAATACATCTCTTGGACTTACTGTTGGACAGCACATTATACTCAGGTAAGGAGAGTCATCCTTTTTCAGCAAATTGAAATTAGAAAATGATCAAATCAAAATTGTATATGGGTTATGGGATGCTTTTTAAAGGAATATTCCTTTCAAGGTACTATCGCTTGTCACTCATCTGTTCAATCACATATGATAATGACATTTCATAAAAAGTTGACTGCTTTTTTCAATGAATGAATGAAATTCTTTGTTTCTAGCAAAACTGTACCACACTCCTTGGGGTCAGGCCCGTAAGACACTTTTTTCCAAGGGGGGTGCGGTTTTAACTAAAGAGAAAATAAAGTTGTCAATTTTTTGCCCCGTAAATCAAATTGCGGAAGTCAAAGGGGGGGGGGGGGTCAGCGGGGGGGGGGGGGGGGGGGGGGGGGGGGGGGGGTGAGTTACTCCCTATATTGGGGCCACTCAGCTTATTTTGTAGTATCTTACAGTATTGTTTTCATATTGTTTTTAGACTAAATATTGTATGAGCAATTTGGAGAAACGCTGTAATATGGGGAGGGTGTACTCCAAGGGCATAAATCCCGAGAACTTTTACCAGTTCAAGATCACATTCAGTGATTTCTGGACCCTTTCAAGGTATTTTAATTGAAATAGAATCTATTTATAAGAAATTCAGATTTTTCAATCATTTTCTTCTTAGGGGAGCGAGGGGGCAGCAAGGAATTCAAGATGCTCTCTGGTTAATTCTGAGCACTTTTAATGTGTTTGAGTAAAAAAAAATACTTTAGTTTTTGGGGTGCGCTGCCAGAAATTTTTATGATTTCATAATGTCACTTGTTGACTTCTAGGCACTTTTAATGTGTTTAAAATTAACAAATGCAACTTCCAAACTTGTGAGGAGTGACCCACTCCCCCTAGAAAATTTTACACTTTTGAGATCTTATTTGGTGCTTTCTGGGCAATTTTAACGTGAATGAGTCGATAAAAAAATGTGAATTTTTCTTCAAACTCTTTTTGGGGGTATCAAAGAGAATGAGAGGGTGAAGTGGGATGGAGTGCCAGAGGGGGAGCAAAGGTTTGTCCCCAAGAAACATTGACCATATCAAGGTGCCATTTGATGATGTCTGGGCACTTTAAAAATGTCTGAGATAATACATGAAATTCAGAATTTTCTCTATTGTTTGGTAGGAGATGTGAGGGGTGGCCAACTCTTCTAGGAAATTTTACAATTTTAAGATGATATTTGGTGCTTTTGGGCACCCTTTAAGTGTATGACTCAATCAATAAAAAACAATTACATTTTTTCAATTTTGGGGGGTTGTTAAAGGGGGGAGCCAGAGGGGGAGGTGGGATTAGGGTGCTAGAGGGGGAGCAAGTGTTTGTCCCCCATATCTGCCCCCCAGAAACATTGACCATATCAAGGTGCCATTTGATGATGTCTGGGCACTTTAAAAGTGTCTGAGACAATGCATGAAATAAATTCAGAATTTTTGTCAATTGTTTTGTGGGGGATGTGAGGGGTGGCCTACTTCCCTGGAAAATTTTACAATTTTAAGATGTTATTTGATGCTTTCTGGGCACTTTCGAAGTGAATGACTCAATAAAAAATATGAAAAAATCACAATATTTTGGGGGATGTTAAGGGGGAAGGGGGAGGTGGGGTGGGGATGCAAGAGGGCGAGTTAGTGTTAGTCTCCCAGAATCATTGACTATATCAAGGAGCTATTTGATGATGTCTGGGCACTTTACATGTGTCTGAGATGATACATAAAATAAATTCTAAACTTTTCAATTGTTTTGTTTTGGGTGTGAGGGATGGCCCACTCCCCCTAGAAAATTTTACAATTTTAAAACGCTATTTAGTGCTCTCTTGGCGCTTTCAAAGTGTATGAGTCAATCACAATTTTTTTCAATTTTTTTGGAGGGGTGTCAAGGGGGGCGGGGTGCCAGAGGGGGAGGTGGGGAGGGGTGGGGATCCCGAGGGGGAGCAAGTGTTAGTCCCCCAGAACCGTTTACTATATCAAGGAGCTATGTGATGATGTCTTGGCACTTGGGCACTTTAAAAGTGTCTGAGACAATACATAAAATAAATTCAGAACTTTTCCATTGCATTGAGGGGGTTGTGAGGGATGGCCTACTCCCTCTAGGAAATTTTACAATTTTAAGATGCTATTTGGTGCTTTCTGGGCACTTTAAAAGTGTATGAGACGATGAAAAAAAATTACCCAAAAAAATATTTTTCAAAAAAAAAATTAAAAATTTTTTTAAAAATTTTTTGGGGGGTGTCAAAGGGGGGTGCGGTCGCACCCATCGCACCCCCCCATCTGACGGCCCTGGGGTGTATTTCACTCCCTTCAGTTTGGAGAAAAGTAATTCATTCATATGTATGTACTGTGTTTATCTCAGCAGTAAATATGAACCATTTGCTTCATCCATGTCTTCAATGTTGTCTTGTCTTCAGGGGCCAGGTGAATGGCAGATATATCACAAGACAGTACACACCTATAAGTGACCTCAAGGCCTTAGGCTACTTTGATATTCTAATCAAGGTACAACATAAAATTGTGTTTCAAGAGTATATATTAAACTTCACAAATGCCTCAAATAAAGATACATTTAAAAGATGTCACTAGGGTAAATTATTCAATGGACTCTGTACTGCACCCTTGGTCCAAGGGTATAGCGTGTCAGCCATTTGAAATAACTAAATGGATCAAGATGATAATTGAACATATTGCTCTCCAATTGTTTTGTTGATGGCGTTCAATATTCGGTATCTGTAACAAATGGCAGGTGGTGACATTTTGCAGTTTCAGTTATAGCTGTTCAAATATGATACTGTCTTTTACATTCTTAGCTAGGTTACATTTTCCAATTCTTATTTTTTAGGTTTATCCTAAGGGTGAGATGTCCCAATATGTTAAAACCTGGAGAGTGGGGGACATATTGGAATGGAGGGGTCCATATGGGACATTTACATACAAGTCTAATACAGTAAGTGGATGTACTAAACAAGTAGTTTTTGGCCTTACACAGTGAGCCTATGGGATTGACCAGGTGTCCGTTCGTTGGTCCCTCTGTTGGCCTGTCCGTCCATCCGTCCATCCGTCCGTCACATATTTATTTCATCTGTCTATCTGTATTGTATTGTATTTTATGTATATGTATTTGTTTTATTTACTGCCGCACTGGAGTTTTCCATTGTGCCACTGATTAAAAGGTGTTTGGCAAATAAATAAATAAAATAAAAATTGGCCGCACAAATTAAAACTGCTATTCCGATTGAGTCATATCCACATTCATTTTATGCATATCCATTATGCCTATTTGACCTATCATCGCCATTTCCCAAGTTCGCCCGGTTTCCGAGAAATTGCTGATTTTGACGTAAAAAAAAGTAAAAATAAGTTATTTTTCAACTTGCTTCAATTTGACCAAATCGTCTACAAGTTGCCAGGAGTTCAAGTCTGACCTTAGTTTTGAGATTTGACCTTCAGTCACCTTCTAAAGGTCAAAAAAGTTGATTTTTCTAATTGATTATTTGGATGTAAATTTTGGTCACCTTAATCACAAAAGACCTACTGAGCTCTGAATAAGTAAAATGTTCAAGGTCAAAGGTCCTCAAACTAGGTCACAAACTGTGCTATCTAAGTTTCTCAAAGTTCGAGACTACAAATCAAAATCAATAATTTTGTTTGAAAATCAGAATATACATTCCTCTGAAGGTTCTACACTGTGTGAGCAAAGGACCGTGGGTCCTTCATTGTTATGTCACCACAGTCTCCAACCTTTTTCTGGACGGTGGTTGGTGTTTGGAGTTTGGTGGTCGGTGTTCAAATTTCTGTGTTTGCCATCTGTAACAAATGGCAGGTGGTGAAATTTTGCATGTTCATGCCTTGTTACTGCTTGGAGTATTTACCATTACATTAGATCTCAGAGAAAAGTCCTTTTTAGAATGTTTTTTTATGGCGTAATATATGACCAAAAGTTTTATTCTGTTCATTGTTAAAAGACAGAAATCGTGTACTGATTGAGGTCTTTGGCAATAGCCCGAATAAAATTTGAAGGCATATATTTGACATAAATCATTAAATCGAGGTGTTTGTTTTACGATTCTAATATGATAAACAGACGAGATACACAACGATTTGCATTTATGAATTTTAGCGGTCATACATACTCCATATATACTCCAATATAGACCAGTAAATCAAATTCATAAATGCAAATAGTTGTGTTACATGTCTGTTTATCATATAATATAATATTATAATATTAGAATCATAACAAAGACCACAATTTTATGACTTATGTCAAATATATGACCTCAAATTTTATTCTGGCCATTGCCAAAGACCTCAATCGCTACGCCATTATTCTGTGCAAATTTCATGAGGATTGGGTAAAATCTGAAGAAATGCCAGATACTTTTACCTTATTTATTGATCACCCTGTATTACGCCATAAATCATAAAACCTTGGTCTTTATTCCTTAAATAACTCAACACATTGTACAACCAAAAGTGTGTGACACATTCTTGGTGAATATTGGTGGTAGTATTCAAATATTCTTGAAAGCAGATCAATTTGTAGACTTGTTTGTTAATGATAAACTTTAAACCTTCCCTGGGGCCTTGTTTATCACACACAAAAAGGTGTTATGCATGATTAACATTTAACATCCTCTTTCACTACTGTTGTACTGGGTTATAGGTGGATGTTTGCTCTGGCGGGATAAAAACATTGTGACCATGTTTCAAACAGTTAAGAGACTCATTTTAATTCTCAGGGCTGCCTCATGTTGTGCCAAACCTTGACCAAATTATTTTTATTACAGTATCGCCATCTATTGTTAGTAGCTGCAGGCACAGGCATTGCTCCAATGGTACAAGTTATACAAGACATACTTGAGAATGAAGAAGATGAAACATTTATTCGACTGGTTTTCTCTGTAAAGACCTACCAAGATATTATATTGAAGGATCTACTAAAGAAATGGCAGTGTTACTGGAATTTCACTGTTACTTATGTTATAAGCCAGGTAATCGATAAAACAAATAGCAGAATTGACTGAAAAGGGAATCAACCCCCTTATTCTATGCGTACCATAGTGGAGGGTGGACTTTCTTTTCAGCACAGTTTTATTATCTGTTCCTGTGGCTTTGGTCAAGAGGTAAACCAAAACACTATGTCAGTGAAAACATGATCAAAGTATGCAATGAGGGAGGGGATTAGAGTCTGGAACATTTGGTGAAGCCTATCAGATTTATTATTATGCCTGTATGTCTAGCGATGATTCCTTCATTCATTTGCAAAACACCTTAGATTGTTTGTTATTTTACACATTTTGAGGAATTTAATTGAACCAATAATTTCATAAAGTGCTCCCTTTTAGCTTTATAATGTTCCTTGGTTGATTTGCCTGGCATAGAAGGTTGTTTTTTACATTAAACTTAAAACAAACAGTTTCATTTAATTAGATCCAAATTAAGTTAGTTAAGTTATTTAAGATACTAACTTGCTGTATGTCAATAACAGGACAAAAATAACAATGGTTTCACAATTTATAGTCTTGCTTCAAGCTCCCCCCCCCCCTCCTGCACACCCCACTATGCAAGTCTAGCGATGAGGTAGATAAAGAGGGGGAGGGCTAAGAGACTTGGGGCAAGGCTAAATTTGAGACATTGTATTAATCAACTAAAACATTTATGATATGCAATAACAATTACATTCTTATTTTAATTTTTCTTAATTTTCTCCATTTAGGATCCTACATGTATTGGGAAATATGGAGAAGATATCCACATTGGCAGAATTACTGAGGACTTTCTCGTGGCAGAGTTAGATAAATGTGTGGGATCAAAACTCATATTGATATGTGGTACCAAGTCATTTGATAAAGATATTGTGAATTATGTCCGTAGATATGGTATACAAAAAGACAATTATTTTAGATTTTAACATGCTGACTCTGCTTTACCCTGAGTGTCACACTTTTGCATATAAGATGAAGCACTCATCACCTTTGAACTACCCAGAGTGACAAGATTTCTCGTCACCTTAGAAATGACAAAGAAGGAAAATCAAACTTTTTAATAGAGTACAAGCTTGTTTATTATGTTTTATGCTGTGATTAAATTGAATATGGAGTTCATGTCATTGAATCCCTATGTCATCTTGATCCATAAGGTATCAACTGTTCCTACCTCTTTGATAGAACCAGCAGAAAGTGACAATAACTCTGTTAGAAACAATGCCACAACCCGAAGTTTATTTGTAATATATGAATTAATTGGATATTTTAGACAAAATCCATGTGTTAATGTGGCAAGGAAACTCAGTCAGTCTGCAGCTTTAGATATTGATACAGATTGAATTAAGCAGTAGTGATGCTCTTACATGTAATTATCAAAACAATGACTTTTCCTTTATAGTTAAACCATTAAAATAACATTTGAATTAACTTGAGCAATTACCATGTAAAAGTCTGTGAGTTTGAAAAAATAATGGGAGTAGGTTTAATCTTATCTAGTACCAAGACCATCTCTATGTTTTGAAAACGAGATGGTATTGACACAAGAGAAGTCTTATCCTTTGTCAAATTCATTATGTGAAATTGATTTCTGACCTGCTCCCCTGTATGATTAGTGTATATGTTGATCATGCCATGCTCACTTACTTATATATGATAATAGCCAATGATAATTATCAACCCTTTGATGTACTGCTTTTGTTTCATTGATATATTAGATATATCATGCAATACAATTTATTAAGACATTTTGATTACATCTGTGTTCACTTATTTGTTAATTCTGTTTACACTGATTGACCATAGACCCATAGGTGGAGACGCTCTGATCAGTTAGACTATTTGGAGTTTTGACTTACATCAGAGTTAGTGACCAGTGCTTTTGCGACATTATTTGAGGTTTATTTCATGTGTTTATAAATTTTCTGGACAATTTGAAATGAATAATTGGCAGAATGAAACAGAAATACATTTATGCAGAAAATTTGATTGTCATGTTGTACGTACATTAGGTGTGATATAATACAATGACACAATTTATGAGCATGCTAGTTTAAGTTAACACTGGTTGCCATACTAATTGAAACAAACATGCAAAATGTACATTTACCATTGCACATGTACCTGTATTTTTATGTATATTTAAGATTACTGTGCATTTTGTTTATAATATACTAATTGTTTATAATATACTGAATTTGATCATATTCCCACAAATCTGCATTCAAAATACTTTTTTTATTTATAATATCATAAAAATTGATAGAATATGATGTGGTATGATATGATATTACATGATGTAATAAAATATGATATGATGTGATATCAACATTTCAAGTAAATTGGGAAGAAAGTGATTCATCAAACACATATTAAAAGCAAGATTGCTAGAGGCTCCTAAGCATGTTGAGTTTACCACAGACAAATGATTTAATTAACTTTATATTGGACTGTATTATAATGAGAGAAATGCCTCAGGTACTTGGCTTGATAATATAGATATCACTTTTTGTTTAGTTGTATGCTAGATGTATGGATTCTTTTTTAATTAGTTGCATATGTATTTATGATGTGATGATGAGAACAAATAAGTGAATTTTGAGGTCAGCATTTAGAGATGTACTATTTCACATTGGAAGGATTACACTAAACGTCATGGAAAACTCATGATACCAGAACAGAATGATACAATGATTGACATTAAAATTTAGTGCCAAAAATTAAATTGATTTTGGAGAATTGGTGACATTTTGACCAACTAGGAGATTCAACTCCACCTTTTCAAAACAAAAATCAGGTAAATTAAAATTTATTTTCATTTCATATGTGTTTTAATCATAAATCATTTCTTCTTTGTAACTCTTTTATACTTTGTACATATATTTGCATTTAAATCTTGATTCTCAATGTTTTACCGCTGGTGATATGATTTCAATGCATGTGACAATGGGAGGGACATTTAATAGCACTGAATTAATTTTATGTGAACCTCATAATTAATTCATTTGAAGGTGACTTGGTTCTAGGCAGTATTACCTTTTATTAATGCAGTTACAAACAATGTAATGTCTCATAGAAATCCAGGACTTATTCACTTCTTGCAAAGATTTAATAATGACAAAAGCTGAAATGAGATATTTCTGCAAATATTTCAGAATGCGGAATATTGTGTTGATCCTTAGTGTTGTGGTGCTAGTCATTGGTGCTGAGTGTCAGACCACAGACTCTGTCATTGAAGACAATGACATTACAACAATGTCACAAGATGATGTAAGTAATGATACCAAAGACAAAGATGACATGGATAATGACATCAAACCAGATGATGTACCTGATAAGGCTGAAGCAACTAATATTCCGCCACAAATAAAGCCAGGATTCTGTGATTCAGTTGCACAAACAGGTTGCAATCTTACAAACAATGAGAGGTGTATAGGAGAAGGGGTGCACGCAGGACAATGTGCTTGTATAGCTGGCCATGTGAGAGGCTCAGATGCAAGGACGTGTGTAGGTAAGTAAGACAGGCTACACGGGAACACAGTAAAATACACTTTATTTGGTTGTCATAATGTCATTCATATCTAATGGTTGTGCTGTTGTGCTTTTTAAAATGACTCTCATTTTTGTACTCTCAAAACGAGAGTCACAGGGGAGAATATTTCAACAACACAACACCTATATACCATAAAGTACATGTAATCAATTCAAATTCATCATGTTTCAGCTGTGAAGACTTACTATGGTCAGGTGCCTACCAGGCTGAAGTATATAGAAGGCTGGGGAAGCACATTAAACCTTGTTACTGTCCAGTTGAGGAGCATGGTACATCAAGGGGTAACATAAACATATATTAGTAATATACTTGCATATGATTATTTTGTGATCCTAAACAAACCAAATATTAATTTTCAACCTATAAACTTATTGTTATTGTTGTGTCATTGGTATCATTACATAAAGTCTTTCTCTATGATTGTTTTTGTCTTATTCCTACACTTCAAAAATACAAGTTAAACACAAGGGTGAACAGCATTCAGACACTTGTACCTGAAATTACAAACACACCAATTAGTGTAAAGTAATCCAGAATCCCTCTCTGCTTAGATAGAAGCTGTCATTGATTGAGCCACTGCATATAACAAAATATTGTAAAAATGTTTATTTTTCAGTTATTGAATGTATTCGAGAGTTCCCCAACATTCAGCAGTCTGATTATATCCCTAGAGCTGAGTGGGTTCAGACGTAGCAGTAACCATAGCGTCATCATAGAATTCAAGGTTCACCTCAGCCGAACACTTGTCCCTATAAGTAATCCCAATGAGATTGACCACTATTTTAAGATGACTCTAGAATCAAGTGCATCAAGGCTTCCAAATGGCCACTACACATTGGGCAATGTGGGCATTGAGTTGGCTGATAACAAAGAAATGTTGGAAACTATAGTCGGCCAATCTAGTTTGCAAGGTAAAATCTATAAAGTCCTCCATTTCTAAGTAAAGGGGCCAAGTCAAATCTGAAGGAGTAATTTTTCCAAATATAAGTACATCAATGGGACAGGAACATGTATTGAGTTGGTGGTTGTACCACTAATGTTCAATAGACAATGGTATCAGAAACATGGAAGAGAGTCTGAGCCTTTCATAGTTCAGTTTCAAGAGAGATATATTCATTTAGGCATGACCCCTTATCTTGATTGATAATTGAGGAAATTGAAAGATGGAGCTGTTTTTTCACTAATATATTCTATAACCTTTGATCTATAATGATTTTAATGATTCTAGAATAGGTGTACTGTATGTTCAAAATCTTATCACTAGCAGCATTATGTTGTTTAAATTTTATCATGTCATTATTTATTCTGGAAGGGGATTGAAACAAAGTCCTTTAAATCATTGCAAATCTATGTTCCAGCTTCCAGCCCATGTGTTGATCCCTCTCTTAACTACTGTAGCAGAGATGCTGTGTGTTCCCCTACAATGCGATCATTTATTTGCTCTTGTAAAGATGGCTTCTCTGACAACCCACTTACCAATGGTCCCCCTGGAGAAAGGTGTACATGTAAGTGCCTCCAATTCCTAATCATATAAGTACATTTACTAGTGTATTAGGTTGTTGCTTATTACTCTTGCCAGCTATCATTGAAAGAGGGTGGGGGGATGATTTAATGTCAATATTGATAGCTTGATATATTTACCTGTTATTTAAGGATTTATGATATCTAGTTATACGAGGGATGATCAAAAAGTTTGTTGAAACATTGAGAGATATTATGAGAACTTTTTGATCACCCCTTATGTATATTATTATCTTTCAGTGGATTGTAACTGCCAAAATAATGGCATGTGTCGACAAGGGAGCAGTGGAGAAAAAATATGCTTGTGAGTAGTTAAATGTGTTTTTGTTCTTGCTCAAGTTTGGAAATGAATGCTTGAATAATGTATTTCTTGTTGTAGTAAGTAGCACAAAAAGTTCCAAATTCTTCAAAAACATGCAATCATGAATTTTGCCATATTTATTGGATGAGTAATTTTTGAAGGTGGAAGTTATCAATTATCGTTAGTGTAAAGGAAATTAGTGTAAAGTAGTGTATTTAAGAATCAGAGTTTTAGGCACTTCAATACTTGAGTTTTGATTGTGCATCTCTTACCAACATTCTTCTATTGCCATTTTGCTTCCATGTTTCAGATGTAGTGGATGGTATTTTGGAGCCAGATGTGAGATTAATGGAATCTACTTTATCATAGTTGGAGCAGTGCTTTTCTTCCTCATGTTTATCTTCTGCATCATTTCACTCATCTGTTGTGTAAAGAACAAGAGAAACAAGCGTAGGTATGTCATTCATGATCAATGTTAAAAAAACAACTCAATGACCAAAACATGTATGGGCATTTTATTTGTGCACTCTACATTTACAAGAATTTTAACCATACCCAGCAATAGCTTTTTATTAATGTCTCATCTCATACATGTTCACTTAAATGATCACCTACAGTGACATCTTTTTGTGGCTTATTTGTTTTATGCCCCATTTCAGTTACTACCACCAAAATGATGACTTGATGTTGGATAATGTTTTTGAAAGCTTGTTATAATGGCATATTGGACATGAATTTTATTTAGTTTCAAACATTTTTGCCTAAAGAATTGTAAGTTTGTACAACATTCCATTCCTATGAATTCCAGCAATATTGGATGGAAAAATAAACTTTCCCATGAGATAAAAAGTGTTTAACAATGCTATATATAGATTTTTGATTTTCCAGAATAAAAACTGAAAACTTTGAGACAGCTTCATACACAGATTCTACAATGGTGATTAAAACCAGGAGACCTCGGAACAGTTGGAAATATTACGATTATTCCGAGTCTCAATCCAAGCCACAGGGTCCACCAGTAGCTGGAGTTCAAGGTAGTGTTTATGAGAACCCTCGTAGGTTTGATGCTCCATCGTACCAAGAACGCCACCAGTATGATGACCTCCAAGATGCACCTCCATACAGAAATTATGCTGTCCCTTATGCAAGTGTTGAGCCAAGAACATATTATCATTATGATGTAAGACTACTTTGACACTTACAATATACACAATGTCATGTTTTTCCATTTTCTTAAACATTGGGTTTTTGTTATGAGGAGCTTTTTGCATGTTTTTCTATTCATGTTCTAACCATGACGACACATATGAAAACCATATTATGGCAACACATGCATTCCGCTAAACCAGCATTGCTCACATGTTGCTCACCTATTGCAATTACAGTACTTATATTTCCCTCTGTTTGTCTGTCTGTTTATTCATTTGTCTGTCTGTCTGTCAACAATAGTGCCACATTTTATGAGGTCTCTTGATACAATTCCAAATAAATTTGCTTGAAATTGTACAGGTACTTCTCCACTTCATAAGATTAACTCTATCACCATTCTCTCTTGAATCTTTACTTACAGTGTATCAAAATAAAGCTGATATGAAAAAAGTACATATAATACTTCCAATCCTCAGTCTAAACATGGCTTTTAAAGTTTCAACAAACTTCTTTGAATGCACTTCGACCATGTGACCGGCCCAGTACCCATGGTACTATTTATTCTAAAATGTATACCTTACATGTACTTTATAATGTAAAACACATATGAAATGAGTCGAATCCACAATATGTTACTGTGTTCCAGGCGGCCCCACCAGTGCCAGATTATCGCCCCTCTGATGCATATATGATTCCAAGAGCAAGGCTCTCTTACCCAGTAGGTCTTATTTTTTATTTATTATTTATTTACATGCAGTCATAATTTAATTATTATGTAATTATCATTCAGGGGTAAAGAGAACATCCCATGTGTGCATGCATCCCCATTAATCCTAAGAAATAAAATTGGGGGAAACATCCGAATAGTGATGAAAAAATTTAATTTCAAAAGTAAAACCATTTTCATAATGCACACACACACTCAAATTTCACAAAAATTGTAGCACCTAATAGCACAAAGGTTTATAATCACACCGAACAAGTTTTGTAGGGATATAGAAAAGCTGTCCATCTGTCTGTCCATGCGTCTTTTCCTCTCTGCGTTCCTCCATTCATTCGTTTATCTGCAAGATAGTTCCAAATACTGGTTGACAAATTTGATTCAAATTTTTTGGGCTTATGCCTTATGGGTGAAGGACCTGCTTGAGAAGAAATTTGGCCACCATTTTTCATAAAAGTGTAATCTTTGATAACTTAAATACTAGTTAACAGATTTGGTTTAAATTTTTGGGTTGCGATCTAAACACAATTTGAGAAATTATTGGTGTATACATGAATCTTGAAACCTATTTAAATTAAGCATTTATATTATTCAAAAGCATTGATTCCCAGCCATTTGAAGTATGATATCTTAAAATACCTGGGTTTTAATCCATAGATAATCCTTGAAAATGAGAAATACATTTTGGGATTATATGGTGCAATCTTATAGTCAATAAAATGTTTTAAAGTGTATTGATGTTTTATGGATGAAAAACAAAAGTGAAATGCATGAAAAAACTCCCCTGATTCATTCTACAAACAATTACCCCCCCCCCTTTATATGCTGATACCTAGGGACACAAGAGCTTTACACTGAGAAGGAATTTTCAAGATGGCAGCTGAATTTCAAAATGGCCCCCATATTTTGTAAAATATCATAATCTTCAATAACTCAAAATTTTTTTGACAGATTTGGTTTTAATATTATGTGCTGATGGCTAGAGACAAAGGAGTTCTGCTCAAGAAGACATTTTCAAGATGGCTACTGAATTTAAAATGGCTACTTTTTTCATAAAAAAAACATAAGCTTTGATAACTCAAATACCAGTGGACGGATTTGGTTCAAATTTTATATCCTGATACCTGTTCAAGGAGAAATCTTGAAGATGGCCACTATTTATCAAAATATGTTTTGTTTGCTGGGATTTGCTACTCAGTTGTGTTGCTGTTTTCTAATTTGGGGTAATGCATATCATGTGTTTAGGTTGTTTTTATTTTATTGTTGTATAATAGAAACCTAATTCACATGGGAACATTCAAAATGACAGTATACAATGATTGATGTTGAGTAGTGGCAATGACGAGGCATCTTTGATGTTTTGTGATGTTTTGTGATCTCTTGTAGGGTCCCTATACTGAGAGGAGCACTAACTATGGCACATCTGGATCTTGGGTTTGGCAAACACCAGGATCAAACGCTTATGCAGGCCCTTTCTAGCCCCAACAACCGTACAACTCTATGGATGCTCATTGGACACACGATACGCCCATATCAATTACTAAATTCTCAGTTGTTTCAAAGTATTCATAAAATGTCTAGTCATTTTGAAAAAAAGATTCACACCTGAAGCATTGATGAACATTTTGGATATATTACATTCTCTATTTTTCACACTTGCTGCTTTATAGTAATTTGCAAATTTGCATAACAACTCCCACTGTGTCTTTTTCATAAAGGGGAATCTGGAATGATCCTTATAGAATACAAACAAAGTGTCTGCTCGCAGAGCAGAGATCTACGGCTGTCAGCATCAAGTGACATCTTTCATCGAGGAAAAAGGAGGGATTTTTAACTGCCATTTATTGTGTGATTTATTGCTATTTAATTGACACTCATTTAGCTACCTACATATAATGATCCCTCTTTGGTTATTTTTGTCAAGGATAATGTCAAAATTAGCTTTTTGCTTTGAATTAATTCAGTGATTGAGTAGTAAAGGTTTCTTTACAAGATGTTTCCACTTTAATATTGTTGATATTTAAAATGCATAGGACTATTTTTATGTTCACTGGAACATTTGCCAAAGATATTACCTTTTTGACGTTTTATGTACACAGGGCTTAGTAAGCTTTAACATTGTGTCTTTGATATTTGAAACTACAGTTTGGCATTCTGTTGTGCAAATACGGTGGAAGTTTTTGATTTAACTTCAATTGAAAGTGTATATTGACATATTTTGTAATAGAAAAGAACTCGAGATAGGTCTTTAGCTAATTATCAATCAAGTTTTTTGCAAGATGAAAACCCCTTCAGTAAAAATTGTCTGGTAATACATTTTTGATGATCCATAAGTGCTAAAATCAGATAGATGTAATTTTGTTCCAACAATGAAGTATTTTAAAGAGGCTTATATTTGCAGATTTAATTTCCCCTCAAGAAACATCTTGACATATTGAAATGTATGAAAACAATTCGAGGACAGGTTTCTTTTACGTATCCTTCAAAAGACGTTCTGTTAATAGAATAGCGTAAAACATACATCACTACAGATCAATTTCAAATACAGTAAAAAATTGAGGATCTTTGACATGTAAATTGTAATTTTATTTCAATATTAACATGTAAACTTGTGTGCAGAGCTCTTCAATCAAAAGTGCCGCATATTGGTATTTAATGCTCTTGTAATGGTATGCCTATATTCCCCTCTATAGGCTTCTACGCCTGTCACTCAGACATAAAACATTGAAAAGAAAAAACGTATACATTATATAGTATTTCAGTTAGATTTAAACGTTGGTTACTCCCATTGAAAAACAAATTATATTTACAGATATTTATCTTACAGAATTTGTACACCCACAGAATAAATTAACGTCTAAAAGATGGGAATATCCACATTGACATTTTTTATATTCAATTAAAATAATATTGACCACAGGATATAATTTACAATATTTAAAATTGAAAAGATGAGTAGTTTAATATGAGAGTATTTTAAGAACACAATGTATTATTAATGTAATTAATCTAATGAGCATGAAAATAACAACTGTTTTCCACATGTTATAGTTCCTTAAAATATCAATACCACCTAGTTAGCTGAGCAAATTACTTAGAACAGATCCTGATTGTTTAATAATATCATACTGATTTACTAAGTGGACAAAAACCAATGTTTTTTCCACTTGAGAACATGTCTCGAAACATGATTTTTGACAGAGAGTTAAAAGTTTATTTATTGTACATCGATGTTCATTTTTGGTTGACAATTATATTATAAAAATATATTTGTGTATATAAAATTCTAAACTTGTTTTTCTGTTATGACCGTGTGAAGATTTGTTCGTTTACTTTTGGGCTTTTTCCAATTATATATAATGTATGTACGAAATACTGTAATTGATCTTCCATATATTGGTGAGATATAGTTCAATTGCTTAATAGTGGATTGTCGTGTCTTTGGTTTCATATGTTGTCCTTTGTGCTTTTTTTAGCTATATCTGGGAAACGATCTGTTTTCAGTGTTCTCTGTGACCGAACACTGAGCAGGCAATTAGTGGAGGGAGTAGTCTTTCTAAACTTTACTTCATAGAAGGGTATCAAAGCATCGTATGGGCAGGTGGTCTCGGGACAAAAGTGGCCACTTTATCAGCCAGTCAAGCAGAAACTCTGTTTATTCAAAAATCATTAGAATCAAATGTTGATTTTATTGTCATAATTAGATATTCATCAAAAGAATATTCCCATGTTTGTTATTTTACTTTATTTTATTGAAGAATAGGACAATAATGGCTTTAGTGGTACGCGACATTGATTCCTCGATTTTAACATGCAGAATGCAGTTGGTAAAACATCACTTTTATCTCATTATATTATTCATTAATTGCAATGGCTCAAAGGGCAACGTATATTAGGATGTATCTGGCTTATTATGTCACCACCACAAGTGGTGACATAGTCTCCAACTTTTTTGTGGGTTTTGTTCGTTGTCCGACGGTCGGAGTTCCGAGTTTGGCGTCTCGGTAATAAATGGCGTCTGTAACAAACGGCAGAGGGTGACATTTTGCATGTTAATGCCTTTTTGTAAAACTTTTGGCTTGCTCTATCAAGTGAGGGATATGGAACTAAAGGCGTCATGGCATTGTCACCTTTGACTACTGGATTTTAAAATATATTTGCAATATGGATTATGTAATAAATTGGCTCGTAAACGTTGATATTGGTTTATTGATGTGATTTATAGGGATTTGTTTTTGCTCCATGCTTTCTCATCTAAACACAAAATCGATACTTTCAACCCCAAAACTATAAATCTGTCAATCAAAGCAGAGCTTTGCTGTAGATCATTTTTGAAATTATTCCCAGATTTTCCAAACATTCAAATTGTTAACCGGATTGATGTAGATCGGAATAATGAAATAAAGCTGTTTGATAGATTTGTCTATGATTTTTTGGGATGAATATTACATGTACATGTTGGCTCATCTGTATTTATTTAGTAATATGGAATCACTTGGAAAATATGATGTGGTTATCACTAACAGTACATATTTCTATTTACTAAATATGAATATATACATCCTGTGTTTATGCCAAACATAGCCAGAATCTTGTTGAATCAAAATATGTATTAACAAATGTTACACAGATGTACAAATCACTGTTATATAGGCAAACCTGACATTTTCAGAATTTTCAGCCAATGGACGGATAATTAGCTGGGGCTACTGATCGTTTCATCTGGATTAACAGTCAGCAGCCCTGGTAGTATTTGGTGCCCATGGCTTTTTGATACCTCCCATATAGAAACCGTCAATGTCCAGCAAACACTTTGCAAGAGTTGGATAAAATTGGTTCAGCATGTTGAAAAAATCGAACAGATTTAAGTCGTGATTTATGGTCGTTCATTTTCTTTGTTAAAATTGATACGTCTCTGTTTTACTACTTGTACTTGCTTCTGGATTTCAGGAATATTTCTCCACTCCAACTTGCGTTGGACTAATGTCAATTCTAAAGTTTCATGTCATCTTGTTTGTTTCTCTATAACTATTGTACAGATTTATTTGTGATTCTTTAGCCAATTTATATATTCATATTTTTTATGTGAAACCTTACAAAATAGAGTTATCTAGATTAAGATTGAGGTGTAGTTGTAAAAAGTGCTTTGTTAAACTTTCTGTTTTACCAATTTAAGATATATGGATGCATGTTACTTGAACCCTCTTGGAGTGTTTTGTTCATTAAAACATTTATGTGGACATATATTTAAGGTTTTAATACGTGATGGTATCGCAAAATAATTTTTAAATGCTGATATCCTTAACATTGCGGTTCAAGTAAGACTAAAATGTGTTCGGCAAACATTTTCGGGAAAACATAGTCCCCTGGTTATGATCGAATATTTAAATTGACTATCTTGTACAGAAGTGTGGAATCGCAAAATTAAAGTTCCCGCCATAGTAGAGATTGTTTATACTTAGTACTGGTATATATCATATTGTTTATGCAGGGTTGTGTTGGTTTATTTTTCAAATGTTGCCCTTTGCGCTTTCTCAATTGGGACCCATTGTTTCTTTGATGAGTCAGTCGTCAGGTCCTACCACTAACCTAAAGTATAGGTCCCTGGTTCCCCAACAGCAAGGGAATCATGAAGTGAAGTTGTGGTAAAATAACAAATATAATAGTCGTGTGCTAGCAGACCTCCCAACTTGATAGAAACCCGATAGAAGTTGTTCCATTATATACTAACAGTGTGTTTAGAAAACAAAACCTTGTCACTTGCCACAGTTTTGCATTGTCCTAGTGGTAGGTATGAAACTGGAAGCACATGTGAACAATTAGGAACAATTTCTGCCTAAACATCCTACAGATTGTTCAAGAAACTCCTACGCCCTAAAATATTTGTATGCAATCAAATTGTCAAAAAGTTTATATTGAATATTTTGGTCAACACAGCAAGCCACGAGAGTTCATTAAAACAGACGTTACCGCAATAATTACCTCTTATTTATTTCAGCTAGTGGCTTAAATCAACCTCATAAAATATTGATATTTTTCAGGGTGATTCTTTTGTTTTTAGGGTGACAGTGACTTTGTACGTTTTTTTTCTAGATTGTTCCTGTTATTTACTATTGTTTTGATAGTTTTCATAAAGCTGTATTTTGCTGTGTTTCTATGATAAATACCATGTGATAAACTTTACGTAAAGAAACGATAAAAAACTATAGACAACCATCTTACAAATTACATCTCATAACCCAAAAATTTCAAATCAAAACGTTCACCAGTAATTTTCATAATTATTGTATTCGCAAGTCGTAGTTTTTATTATTTTCTGGTTGAGAGCCGGTGTATTGTTTTCACAGATAATGTTAACCAGGGGTTTATTTACTTTTATTTTCACCTGTATTTGTCACTACTTAGTTCACCTCTAAAGCCATTATCTCAGTCAGAGAATTGATTCTGTTTATTTACCTACCATCATTTCCCCGTAGCTGACATTTTGCTATTTTCTTACTTTCAATCAAATGTTGCTTGAATCCACTTCTGACCACGTGTATAAATGGAATATGTTAGCTAACATATCAAAGTCCATTCCGAATCCAAATCATTCGCAAGGAATTATCAGAATTCGCTTCCTCATATGTTGATTCTTGAGAACCTCAAGTAGTTTAAGTACTATTAAATAGTTTTGGGTTTGCTATTTTTATATGGAATGTGTATAATTTTGATTTTTTCTAATTTTGTGGTGAACAATTGTGTTAAACATATTACAATAATCAAACAATAATGAATTCATTATTTAGGCTATACAAAATATTTACTTTAACTTTTTTGAACAGTTCATCCAACAGTTAACTTCAGTCAAACTTTACATTCCGCGTTTGAGAATTCTGCATTCAACAACTGACAATAGTAAACGTATATATTTATAAATAATGTTAGTATGCAATTCTAATTTCAACATTCACGGTTAACTGTTAACATGAAATAATCAAATAATAAATAATGCAATATTTACACAGTCTGTTTACTTTTTTCTTACAATTTATTTATTTGTCCATTAAACCTGATAAATGTAACTTTACTCTCACATTTACAGACAGTCAATTCGAGAAATTAAAATTTTAAACTGACAATTAATGTATGAAAAGTTGATGAAAATTTGACTCCACATTGTAGTTAACCTTTGATCTTTGACAATAATAACTGATCATGTGATACGAAAAATCAGAAACGCCAACCAAAAAGAGCAATTTTTATTTTTGTGATGGAAATTTTTAATCGATCGGAAGATAACATTCGAAATATGATTAATTTCTTGAACAGGGACTGAATGCTAAAATAAACGTTGGTTCAAGGAATGATACAGATGTATTGTTCAGTTTCGAATAGTGACGAAATAATATACTTCTAAACTTGTTAGCGCAAATATGAAGTTATTCATGCAAATTAATAAATTAATGTGGAAATACTTTATATGGTTTATTAAATACTGTAAATGCCTTGTTGATTTAGAGTGGGCTCGCTACAACAATCAAAGCTGACAATTATCAAGCATTGAGAATATTCAATTTCAATTATTTTGCTGCCTTGGGGGCACTTTAGACTTGATACATCAAGGGAACAAACCAAGAAATTATTCTTTAAAAAGTCGTTCAAGAATATTTCTCAGGCTTTTTGAACTTTACATTGACACTGGTGTATCTTTTTGTAAAAACCTAGAAGTGGAATTGTGTTCACTGGTTTGAGCATTTTATGACGTTGCTCTTCGGTATTTTCCTTTCGAATTTTCTTTCCCGTCCTTTTTTAGATTTTTTATAAATTGTACTTGTTATAAGAGCAATCTACTGGCCTGGTATTCGTGCATCGTACAAATATCTCATTTTTGACTATTTTTGTGAGCCGAATAGTCTGATTTCCTTTTTCAATGTTTGCTTCGTGTGCCATGTCATTGTGTTCGCGTATTCTATTGCTTTTTCTCCTATCTTTTTAAACTGTCTACGATATGAACCTTTTAGATAGCTTTAACAATGATGACACTGTATTTGGATTCAAGTTACATCGTTCAGATATAAAATGTCAAGATTTTACAGGCGACTCACATTGCAAAAACTATGTTTTGTCTTTTTATGTAAATAAAAACTTAATTTTGGTGATGAGAAAATGCAGGTCTGTCAAAATTCAAACGACATGTCAAAATGATGACAGCCTAGACGACTAGATTGTCAAGTAAACGAAAAACTTTCAATTTTAAAACTGTATCTTTTTGTACTAGCGCTTTTTCAACCAATTTGATTGACGATAGATTAAACTTTTTTATTGAATTTTGGTGGCCAAATCTTCCGCTTGACCAAATATTCGTAATTCCTCTCTATAGGCGATTTTTGACGAGATAGATACAATGTCCCAAGCAGTCAAGCTATCTCTTTCCATCTCAAAACACCTTCACAGTATTTAAATGATTCTCATCATTTCTTTTTAATATCATTTCTATGTCAATATTAATAAATTCTCAACCTGATTTAGCTGATAAGGGAGAAGATAAATAGGCCCGGATAAACCCGCTTCAGAGAATAGTTTCACTTTTCAAAATGACTTTTGAGACATGAAATCATACAAAGAGCGTTTTCATTCGGTTCACATTTCTTCTTTTTGCTGATTGAATCAATTGAATGAACGTGAAAGTGTGACAAATGCTCAGCAGAAAGTTAAACTTTATTGATATAAACATCCAAAATGAGAGCTTCTATTGAAAAACACAATGGCTAAAAGGAAAGCCTTGTCCTGATAAGTGAAAATTCAGTAACTCCCTGAACCTACGCTTTGATTAGAATTGTTAAATTTAGAGGGGACGCTGGCAACCTTTGTCATCTAGGTTTGCTCTCTGTGTCGAAAATTTGAGTCCACGGGAAACACATCAAGTGGTTTTGTTCTGTTTTTTTCAATTTTGTATGATGGGGATGGGGTGTTGGACATTTTTCCTTGTGCGTTAGATAATAGTCAACAATGGATATTGGGGTTTTATTTTACTAGTAAATAGTTCGGTGCTCTTAGATGTTCCCTTTTCGTACAGTGTTTTATCATGCTTTTGTTTTTACCCTTTTAACACCTGTGATTGCATACATCTATCTATGGTTAACCATGCAGCACCATGCTTGTGTGAAACAGTGGCGAATTAACTACCCTGGCCTATTGTAAAGAAACAAATTCAAACCATTGGAAATGAATGCAATTAACATAAATACGACCATTTTAAAAATTGCGCAATCGTCGCATGTGTGGTTACGGTTGTTGCGTATATTGCACATACTGAACAATCATCTGCTTTCTTTTGGAAAGATGCAATTAAGACAAGTCAAGAGGTACACGGCAAGTGTTGCTCATTCTTTGTTTTCCATAAGTAGCCTTGTTCCTTGGACAAACTAACATAGAGAACCAAGATAAATAATGACCACATACATTGCAAGAATTGCATCTTCTTTAATTACCCCACCACTTATCTACTACAGATGTTACTTCTTGAGTTTACTGAACAATTCATTTTGCGCCTCTGCTTTATCAAATTCGATTTGCAGAACTGTTACGTAACATACAACGCCGACAGCTTTTACGGCGGCGTTTTGCGTATCTGTCACGTCAGCTATAGATTTGAGATTCCCGTTACAAGCCACCCCAGCATCATCGTAAACTATCTATTGTGCAAGAAGTGCGCATGGCTGAATGAAATGGATAAATAAATATTATACGATATTGTGATGATAGATGTATTGGTAAGCTCAATCGAGGTGTTTCCTTTCACCTGGGATACATCATATTCGAAGAATGTAAATGGAAAGTAGTTTATTCATTTGGAACTTGTTAACTCGTCACTGAACATCCTAAATCTGCTTTTACTTTGGCTCTCTTGAATAGGATTGTGGCCAAATGTCGGCATACTGCACCCCGTAGATGCAACTGCGTGACGTAACGATGTATCACTCCGCGTTGCATGATGATGGCTTGGGATGCTCACGGTTTTAATTACAGCCTGTCATATTTTAATTCACAAATCTCTCCTATTAATATCGTCCCGGTTACATTTCTTTATTATATAAATCTCAGCTAATTTGTTATTAGACCAAACGGAAATTATTTAGGATAAAATTAAGTTGGCATGAGATGTAAGCAAATAAACAACGCTCTGTGATTTCCGATATTCTCCAGTTCAATAATGTTTAACGCCAGCCAATGAGAGATACAGAAAGTTTGTAATAATGTGATCCCCGTACATATCTAATATCAATAACACTTGCTAAAAGTTTGGAGGGCGGTGCTTAGCGCGTACATCAGGGGTTCCGTTCTTTCGAGTATTACTTAGAATTCATTCTAAACGAACGCTGTGTGCTAGGTATTTTGTCACATCTCGATCTTGAGACTTCGTAAAAACTCAGAGACATCTTGGAGTGAGGACAGAGACGTTCAAGAGTACAGACGTATGCAAATATATTTTTAGAAGACTAAGTATATCGAATGGCAGACGGAGAAGAAACAAGTAGAAATTTACCAGTTTCTACTTCGCAGGGACTACTCTCCCCACACAGACCGATGTTTATACGTGCCAGCGAGAGGTACCCTCGGACGCCCAAATGCGCCCGGTGTCGCAACCACGGTGTTGTATCGGCGCTGAAGGGACACAAACGTTATTGTCGATGGAGAGATTGCGTTTGCGCAAAATGTACCCTTATCGCGGAGAGACAGCGAGTGATGGCAGCCCAGGTGGCCCTGAGAAGGCAACAGGCGCAGGAAGAAAATGAAGCCCGAGAGATAGGGTTGCTGTATGGCACCCAGGGGCTCCTCAGGATGAACGCCGAGACTCTACCCACAGATACGCAATACTTGAATAAACCTGGCACAGATACAACGCAAGACAAACGGGAAGATTCTGGTAAGTTTGATTATTTCATTTTCAATGTTTAGATTAATTGTATCACTTTTAGTTTGCGATTTTTGATAATTTGATTTACCTGTATACATTTTTTAATTCGCTTCTCTTTAAGGGAATGAGAAGGGTAAAGAGTGTAAACTGTAGAAAGCAATCTTCAAAAAGTTATACCAATCCAATTTCCCTTCATAATCTCCATTTCATTTTCTGAAAAAAAGAATTGAGATATTTGAAACTTACTGTCAACTCGTCTTTTAATTCATAATGGGCTGCTTTTGTGGTTTTACAATGTTGCTGTAACAATTTTTATTTTAATAGTTTTTCAAAAATGAATTCATACCAAGTGCATCTTTTCAATGATGAAATAACATAAACGTGCTTGATTAATAGCTAGGTAATGAGAGCTTTTGAAACAAAATATCAAAATGCACATGGTGGTTTTACATAGCAATAACCAGGAGCTTCCATCATGTCCGTACAAAAGTCGCAACCAGATATGCTTGATTGTCTATGTTTTTTCTTCGCTCGCTGGACACCTATCATAAAATATTGAAAGACTACATTACATAACATTCATTTACATTGTGAAAAGTATATAGTTCAGTGTATTTAAAAAGACTTGTTATTTTGATAACATTCATTTGCATTGTGGAAAGTATATAATTCAGTGTATTTAAAAAGACTAATTATTTTGAATTTGTAATTTATAGTTTTGGTGTTTGAACCTTTGTAGATTCTTGGAAACTTAACGCACAATCATAATCCAATCGTATCTCACTTTAATTAACTGTGAAAAAACTGATAACTTTATTTTTCCTATATGGGAACTTTAAATTGCAATTACAAAACAAATGAGTGTATTTTGTCTACAACAATTGAGTCCAATACCCTCAACTAAACTGACGTTATTCATCTTGTTATTATTTACCCATGCCTGTCATTGTTTCATATTCATTAGCAAATATTATTCAATGTCATATATATTTTTGCAAGACCATGAAGTTCCAATATGTCAAATGTCTATAATGTCACAGGGCGATTGACATTCTTTTTTGTATTATATAAAATAACTATTTTGTAATGAAAACTAAAAGAAGAACGAAAAATAAAACGATGAATTCATAGTTTTATGGGTCTAAATGAGGATGGTTTCAGTGGCGGATCCAGGAACCAACAAGGGGGGGGGCCCAAATTTGAGAATATAGAAAAAACCTTTTTTGGGCCCCTAAAACCGAAAAAGTGGGCCCAAATTTTGAAAATTTGAGGCCCATTTTCTTCCAAATTTGGCCTAAATTGAAAAAATAAGGCCTTAGAAGGCCTAATAATGACCAAAAGGCCCACTTTTTGGGGCCTTAAGATTTTTTTGGCCTAAAATTTTTTTGGGCCCAACTTCTTTTTTTTTGGGCCAACCTTAGGGGGGGGGGCCCGGGCCCCATGGGCCCCCCCCCGGATCCGCCATAGGGTTTTCTACGTGGATAATAATGAAAATATGGTAAGAGCAAAAATAGATATACAGCGAGTGATGGCAGCCATTCTGAAGAATTTGCCCCATAGCTTAACAAAGCCCATAAAGTTCAGACAAAATGCTCCGAAAATAAACAATTATATTTCTTTTATTTCTAATTAATAAACATTGTAATCTCTACCAAATCAATTTAGCGGTGCTCGTTATTGAATCAAACTTGAAGATAGTGTTTATGAACGTGAACGTTCTGGAGAAAGTATCATGATTTCTTATCGTTTCTTAAGGGGCTGTAGATTGAATAGTGTCCTAATCGATCATATCTTAACAAGCTGTAGCGATTGAAGTTGTGACTTATTGCCTAATTAATACATTGTTGTCCGATGTTATGCTTTGTTTTTCAACTAATGATACCCTGTTCATTGATTCCAGTTACTATATTAGCAATGAATATCGAGGCTGAAACCAAACGAGCAACATTTACGATTTTCCAAACAATGTGTCCTAAATATTACATAGAAAATATCTGAATTATAAAAGACCTCCGTTGTCTGAAATGACCTTAAAGGGCCAGATTTGTATACCAACTACCATGAATGTCACCTATAGATATTTTGTTAGGCCACTGCCCATACTTCTAAGTTACGTTCTCTGGCCCATACAAATCAATAAAACCCGCACAATTGCTATAAAAACTATATGGATTTTTCCCTGCCCGCCTTTCATCTCAGATAGTATGATCCGACCTTATTTACCAAGTATGTGGAAACAAATGTATTAAATTTAATCTGTCCATATGGTATATTGACTTTGAGACAAGGCAATGGTATCGTTCAGTTTATTAGAACTCCTGCAATGTGTTTTAACATGAACTCTGCTACTGTAGCAAATGCTTTATATTGATTATCAATTGAGGTGATCTCGATTTCAAATAGCGCCGGAAGAGCTTGATGGAGATGTCACAAACCGCCGATTCTTCCTTCGAGTCATGCGTGTCTACAACTCTCATGTTCTTCATTTATGATATCTCGCACGTACTTTAAATACACAGTTACACACCCCTTAGCTTATCCAATAGGTCAATCTTACGTCAAGGAACATGAAACGTTATATCATGCTCTTGATCGTTAAATAAACACTTAGTTGTGACTGTAAAACAAAACATTGATGTTACCTTATATTTATTAGCGTTTTTGGTTTCCGAATTCCATTGAATGATTATTTTGCAACAATGAATACAATAATTGTCACTTTCCTTTTATTCGTCCAAAATATGTGTTTTAGCAACATCGCAGATGCTCCAAAAAGCGCAAAGTTTGCCAGTAGAATTAATAGAACAAGCCACTGAGCTCAAATATAATTATTATCACATATCGAAGGACTTAATACGTGTATTGTTATCGTCATTCAAAACCGAGAACCCACAATAACAACCAAAAGACGCAACGGGCAGTGTTTGAAAACAAAAAAAACACAATTAACTTATGAAAACATACAGTGAAGTCATGACATACGATATAACTCCCTGCGTCTAGCTGGGTGTTCAAAATTACTTGTAACAAAAAAAGTCAATTACATTCCCACGGTGTTATACTCATAGTCAGCATGGTCAAGTTTATAATTGGGAGCGGTCACGTTGTTATTAGGTAACTATTATTAACGTGACAATGGCCAGTGAAAGTGGGAATTATCATCTGGTTAATTGTAATTATCCATTTGCAACCAGAGAAGCCACTGTTGTAATACATTACTGTGTTAATGCTTTATTCAAGAAGTATTCTTTGGGTATATGTTGCACATGATGTAAGCTTTCTAGTATTTGATACGTTACCAGATTTTCCCAAATAATTGTTTTTATTTTCTTAATCTGATAATAATACGCGCCATTAGTTCCCTACTGTGCTTGACTTTGACAACTATCCAGATATTAATAAATACTCACAAAGCATATTACTTATGACAATTATTAAACTCCGAACAAATTAATTACCTCAAGACATAAGCTATTAATTGATGAACTTTATCTTAGTTAACAAATATAATATGTGATTCATACAGATTGAAATTCAGTTATTTGCGCAAATGACAAAAAGGCGACAGACACTTCGCCTCAATGATAATTCGTTAACTACCAGGGAAGATAAATTGCTTGAAGGAATTCAATAATTGCTCAATTACAAATAAAATATAACACAATGAGACATGTGGTATTGAAAACCTAAGAATCAAATGTTAATATCTCACTAATTTACCAAGCTTTTCTTATGTACTTGTGACAAATGACTTGTTGGAACTCTGATTAAGGACTTAACGCCAATTCAATGCCTGGATTTGAAGAATGTTTGATTAAAACTTGAAAAGATTAAGCTACTCTTCCCTTGATAAACGGATAATGTTATTGATAGCTGGTTAATTTGTGTTATTGTGAAAATAGCGCTGATACTTGATATTCTCTTGATTGATTTCTGTACACTTGACTAGAATAGGCCTGACAACCGCACACCATCTCTTCTAACCACTTTACATTTAGTTCTGGCTACAATATCCTCATTTCCACAATCAAATTACATTTCCGTAATCTCTTATCGCTTACAAAAAATCAAAGAATCTTCTCTATTCAGCCATTCTTCCTTTATTTACAGGTCCACTTCATGAAGCCATTCTTGAATCTGAAAAACAAACAGACCATGATAATCCCATCAGCCCTCTTAGAGATGATAGAGATTCGTCCTCACCAGATGGCAGCATTAACGCAATCTCATCACCCCAACAGACGAGTGACCAAAACGAGGCTGAAATCACAGGGGACAACTCTGGGGATCCTCAAAACCGATCTTTAGACATGTTATGTAGGGTATTTCCCCATATGAAAAGAAGCGTCCTTCAATTGATCTTGCAAGGTAGTGGAGGGGATTCAGTGAAAGCTATAGAACAAGTCTTGAACAATCACTCTAATAAACAGAGTAAGGCAACTAGTAGTACAGAAGTGTTAAATATTCACAGACCATATCTCACAACGTCACCACCGACTGTATCAGCCACATCAGTGAAATCGGCATTTTCTCCCATTGCTGCCCATATGATGCCATCTGGCAGCTTGGGACCAATACGATACGGTTATGGAGCTGCGGCAAGAGGACTTATTTCTATGCCATATCCTTCAAACTTTTTACCTGGGCTTGCAGCTTCGGGGTACAATTACAATGGACTTGCCACAGGAACTAAATCTGGTCTCCCTTATGGGGCCATGTATCCATATGCTTATCCATATACCGCCCCATCTGCAGAAAAATGAACATGAATAAATTAAAACATTATAATGACAGTTAGTTCGTATTATGGCCTGAAAACAGGTCTCTGGTACCATTGGCCTTTATCGGATGGCCATGATAACAATAATACAAATATGATATAAAAATGGCGAAAATGATAATTCACCAGAAATAAGTGATTATATTGTAATTTATCAACAATTAAAAGTATTTAAATATAATTATAATTATATATATGAAAATATGACTCGGTCTAACATGTTTGTGTGCTACATATATGTCATATGTCGTTGATTTACTCAGTCTACATTTTATTCAATTGCTTGTCTGGACGAGCATTCATTTAGCTTTCAAATTTCCAGTTCCCTTTCAAGCTTTGTAGTCGTATTTCAAAGTAAATTTAATCAACCCAACAGTTGACTTAAAGAAATATGGAAACATGAAATTTGAGGCAATTAAGTCGATATTGAATGTTGTTTGAGTTTTGATGGGGCCTAAGTACATTGTTAGTACAAGGGATGGGTTACATAGAAATACAATCAAAGAAAGCAGTGAAACAGTTTCAAATCTAAAAATACCCAATAAAGTAAACGATCATTTCTAAAGAATAAGATACAGTTACCTGATTTCTGTTTTCAGTAACCCAACTCGGATGACCCTATCTATCAGACTACGACTTTGTGAATCACAATGAACAATTTCAAACGTGTAAACAATTTAACATTAAACCATAATAAGTAAAATGTTTGGACTTGTTTGGTAGATTTGACGGATTCATCCTTTCAAAATGTTTATCGAATCCTATCTTTAGGTCCATGTTAGATTTTGAAATAGCATCCACCATGCACATTACGTTTTTGACCCGTGCTGGTAACGAAATATCGCACATATAAACACATGTAGGCCTATCACCCAAAACAGCAAACGCATGATCGACTTTCAAAGAAACATTTCAGACTCACCATTTATATTCCTTACTAATACTATTATTATAGTCTTTTGTTACCCTATTACACAAGATAACATAATAACCAATTTGTTTTTCATAATTCTGTTCGGCTTGAAAGTGAAGAATCTAAAAAAGATAATAGTTTTGCAAATGAAGGATCTAACGAAGCTCATATCATGTCAGAAATTCGCCATTATTGTGTGGAATTGATTGCGTTTTTCTTGTTTTGTTTCTTGTGAAATTGTTTTTGTTATTTACATGAATTGTTGCCCTTTGAACGACATTGACTGACTAATATGTGTACTATAAAAATTAATTAAACTTTAAAAAGGCACCAGGTTTATCGGTAGCCATGGTGACACATGATATGTAACCGATACCTTCGGCAACTTCTATTCTTTTTGTCAACTTGTCAGAATGAGTGAATCTCTCAAGTTTTATTTTTGTGCACAAATGCGTGAATGCTACACCGAAGTTAAATTCACGCAGAAGGTTGCGGAAATCCCCCATTGTTTTATCTTCATAATAAAATAAATATCTTAAGTTTTTTGAATTGACTAAAACGAATCTCGATTAATAAAAACCTGTAATGGTTGACTTTTTACCTTTCCCTTATTGTGGCCACTGGGGAATTGCAAATCCTGATAGATGTCATACACGATAGTGGGGTGACAATCTAATTTAGCCGTCAAGCACATATGCCATGGTCTTTTAGAATTTCTTAGATGGAAACAATTGACTTAATGAAACTAACGATGTCAAATTATTTTTTGTTGTTCCTCATACATACTGTCAATAGACCTGAATAATGTATTGTATAGTTTCTAATAAAACCAACCTCAACTGATATTTAATTTTCTCTTTGGCATTTGACAATTGGTATTTATTCCTCCCTCTATTATAAACAATGCCTCAGCTTTCAATTAGTAATTTTTGTACGTTGAAACACTTTTCATTTGATACGGTTGTTAAGAAACACCAACAATTACATTGTAATACTTTCGATATTTAAAATGATTTTTTGGAGAACCAAATGCATCAAATCATCTAATGCTAAAATACAAAAATCTTAAGAAAACAATTGTGAATATGTATGTGCAAGTTCCTACAGAAAATTAACAAAAATGGTTTCATCAAGAAAAATAAAACATCTAAGACTACATCAGTTATAAGGAAATCAAACCCATACTATCCCAAATCATAGTCCAATATAAATACCCCCTCTCCCACCATTTAAGTATACAATCACAATCCGAGACCATAACACCAAAGGACATTTCATTCATACTGAAGTCATTACAATATTTGTTGAAGAATAAAAGACTCTCGCACTGGTGATCCACTCGATTACGCTGGTTACCGAAACGGTTCGTTTCGGTAACAAAATGTCGGAACGTCGAAGGTACGATTTTTCCCTTTTCCTTATTTCACACGTTGTAGGCAGAATTCCCACGACATTTTTATCACAAACGTATTATCATATGTTTGAGAAAATGTACATATTTGCGAACATATAGTTCAGAAGACAACAGAATTGCCGATTTAATTCCTCACTTAAGTTATAGAAACGATATTTCGAAAAACAGTTAAGATCTGCACTTTTAACCCGTACCGTTTCTGTAACTTAAGTGAGAAATTAAATCGACGATTCTGTTAAGTGTGTCTTCTGAGCTATTTTTTCGCAAACATATACCATTTCTAAAACATATGATTCTGATACACGTTTGTGTCAAAAATTGTACTTTCGACGTTCCGACATTTTGTTACCGAAACGAACCGTTTCGGTAACCAGCGTAATTGAGTGGATTACCAGTGTCTCGGTTTTGAGAACGAAGTTCATCAGTCTACTGCACGTTACGCCTGCTTTAAACAATTTTGATATTTTAACATATTGTAGATTTGAATGTCCTCCTTTGAATATTCATAATTTAATGTGGGTGATATTTCTAAATTTTTCATGAAAATAAATATTAGACCAGGAGATTTTTCTCCAAGCCGAGACTTGTCCTTTAAAGAAGAAATGATTAGATTTACCAAACAAAAATATCCATACAACAGGTGGTCAACGCTGGTTAAACTAAAAAAAATTAAAACAATATACAGTAAAAAAGTAATCAACAAAATTATGATAGTTAAGAAACATTAAATAATCTCATTACAACCAGCTTGCTTAACCTCCATTAGAAGTCCAATAGAAATATAAAACATATAGATATGTCTATCGGTCCACACAACTTGAAGCCACAAAAGGTTCCAAAGATAAAACCACTGGATCAAGTGATGTGTCACGCTTAAGTGCCAATGCTGAATGACCACCACAATGGTCTAGCATAAGATCATAAGATAATGCTTTCAACGTCCAACTCATGAGGAGAACAAAATAAAATATTGACTCAGGGTTTACCCTCGAAAGTTCACTTCTTAAAGACAACAAATCTATGAACAATAACCAAAGAACACTTAAACAAATACAATATTTGTTGTTTGGGAATACAATCTCAAACCTTTTATTGAGTTGACAATGTTTACACTTACATTCTTATGGAATCGAGTAACCTCAAATTCTAGTTGTCAAATAGCAGTCAAATTATCTCTACATAAACTGTTTTCTTTTCAATTTACTGCATCTGTGACATGATTAAACTATTTGGGAAAACATTCACAGAACTACGTCATCAAGACTTTCAACAACAAAACCTACGTCATCGCAATTTTCATCAACAATAAGCATACATTAACCGAATCCCTTTTCTGAGTTTTTTGGTACTTGTGCTTACATAATTCATTTCAATTCAATTCAAGAAATGCTATATGTATCAGAATGCTTACCAAAAATACCATCAATCCCCATCCCATATAAAAATATTAGTTTTGATGGGAGAAGTAAAAAGGTTTGATTGCGCCCCTCCATTACTTTATAACATAATATATTAGTCAGAGTACTGTTGAACGAGGTCGTGTACCCATGAGGTGGGCTGGTGCTCTCTGCACAGGCTGATAAAAAGCATGAATAGATCTTTTGATATTGCTGCTTATTAGTTCCTATATTTGTTCTAAGTGTCAGTTACTTTCTCTCTTTGTTTCCTGCTGTTGCCACTCATATGTCTTGTCGCAACTCATGTTTTTTGGCGTTGCCACACCCATTTCTTTGTGTTGCAACTCATGTTTTTGGGAATTGCCGATGCCATTCATGTTTCCTTGTGATGCAACTCATGTTTTTTGGAAATTACCGTTACCATTCATGTTTCTTTGTGTTGCAACTCACGTTTTTGGAAATTGCCATTGCCATTCATGTTCCTTTGTGTTGCAACTCATGTTTTTGGAGATTACCGTTGCCATCCATGTTTCTTTGTGTTGCAACTCATGTTTTTGGAAATTGCCGTTGCCATTCATGTTTCTTTGTGTTGCAACTCATGTTTTTGGAAATTGCAGTTGCCATTCATGTTTCTTTGTGTTGCAACTCATGTTTCTGGAAATTGCCGTTGCCATTCATGTTTCCTTGTGTTGCAACTCATGTTTTTGGAATTTGCCGTTGTCATTCATGTTTCTTTGTGTTGCAACTCATATTTTTGGAAATTGCCGTTGCCATTCATGTTTCTTTGTGTTGCAACACATGTTTTTGGAAATTGCCGTTGCCATTCATGTTTCTTTGTGTTGCAACTGATGTTTTTGGAAAATGCCGTTGTCATTCACGTTTCCTTGTGTTGCAACTCATGTTTTTGGAATTTGCCGTTGCCATTCATGTTTCTTTGTGTTGCAACTCATATTTTTGGAAATTGCCGTTGCCATTCATGTATCTTTGTGTTGCAACTCATGTTTTTGGAAATTGCCGTTGCCATTCATGTTTCTTTGTGTTGCAACTGATGTTTTTTGGAAAATGCCGTTGCCATTCACGTTTCCTTGTGTTGCAACTCATGTTTTTGGAATTTGCCGTTGCCATTCATGTTTCTTTTTTTTATTTTTTTTTATTTATAGTTTATTTTATTTACACAAAAAGCAATAGTTAATACAATACAATACAATTTGGCTAGGCTCAAAGAGCATTATTAGCCAAGTATGAATACAATATATAAAACCTTATAATCAAGGTAACATCTTTAAAGTTCACTCAACAGGGGCCTGGGTGATGGCTGCACACTTTTCAAGAAATATTGCACTGAGACTGAGTATTTTGATATTCAAACGTCTGGTAAGTGATGGAGTACCATATAAGAATAATTGTAATTTTTCCATTTTAGTTTTAAATGTATTAAAGTAT